AAAGGAACTGGAAAAGAAATGAAAGGCAAGTAAAAATGATGTAAGGATTGCTTACAAAAGCTGAATCAAGATGAAGAAGAAAGGTTGAAATATTTTATCGATTTTCGAGTCTACATTATAAATTGAATCAACTTGCTTGAAGTAAGAATGATTAAGAGAAGCAAATTGATTGATTGATTCTTTCATCTTGGATAAAAGTTGATATTTTTAGCGTTTTTTGAATTTTAAATTTTCTCAGCCAGAATTGAAAGATTGAACAATTTTTGACTTTTCCAGAAATATCATTCTTGACCAAAAAGAGGCTACATTTTGTGACGATAAGCTTGGATAAAATGATTCCCTAAGTATAACAAGAACAGTTGAACTTCAAAGAAACGGACAAAAGAGAAATCTGAAAATTCTGATTCAGATCAGTTGATCATTTATCAAGCATTTCAATTGCTCATTAAAGTAAATCAATAAATATATTAATGTTGATTGCTATTAGTGTTTAAATCTTTTCCATTTTGTTTGCTTTTTTCAGCCTTTTTCCCATTTCTGTCTGATTAATCGGATTAACTGAACTTTTCTCAGAAACTCATTTCTAATGCTAAATTGATTGCACTTAATTAACGTTTCCCTTTTCAAATATTCATCAACCTTTTGATTGATTCAATTTTCTTGCCTTTTCATATGATTGACATTTTTGCCATTCAATTGAATGGATTGAATTATATCAAATTAGAGCAACTATTGAAATTGTATTTTAATGCTGTTTATTTTGCAATAAAACATTTTGATTTGAAAGTGTTTTTAATCAGATTCAAATTGAAGTACATTTTTCAATATGAATTATTTGTATTATTCGTAAAGAAAACACGATAAATATTGAATTTGCATATTATAATTGAAGCTCAATTGTCCCAAAGCTGTTAAGTCTAATACAAATGAAAAATTGTCAGCTTTTCCTTCATTTCCATGTCATTACATTTCTCATCAATTTTCATCTTTTCTTCTCAATTCAAGTTCAGTTTTGATAACCAATTTGAAAATACAAAATGTCAACATGAGTTGAACATATTTAATCAACTTGAGAATTAATGTTTTAAATCAAAACCTTTTTCTGTTGCATCAAACACTGATCATGCAATTTGTATTCAATGTCATCTGCTTCAGGCTTTTGTGAACAATTTAACTCATTGTTTGCCTTTCAGAATTGAATCGATCATTATCATGATTCCCTTTCAACTTGAGACACAATTTCAAATTCTCCTCTGAATATTGACAATATTTACATCTTTAGATTCCTATGGATAAACATGGAAAAATACATTTTTCTCAATCTTTCTAATTCCGTTATCTGTTTATGTTCAACTCCCAGTGTTGAATCAGAATAGCCAATAATAATGACCAGTTGAGGTTAATAAACAAAATAACCTTCAAGGTCCATCAGCTTATAAACCATGCAATTCGTTAATCCTTTTTTTCACTCGGCTTTACTTATGAACAGGCAAAAAAAGGTTTCAAACTTTTGATCAAAAAGATTAAGCTTTTGTTGATTCACAGGGAAAAGCTTAATTCAATCCCTGAAATAGACGTCAATTTCAGCTCAACAATTATCGATCAATAACCGCTAATGCGTCTTGAAGGTAACCTGCAAGTGAAGAGTGAATAATCATTTCAAGTGTAATAAAACTGGGAGTGAAAATAGTTGCAAGGCTTATTCGTTACTTTCAGTTATTTCTGTTTTACTATCAAATTATCTGGGAGTGAAACTTGAGTTGATTTCGAACTCAGGCTTTAAGCGGTTCCAAACGGAAAGCAGTTGATGAAGAAAATTCAATAGAATTCGAAACAATAATTTCCATTGAATCTATTAACCAACTTTGGATGTTGAATTGTTATCCAATTTATCTGGGAGTGAAACTTCCAACAGTCGATTTTCGAACTCAGCTTTGAGCGTTTCCAAACGGAAAAGAACTGTTCATGAAGAATTTTCATTCTTTTTCAATTTCAAAGCAATAATAATTTCAGCATTTCCATTGAATCTACTTAAATGTTTGGAATGAATTGTTATCCAATTTATTTGGGAGTGAAATTTGACTTTGCTTTTGATATTGGAGTGAAAATTCAATTCTTTTACTATTTTAGTTTCCAATGAAATGGCATTTTCTGTTGAATATTCATTTCATGATTAACATCTAAATTAAAATTTGAAATTAGTATCCGATTGCAATTAAAGAGTGAAAAAATGTTCGTGTTGATGAATATTTATACTGATAATAATGTAAAATTTTATGCAACAAATAAGAGGTTTGATTAAAGATACAGAAGTGGTTCAATCAATCAATATGATTATATTTTTTTGCAAATGAATTAATTAGTATTAAATATTATAATTTGCAAGGGAAAAAATGCTTATTTTTACTTGCATCATTATAAGATGATTAACTTAATGAATAAATATTAGGCCAAAGCTGATGATAATTAACAGTTATTATTTGTCAATTGAAAATAAATGGCTAATTTAACAAGCCATTTAATTATCCAAGTTTGAAAAGATTGCCATTGATCTTGATCTCATGGGTTAATGTTAATGTAAAAAATTGCTCTGGAATCATTAGAATCATTGAATTGTCTGATAACTATTGATTCGTGTTGATTCAAATTGAGGACGTAATTAGGCAATGATTAGAGTTTCTATCAACTTGAATAATCAATAACGAAGAGAAATCGATTGATTTTCTTTCTTTTCAGTTGAGCTTTTGAATAATGAATAGCATTTTTATCTCGACTATAAAAAGATAAATTGTGATTCGATCGCAAAGATCGTTCTAACTCAATTAGAAGTTAAAAGTAAAGCAAATTGAAAGGTTAATTCAGTGGAATTTTTATCAATTTCATGTAAACTTGACTGATCAATTTGAAAGGGACATTCAATACGATTCTGGACATTGAAAGCAAATCTCCAACAATGGAAACCTTTTCTCATAACTTGAACATCTTTTGTAAAAATTGGTTTATTCATTTCAATATTTGTCCATTTACTTGAAACTAATTGAAAGCAATTCAAAAATAATTAAACAATTGAAGTCACTTTAACATTGAGTTTCAAAGTCAACTTGAGTGAAAATTTGTTTCAATTTTGATTTTTTAAAATCTCTTTTCGTTGAAATGCTTTTCTTAATCAGGTTCAATCACCGATTTCAAGATTAAAATATTGATAAGTTACCATGAAATGTTTACTTTACTCTGTGTTCAGTGTTGATGGGTGACCTAAGAGGCTGCTTTGAACACACAAGTGTAAACATGATTATCTCAAGCTTGTTGATCAATATAAATGAATGGTAAACAGTGTAAGTGAAAAAATAATACTTTCAAGTGTATTTTATTTTCGGATTTCATTGTTTCAATGATTAGTCCTAAAAATATCTAATGAGTCTAATAACATTAATAACATTTTCTCGTCATTTCAGACTTTTTTGTGCTGACCTGTGTTACATTGGTTAATGACGAAATGATCAATTGACCAAATCATCTCAAGTGTAACCAATTAGACTAACCACTTGACCATTCACATGTTATAAAAAGGCTTCAAAGTTTTACTCTTTTCCATCATTTCCATCATTTCCATCGTTTATCCTTCATCTTCATCTTTCCTTTTCTCCTTGATCATACAACAATCAACATTTCAATGTTGATTGAAAAAGCAACTGGGAATTGATCAATATTTGATCAACATAAAAAGTCAGAGATGTTGTACCCATCATCATGAGAATGATGGAAATAACACAATTCATAGAGTAATATGATTAATGAACAAGCTCAATAAACAATTTAATTTGTGATCACATAATTGATGATGATTAAGTAGTTATGCGAAAATGAAAAGCACAATTGTTTATCAATGAAACCAGAAAAACCAGAAAATGGGAAAAGGAGAAAAGACATTTTCCTTTTCAGTGTTTTCCTTTTTTTTTGTTTTGCTAATCATTTTCCAATCAACTAAACATGATTAGAAGATGATAATGATGATGTTACAATAATCAGTGATTCATGTTTAACTAATCTAAATGATGATAGCCGTAAGGTGAAAAAGAAGAAGAAAAATTCATCTTTTCTTTCATGTTTCATCATCTTCTTGCAAGTTTATCAAAGCTAAATACATTTACCAATGAATACCTTTCAGCCATTTCATATTTATTTGAAAAGGCCTGTAATAACACTATAAGAATGCAAATGAGTTTGACACTTTCATCATGATGATAATCATATACAAGTTTCAAGTAAAACTTTCTTGTTTCGCCGTTTTCACTCCCAGCTTCTCAAAGGAGTTGAAATTTGATGTAACAGCAAATATAATTGAAAATATCTTTTCTTGGTAAAAGTCATTTTTCTCCTTCTAACCTTTGATAGCCTCAGATAAAAACTGTGATTCAGAATAAGAATAAAAGAAAATATTTGAGGAGAAAAAAGTTGATTATATTCAAGATTCAATTACATATTTAAAGATGAACAAATTTGTCTCTTCAAATGTACAATGAATCCTCATTCGTTTACCATTATTACCAGAAAAAAAGGGTTTCCAAATTATCTTATTATTTTTAGGCAATTGTCAAGAGAGGCTTATTGTTGATATTTTTTTCACTCTCAATTGCAATTTGTTTTTGTCAATCTTTATCATTGCTCTTCATTTAATCATGTTTTTGGAAAGATGAACAATTGTAACAAATAGATGAATATATTGTTAAATTGTTTGTCAGTTATGATGAATCTCTTTAATCATCTTTAATCATCTTTAATGATCAGTTTGACTAGCAGACACAAATTGTGATTCATCTAATGAATTTTGTTTTTCCCTTGAAAGGGATGAGAGGAAATTAAATGAAAAATGATCGGAAGTTGAGTGAAGGAAACAAAAGAGTTGAAACTTACATGACATTAATATGTTGATTAACCCAATTTTACATTGAAAACGTTAATTTAATCATTTAATTATCTTCTTCTTCCCTTGTTTACAGAAATCAAAACAACGATAGAAACCCAAGTAAACGAATTGAAAAGTACCATCGAAGGAAAATGTGTAATTCAATAATTATCATCGTCCTTAAACATTTTCATTTAATCAACTCATTTTAACACACCAGAATCTTACGCATATATTATTATACAAGCAATTAACGAAACGATTAAAGCCGAGAAAAGCAAATTTGTAAATTTGAAAATAGTGGAAACCTTGGTTAACCCAAAAAAAAGAGGAGATGAAAAACAAACCAGAAAAGTCTAGAGACTTGGAAGCAAAAAATGAACCAAAGACTAAAGTAAAAAGCAAAAGAACCAGAAAAATTAGAGAAACCAGGAATTGGTGTTTGAAACGTTTTTTGGGTTAAACAACCAGTTGGAGTTGATTGAACATTTAACGGTTCCAAAGTATCTCAACCGATTGATTAATTATTACTTCTAGTACTATTGACTAAATATCATTGATTGAGATTGTTTGCTTTTCCCTGTGCTTTGAATTAACATCATTGATTTAGTCATCTTCATCATCCTCATCGCCATTATCATCATCGTCATCAGGCTGTAATCAACAACAATTACGGCATCAACATCAAGGAAACAAAATATGGTTGACATTTGTTTTTTTTTTGGTTAAGCTCTTTTCTGGTCCTCTTTCCTTCCCGGGTTTCCTTGCTCTTATTATCATCTTTAATAATCGTCAGTTAATGTAGATATTATTATTGATTGATTTGATGATATAATTAACTGATTAAGATGTGAGTTTTTTTCATGTTTCCCCATTTAATAATGGGAACAAGCATAAGAAAAGGCCAAAAGCAAGTGAAATTTGACAAACTTCCCTGAGTGATTCAATATATAATAATAAGTAAATATAACAAATATAAATATATAAATAGTAAAGCTTGATTGCTGATTGAAATTAGACTGGATGATGGTTAAGACAAATATGAATGATTTGCGGGTTAATTGTTAATAGAAGCTTGCAAATTAATGATCTTTCAGATTGTTGGTTATTACTGGCTTTACGGTACATTCAACATTTACTGGCAGCTTTTATGCAACTAGAGATGCTTAAATTGATTGGTGAAAATAACATTATTAGCAACAATTAGACCATTAATTTGCGTGTTTCCAGTATTAATAAATTACCAAGTGCCGTTCATTTTTGTCTTGTTTTTCAGCTTTCTTTCAGTCTTGACTTTCCTTCAAATTTTTAGTTTTTTATATCATCATCAACATTATTATTACATATTATTATTGAAAACTAGTTTGCCAAGCTCAAGTCAATTAAACAAACTACATTATTAAGGTTCCTTAATTTACCCAGTAAAAGATTTAAAGAAAACATCTCTTCTCAGTTTCATTTAACTCCTTCAATGCCCTCATTTTTTTCCTACTGAATGGTGTTTTCATTGAATGATTTTTTTCTTTGTCAGATTTTTTGTCATCTGATAGCAAAAACATCACCTTACAAATTACAAAATTGTAAATAGTAATGATAATAATAATGGTAATATGTAGTTATCAATTACCTGGAAACAAAAAGGTAATTGTCTTGACAAAACAAAAGCTTCTTATTATTGTTGAACATCAAGTCTCAAACATTTAACATTCAACGAACAGCCTTTCAATTATAATTATGCTTTTTTGTGTGTTAAGTTTCACCTTTCAATTACTATTCCTTAATAACTAAAGTTGCCTGAGACTAACAGCAACAACAGCAACTGTAAAGCAAGAAAGCAAATTTAACTCATTTATTTTGAAATACAATTCATTATTATTCTTATTTTTTATCATATCTATCCTCATTATAAGTTGATTATATTTGTTGCTTTCGTTAAAACCTTGCTTTTTTTGGCTAACATCCTAAACACAAATCATCACAATTACAATAATCGAATACATTAGGTGCAATTTAAGAGACGCTCAATTACGCATTACTATCCAAATGATGATGATTTATAAAAACCATCGAAAGGTATTAATATAATAGGAAAGCTCAAATCTAACTTAGCAACAGCTAGTACAATGCTAATAGAAATTTGACTTTCCAACACACATGGTTAGCTTTTAGCATTTCTTTTTCCTGTATTTCCTTTTGGTCCATTTCACTGGTTCCCAAATAATAACACTAATAATATGATGATGATAGTTGATTCACTTCATATAAAAGTTGCATGCAACATTTATATCTTGTTAGACATAACAATTAATCAGCTTTCCCTAAGTTTCACTCCAGTCATTATTGCTGCTTGTTTGTCCTTCCATCATGTTATCCAATGTTCACTTGACTGCTCCACCAATTAACCTTTAATCCAGATTGACATCACATTATCCTAGAGTTGCACTAAATATTTAAAAATAACAATAATAATAATAATGATAATCTTCCGATAAATTAAAACACTTATTAATCACACACACACTCACTCACACAAAAATCACAACTCACATTTAACTTCACATGGTCTGGTTACTTGATCCAGTCCCAAACAGGTAGCTCAAACAACGAATTGTGTCAACATTTTGATTTACGTTATTCCAACCTTTTTTGTTTCCCATTAACTTATAAAAGAAAAACTTAATTTAAATATTTAATTTATCAATTAGTCTCATTTAGCGTTAAACAAAATGTCTAACGAGTAAAACCAAAACACAAACTCTAATAAATCTTAGCCGGTTAGTTGATCTTGATAGGATCCAAATCCTTAGGTCAACCAAAAAGGGCGCGAGAAACAAAATTTTCTGGTTTCTCATTTGTTATTTTTTTTATTCCTTTTTCTTTAATTCAGTTTCAACCCACTATTTGCACCTAATTATTCATCAATATGTTAAATTAATCATCTATATAAATAAATAAGTATAACTGTAATAGAGAGAAACTGATCCTTCCTTGAAAAAAACAAAAAGACAACAGTTGCTCCGGTCGTTGATATTTGAAGTAACCAACGGCTTGACAAAACCCAAAAAATAATGTTTCCAATGATAATATACTGTACAGAATATCATTTTTCATTTTCGTCCTCATAATCACCTTCACCCTCGCCCTCATCATCATCGTCATCATCTTTGCTTCATCTCAATCAACTGGGTATGTTATCGTTGCCTTGTTTTCATCCATTAATTTGTTATCATACCCAAGTTCATAGTTAAATCTATAGTTAAGTTTCCTTCTACGTTGTCTTTCCTTTTTCTTTTAATCATAACAAAAATCTTTCTATTAATCTTTCTTATTAATTAATTGAGAAAAAATTAACATTACCTATTATTATTACCATTATTATTATCATCATTACGTTACCAGAACACGGAAAACCCAATCAATTATTATTGAAATTGTGAAAAGCTGCCAGATACTCTACAGTGAAAATTACATTAGACTGTTGCTATACACAGAAACAAAAGCTAAACCTGCAACCATTAAACCTTCTCCAAAGATACTGAACATACAATAGTGAAGTTAATTTAAATTGTGCCTAAAGATAAGTCTGATTGAGAGTTATTGATTAAATTGAATGATTCAATTCACACTGACAAGATGATTCGCTCAAAGTCAAATTAATAATAGCCTGTAAATTTAATGTTACCACCAGCTAATCAAAAAACTCAACAGACTCTCAATCTTGCTTGCAATCTACCTTGCTATTAACACCGTTTCATTTTTACCAATTATAACCATAACAATTAACTAACATGTAAGAGTTAATCTGGCCTCTTCTCAACTCCAATCTCTTCCCAAAGTCATAGACTTTAATCCAAACCCAAACCCAAACCCAAAAACCTAAAATATATGAAAACCCAATCTAAACCCAATTTCATTTCTCCTTTGCTTTGCTTTCTTTACCTTTTTTTGTATTCTTTTGCTTCAGAAACATTGATTAACAATTAGCTCGCTGAGTTGATTAATTATCAACGATTGTTTAAATAATATGTAATACCAAAAGCAAAAGCTGAAAATGCTGGTTTGAAATCAAATGACAAATATAAATTATGTTTGCAATTATGTTGTGTAAATCAGATGAAAACAAAGGTTTAACTTATTAAAATTGAAATCTATTGAAACATAAAGTATATAACATGGTATGTGGTTAAAATGAAATGCTGTTAACCACTAATTACTAACTAAAGTTAACAACCATTTAAATTAATTTATAAGAATTTATTTTCCAACTTAATTGGACTTTAGATGGCTCATCAATTAACATGTTAAATATTTGGAATAAGATTAAGAAGATTTAATTATTTGAAAATTGAAAAGATGAATTGGTTAACAAACAAACAAAATACAAACCAAATCAATATACAAATGTAATCATTATTATAACTAATCATTAGAAGCTTTTCATCAACTTCATCACTTCAACTATCAACTTTTGTTTTCCTCATTTACCTTTATTTGTATCAACCTTTAATTTTTTGTTGTTGATTATTTAATTTCTCATTGAATTCATATTTTGCTTTTTAATTTTCAACTCCATCTCATTAGTAAATAAATTGTAATAATTATTGGTTGAAAAAACAACTTTGAGATATTGAGATGAAACAAGTCTAACATCATTTTGTTGTAAAGTTATAAAATAAGAATGCAAATAAATTAAAAAAATTCAAATAACTTCATCACTTTCATTTATTTTGATCACAATTACATTACAATAATTTCTGGTCAATATTTAATCAACAATTAGACTTTGAAAATTGATCGACTCCAAATAGCTTGGTTGCTATTCATTAGATGGCGTTGAGTTTCTTTAAGAAACAAAACATTGCAGGATTAAAACCCGCGTAATTTTTTTGTTATTTTTCTTTCCCAAATTTTTGTGATCGTCTTTTAATGGCTCTTGTTTTTTAATTGTGTTTTATTCTTGTCATCAAATTATTTCCCAAATTAACACCATGGATAAGTATAATCGTGTTATTCAGGATGTTACTGCAATTGTTGATTCTATTGGTGATAGCCGAAAAGAACCGGATGAAAATGGGAAAGACTACCGATTAAGAAGTGACAGTGTTGAATGTATTAAGGAATTAATCCGAATGCTGAAAAGAGATGGATCTCTTTTTCCGATTTTACGTCACCTTGGTGCCATGAATATTGTAGAGAAAGATCTTCTACCTATTGTGAGAAATTATTTCTTGGAAAATGAAGCAATTGGTGAATACACTCTTCGTTTGCTCAATCAGCTCACTTATCCGGCTCTTATGTATTATAAAGAAAAAATGCCTGACAATGTTGAACATAAACGAGTCTTTTTGCAAATCAATGGTTATCTTCGTGTATATAAAACAAAACTTTCCAGGGATGTTAAAGTGTGGAAGGTGTTAATCGAAAAAGCGTTAAGTATCACAGCCAAGAATGTTATCGATCAATCAGAAGAAGAAAAGATTTTACTAGAAAGAATTTTAATATTTATCAGAAACATTTTGCATGTGCCAATTGACACATTTCTCGTGCATGGTGCTGATGACGATGAAATGATTGCCGAAGATATGATCATCACCTTTAAAGAGTCTGGTGTTCTCGATGCTTTAATTAAATTATCATCTCACGATGAAACTCAACCATTCTGCTTCCATCTTTTGGAAATCATCACATCTCTTTTGCGAGCTCAAAGTCCTGAGTTCTTAACTTTAGATGAAGATCGAAGTAGTCATGTAAACAAGAAACGCAAAACGTGTGCTGCTTTAGTTGAAAGTGAAGAATTGGATCAGATAAAAGAACACGAGAAGAAAATGAAAAATCTCTCCCGCTTTTCCCGATTCAATCGCTTCAAGGATTCAACTTATCTAGTGAAAAATTTCAAATCTGTTGGTGAAAATGATTTGATTTATCATAAAACCACTGAAGACCCTCGTAAAATTAGTATGGACATTGAAAAAGCTGGAACAAAGAAACCAAAAAATCGTGCACCTATGCAAGATGATTGTTCTGTTCAGTATAATAATATTGGAATCACATTTCGTCGTCCATCCATAAAAGTACGGAAACTTTTGAAAGAATTCTGTTCAAAATTTGTGAAAGAATCCTACAATTCCCTTATGGCATACGTTAAAAGCGCATTGGAAAACAAAAATGCTATAGCAAATGATGAAACATATTACTTTTTCACCGCACATTTTTTCATGGAATTCAATCGACACTCTAAAGGAGATCCAAGTGATATCGAAGAAACTTTCAATACTGAATATTTCCACTATTTGCACACCAAAGTTGAAGAATTTATGGATCAGATTGCGAACGCTCGATCTGACAGAGTCAGTATAACGGCTTGGTCTAGAAGACTTCACATTGCTCTAAAAGCATACAAAGAGCTTCTTTTCACAATTGCCTCGATCAAACATGCACAAGAAGAGCGACTGTTGTATCTTGCTAAAACCATGAGTGACAAAGTATTCTATGAACTCGACTACCGTGAACTACTGCTGAATCTAATTTCTGGTTATGATGAAAAAAAGATGAGCCCACAATTTCTGCGAGATTTGATTGAAACAAATCACGTCTTCCTCAAAATGTTAGATCTTTACAGTAAGTCGAATGAAAATTTCGTGGTCAAGACAAAAAAGAAAAAACGCAGGAAGCCGACTGCTAAGAAAAAAAAGGAACAACAAATGGAACTAGTCGAAAAATTATGGCAAGAAATAGTCTTTGAATTGGACGAGGCTATTCAAGGGAAGACTGAATTACCAAATCCAGATAATGAGGTGGAAGTTCTTTCTTTTAATGTTTTGTCTGAAGAGACTAGAGATGCCCAGAAAGAAGATGCCTTGTATCGAATAAGCAAATTTTTAAAACAAAGAAAAATTTTACTCGCTTTAGCACTTTGTAGAAATGCACGAGAAGAATACAACGATTACGACGATACACCTTTTGGAGCTCCAGACTTATCTCCTGAAGAGGAAGTAGCTATTTTGCACAGAATTATCGCTACTGAAAAGTGGATTGATCTAGATATGGAAGAACCAATCGAGAAAAATGGCAAAGAAAATGCTGTTGCTGATGAAAACATTGCTGAAAATCAGAATGAAGAAGAATTGGCTGATAAAGAAAAAGATCCAGTATCAGATTACGAAGAGGAGAAAGACGGTGAAAATAATGGAGTAGTAAACGATGAATCTGCTTATCAAGAGCGAGCATTTTATCTTCGAGATTTCGTTTTGAAATACTGTAATTCAAAGGTCGTAAAAGCTTATTGCTTAGCGTTGAAAAAATTCGATATAAATTCGGAAATACTTAATCATGCGATACTTCGAATGGCTCACAGAATTGCCTTGGACTGTAAATCTCCTGTTTTCTTCTTCCAGCTTTCAGTTTTCAGGATATTTCAAAGATGCTTTGAAATAAGCAAGTTAGATAGAGACAATAAATTCTCAGAAATAAGGAATTTTGCAAGATTCATAATCAAAGAGTTTGTTAGTCAAGCTAAAGGTAACGATAAACTTTTAGTGGAAATTCTATTCTGGAAAAATAAGAAAGAAATGCATGAAATTGAAGAGAATTATGTTAAACCTGAACCAAAAGAGCGAAAACGCAAAGAGAAGAAAGGAAGGAAAGGAAAGAAAGGTGAAGATGATGCCATTAACTCAACTTATGATTCCGACTCGGGAGATGACCGGCCTGGTAATCGAAATGATGATCTATCTGAGTTATCAGATGACGCAGATGAATTTAATCCCAAATTCCAAAGCACGCAAATTCCAAAAGTTCCTGAAGAAAAGTCAAAATCTCCTGATGCGTCCGTTGCTGAAAATAATCCTACCATTTATGATGAAGTCATTGATGTAAATTATGAAGAGCTTCAAGATCAACCTGGATCACTCAATCCTTATGATCTCGAAGATGATGATCTTATTGATATGGACGAAGTAATTAATCAAGTTGCAGCCGATGATGACAGTCTTGACAATGATTTTGAAAATGATGTAAATAATGAGAATTCTATAATAGGAGCAACCCAAAATGATTTAGCTGATGATTTAAGTGATGCTGAAACCATTGACGGTGAAGTTATTATTTCCAAGAGAAAGAAAAATATTGTTTTAGATGATAGTGATGACGATTGATGATGACTAAACATCTATCTGTTTTTATTTCCAATAAAGGAATGTTATTTTTCATAGAAATTTACTCTCATATCTGATTAATAAATTATTCAATAGTAACAAGTTGTAGAGTATTTTCCAGTTACTATATTAACTCCGTGAAATACATTAAAACAAAATTTATCAAGTAAAAAGTAATTCGTCAATGATGGGAAAAAATTCCAAAATAAGTAGTTTAATTCATTTTTTGTTTTCTCATTGAGATAAAAGATTATTTAGGTTATTAATGTGTAATTTAAAGATGATTCAGATTCGATATTTTATAATATGTAACTTAAACATCAGCAATTGATGTTTATTTTAAAATTGGATATAATAAACATTAGTAGTCAATCACATTTATGGCGAAGATATAGCTCGATAAATTAACTTCGCAACGCTTCTAGTCTTTTTTGCATTTCGGTAATTTCTTCTTCATCTTCTTCTTCCTTTTCTTCAACGACCTTACTGGTACTTTGTTTAGCGGTCGGTTCCTTAGTTGAGATTTCTGGAGCTTTGCCCATTGCACCTTGAAATGAAATAAAAGGTGTTTCAGAATACGATGTAATGTTGATAATTTTGAAAAGCTTACCTGCAGTTACTTCAAATAAGATTTTCTCGACCTCAGATTGAACTGCCTCTTCCATATCATCATCATCGATACCAGTGGCCTCGTCGATTGTTTCTTCCAACATTTCTTCAATTATTCCAGCTTTCATCATTTCTCTGCTCATTTCTTGCATTGTTGCGGAAATTTCGCCAACTTTGACCAAATTTTGCATACACTTCATTAAATCAGTTGATCGTTGTATTGCACCAGCAATCTTAATATTAGCTAATTGTTGTTCCATATTTAGCATGACGGAATTAATTTGCGCTTTAGATACATTTATACGGTTAATAGCTTTCCTCGATCTAACCAATTCTTTAGCCAAAACAACACAAGAGTCTCTATCACCTTTTTTGGCTGCATCTTTAAGAGATAATTTCACTTTTGCTTCTTCTCTTTGAATATTTCTTATCTGCCTGTCAAGGGCCATGGTTTCTTTTCTTAATTTTGACCTCCATTCTCTAACCTGTCACATTAAATACAAAATATAATAAAATAACATCACAAATAAAACAAAACCAAATTGAATAAAGATTGGATAACTCACCTGATCTTTCGGTGTTTTTTGAGGTTCTTTACCGAAGAGACCCATAATTTTTTGGATCTTGGAACGTTCAATTTTGCTAAATTTTCTGTTAAACTAACTAGAAATCATTATCTATCCAATTTTAAATAGATGCCTGAATTATGATGAACTCATCTATAACGACAAGTGTCAAGTGTATTTTGCCTACTGTAAGCAACAACACAACAAGTGCCGGGAAATATGAACGAAACTTTTGTTAAAATTGCCTGAAGGAGTTTCAATTCAATTAATGTTATTCATAATCTATTCTAATTTTCTTACTCATTAATTATTTCAATTAATTTGGAAAAAATATAGAAATGATTACCTTTTTAACCCCATTTTAAATGACAATTCATATTTTTCTTCATCTTATATCAGCAATTATTATACAAAAATGAGAAAATTAGAGTTTTTGATTGTTTATTTGTAAAAGGTATGTAAAAACAACTACATTAAAGATAACTATGAATGCATGATTACAGTATTTAGATTAAATTGAAATTTTAAATGTTTAAACTTTATTTAAGAAGGAGAAGGGACGAATTTTCATCTGAACCTCTCGAAGAGATTCATTTTCTTTGAATGTCATCCACCTGACTCCAGTGTCAACCTCCCTTCGGACATCAACTTCCTTATATAATCCAGTTAAATAGACCAATGGACATCTTGATGGGTTGACCCACCAGCCTCCAGTCAATAGATTTAAACAAGCAAATCTTTGTGAATCTTTGATTCTATCGCTAGTGATGAAAGAAGTGCCATTAAAAGTTAAAAATATCTCTGCCGTTTCTTTGTTGGATCCAAAAGGTTCATCAATTTGTAATTGGTAATTGTCTGATTCACTGGCGACGATAAATTTTTTAAATTGAACCGAAATACATTCACCAGAAAACGATTTCATATCAATTTGCAGGATTTGAGGTTCTTTTGTAGTTAAATGGTGAATCACTTCATTTCCAATCCAAAATTCATCACCAATATCACCAAATCCTCTTTTGTATGTTTGCCAATTTGTCCTGAAATCAACATGATGCTTCTTCTCTGAGAATTTGCCTCGTCTCAGAATAACCTTGAAAAAAGCAAAATTAATAAGATGATAAATAAATGTTATCGAGATGAACATCTTTAGGTTTACTTACCGTCCAACCTCCGCCATTGTCATCCATATCACAATAGACTCTTTGGACTCTTAAAGGTGAACCTGTCCTAACTGCGTACACTTTGGATTGGCAGGTTGAGTTTGATGTAATTATCTCAGCACAATCTTTAGGAAAATTGGGTCTAGAATGAGTACAGTCCAGCTTTGAAGATAGGCGAGGATCCATGATGGGACAATCATTGATACGCTGAGTCAACCCATCTAGTCGAGGTGAGTCAGCTTGATTGACGTTCGGTAATGTTACAAAAAATGATGGCGAAGGTGCACTTGATGAGCTGACTGGTGATCCAGCTGATGTCAATGTATTACATTTGCCTTTGCTAATTGTATCCATAACAAGTGTCATGTTATTACGAAGCTCTTGTACAGCAAATGAGAATTGATTTCTTAACCTGGAAAAGTCAGAGCAAACCTCATCACGAGGTTGACTGGTTAATTGATTACCATTTGAGTCATCCTCAACACCAGGCTTTTTATTGTTCACTGAATTTTCTTGGATATTGGTTATGATGGAAAACACTTCACCCAATCGTCCAGTTAATCCAGTAATATTCATATCATTGGCAAGCTCGTGTTTCAAGATATTCACTTCTTCTCGGACAATCTTTCTCATGTTGCTTTCACTTTCAAAATCGGATTCACCTCTTCTGGATAATGTTGGTTTGTCATTGAGATGGTTCTCCTTAACCAGTCCATATAAATCAGTCAAAACATTCATAATCTTGAGTAAACCTTTCTCGGTAGACTCAAGACGGTTATTTACACCAGTGGCACCAGAGCTGTTGATCAAATGCGCCAAACTTGTTTTTGCCGTTTCTTCAATTGTGGCCAACTTTGATTCCAATGTTGTAAACTTTTCCTCAATCATCCGGGTTCTCACCTTGGTTACTTCAACTGTATTCAGTACAACATTCAATTTATCCTGGAATAGATTTAAATTAGCCTCTGTTGATTTCAGTTGATTTGACAATTTACCAAAAGCTGTTTCCATTTCTTTCATGTTTTGACTCATTTCTTCAATCATCTTTTTACGACTAGCCGCTTGTCCATGGATAAAAGTCGGTCCTAAGATATTGAATAGCAACAAAATCAAACAAATGGTTATTAACTTCATTATAGATGCAAGAGTAGAGTTTATTTTTTGAACAATTGTCGTTGTCTTTTTCAATCTATTATTATATATTTAAACACAAAGTGAAAGCAGATCTTGACAAAACTGGATAAACTCAAGTTTTGTTTGTTTTAAGACTAAATACTTTCCATTTCTCCCAGTTTCTCTCACTTCTCTCGATCTCTTTATTTCATTGAGATGATGCTGTCAGTGATGCTGATGATCAACATGAAGATGATGATGATTACTGTTTGGTGTTGAAAATTGCTTCGTAAAATCTCGTAGTTATACTGTATTGTTCCGAGAATCGAGTTATGACTGTGAATTTGCTGGCTAATTGCCATTGACAATGAGCTCCAAGATATACATCAACATATCAAAAGATGACAACCTTACTCTCAACCTCTCTTTGAACTAATACATCAACAATCATCTTATTTATCTGATAATTATCATCATAACTGCAACAAAAAAGAGTAAGTAAACACTTCCGAGTTTATTTCTTACGAATTTTTCTTTCGGAGAAAACTCAGCTCAGGTCATTGTTACTGCCATTTGATAAGATTTTGATAAGATTATACGATTTTTCAATCTAACTATGAATTTAATTTTGACTCTTACCAAGATCACATGTGACTCCGTCCAGATTGCAGATGAATATCAATAGCGACAAACAAGTCTGGAGATTCAATGTTAGGCATTATTGATACATAATGGGAAGAGACGTTATTATTTCAATTTCAATGATTTGGGTAACTGATTGGCTTGATTTTCGGGTCGTTTTTGTTTCACTATCCAAGGATTTAGGTAGAGTTAAGCATTATATTGCTAACTTTCCTAATCACTTTAAATTATCAAAGCCAAATTAAATTTGGCATCCACTTGCTGATACACGACTTTAGTCAAAATACTGGTTGTAAAATTGGTCTTGATTGACAACGTTGATACATTAAGCTAACATTTAACTTGTCATAACATTTAGTATTTTCACTTAATTAAGACATGTTGCTCTATCCTGGGTCAATTTGAGCATAAATTAAGATAAATTTCATCTCTATTTTGTCATCTCAAGACGTTGACTATCTTTGACAGGAGAAGCTGATTCAACAATGCATTAGGTTCAAGTTTAAATTCAACCTCTGAGGAAAACAGCGTATTGAACCTTAATTAGATTTTTCTGGTGAAATTTAAATTCTACGGATAAAAGTTGAATGCCTCGATGAATCATATATGAACAGATAAATCAATTAGTTGTAGGAGTAAACAAGAGTCCAACTGTGAATATGTGAAAAGAGCCATATTTGAAGGTGAGTCAATTGGCGAAATTTTTGCACTCAATCATTACTCTTCACCAAAAGTGTTGCCAGTAGTTGATTGAGTTAGTTTGTATATTTTTTTCTTACAGCTTTTAAAAATTATTAAATTGCTGTTGAACTACATTTCAACCTATTTTGGTGTGTTAGACAGATTGACAGGCTGAATATTAACACAAATTGATTGATATCCTGAATGGCTATTATGTGACTTGTTTCCACTTTGGTTTAATCTTTGTTTTGAACACATCTTTGGAAACTAGGTTTTACTCTAATTAAGGCAGCTTTTATTAAGAACCATAAAGCTTGTGAATTATATCTTTACCAATACAAGCATCTACAACACATTTCAGTCGCTCACGGCTGTCCAAAAATTCAACAAAACTGGAAGTGCTCCACGTTAATAGCTTACAAGGTTCATCTGCTGAGATTGTCACTTGATAAACATTAGCCTCTGAAGGAGTAAAACATTTACCATTAGCATAAGAAACTGACAAATTTGTTTCCCTTTCTTGAATATTATCAAAACTAGGATATTTTAAAAATCTATCATCATAATTTGTTTCAAAATTTGAGTTGGAAGACAGTCGATTATCTGCAAGACAATAAAAAGACTGGTACTTGAACTCGAATGGATCAATAAATCTGTTAGGCTCAATTTCATAAAGAAATGTCTTTGAAAATGTAACTCGTAATTTTCCAGAGAGAAGGATGGAAATTTTTTCTCCTAATTTAGTGGAACCTTCAACGGCATAGGTTTCATTGGAGTATAGATTTAAAATGGTTCCAAATTTAGTCAAGTCCAGAAAATCTCTCGGTGTAACTCCAAGAGGCTGAAAGGTTGAGGTGTAAAGATCAAGAAGATGTCGAGGTATTTGATTGAGAAACCGTTGAATGAGCATATTTATCAGCTGAGATCCATTTATAACCAGGAAAAGGCCATACCATGTTAATAATGAACGAAAATCTGAGTTCCATCCATTGATTGAGCGAGTTGCAGCCCAAATTAATCCGATTCCATAACCAATAAATAAAACTACTTTGTGTATGAAACGAGCTATGTTGAAGTTAGCGGGAACTGAAAATGCCAACAAAATAACAGTTTGAAAAAGAGAGAAGAGCGGGTCATTTGAACCAAACCATGATTTACAGTTTCTCAAAGATGATTCAGCCTGTCATTAGAGAAATAGCAATCAATTAGATATTATGATATTAAAGATATGTTACAGTTAATTAGCTTGGCATATAGCTGTACAAAATAAAGATTATGTGAGAATGAAAAAATGTAAAATTGTTATAAGGAACGTGTCTTTACCTTTGATAAGAAAGTATCAGTTGTGTTCATTTCAATCAACGATTAGTTTGATTGGTTTTTATTGCAAAGCCTTTTAAAATTTAGACTCACTGGCACAATCTAATAGAACTGTTAATTTGGCAATTCAATTGTTCAGGACATTTGCAGTCAAATATCACATTCCTTCATCTGGATGGTTGTTAATTGAGTCGTTTGAATTTTTGTATCACATTGGTCTATTGACTAACAGTGATTCAAAAAACCAAGTGATGGTATGTTCACGATTCTGCAATCAAAATTATTCGCATATTGATACTGCGTCGAAACTGAAACAAAATATTGATCGAGTCAAAATGCATGATCACTGAGCTTGGTATTGATTGGCTATCACAATAGCTCTCGATCTTCAATTAAATCCAGTTTGGCTAAGGCAGCATATATTAACACTTTCTATGTCATCTAATTTCAACCATTAAATCTTGCATAAAATTAATTTGTTTAATAAGTCGAAAGCTTGTAAAACTTATTTCATTCATCAAAAAATTGTTGGTTTTGTCAAGATGGTAACTTGTTTTGATAGAAGTAAAAAAGATGAGGCGTTGAAGATTCAATGAATTAAAACTATGAATCAGTCAGCAATCGAATTCACATGTAGAATTGATTCAGAATTAGAGTCATTTTTATTGATTTGCTGTATTATTTGGTTTCTCATAATTTTCAACTTGTTTAGCACCTTTGTCATCTTGTCAGCGATAGTAACATTGATTTCAAGATTAATAAGGTTATTCAAGGAAGAGTGGACTTACTAGGTTTGCATGCTACAGAGTTAATGAATCACAGTATAATATAATAAGTCTATCATCCTTCAAAATTGAATATCGAGTTAGAGATAAAACAAGTTCATCAATAACGTGTTTCATTCTTATAGTAATAGAACCAGTATAAAGGAAAATTTTTCCTAAAAATAAACAAATCATTAGTTTATAACAGGAAAAACAAGGCTGCTATAAAATTAATTAACCCTACAAACATACATTTTAGAGGTTTGACAACATTTGAAAGCTGATTTTGAATAGGCTATTTTAAAACGGTCGATTCTGATTAGTTTATATGTTATTAGTTTATCCTTTCGGTGTTTTGACAATGATTGACAGCATGGACAATTCATCTTGTAATGAATAGATTAGGAGAAATAATTTCGATCATTCTCTCTGGAAAACTACGATTCAACTGTCTTCTGATTTGAATTCCAGAAGAAATTGTGGTGATAATAGATTTTTAAAAAATCCTGGTTTCAATGGTAGAATAGAAACAAACTTGACGGTTTTGTAAGTTAAAGTAAATATTTTATTCCTTCAGAAGCTAATATTTATCAAGTGACAATTTCTGCAGGTGAATCTCGTGAACTGATAACCTAGAAAACTTGTCATAAAGATTTTTTGGTTTGTGCTTGACTTGTTGTACCATAGGATGATCCTTTTTTAGTTTTGGTCGACCTTACCAATACGAGAAATGAAATGAATCCTGTAAAATACAAAGAGAAAAAAAGAGAGCAAAAGGGAAAATTAATTCAAATTAAATTTGACCTATTTTACAAAGAAACAGGGAAATCAATACTAACCGAGGCTGATCACAAGACATGTCACTGTCAGCAGAATGTAACTTTTTGATGTAATTAAGTAATATATAAAATATATAAGTAATGCGATAACGGAAAAGCTCCAAAATAATGTTTGAACCAATGGTGCTAGCCTTCTTTTTAAGACAATTGGTGGTTCTCCGGGAAATTTCCCATGCTCGTTGAAATAGTTAGTCAATTGATCCTGCACGGAAATGAGAGAAATTAGTTAGAACGAATTTTGTGAGAGAAAAAGTAAACCGTGAGTATAACCTTTTGTTTATAAACATCCAGCAAAAAGTTGCTAATCTGTTCATCACTTTCTTTTGGTATATTTTTCATAGGCACTCGTTGAATATACATGTAACCGTGCAGCGGTTGTCTCCTCAATATACTTGTCAATGTTGGGGGCGGATCTTCTTTGCGAAAGGCAATCTGAATGTTGTAGATGGCAGGAACTGGAGAGACAGAGGTAAAAACAATTATTCAGAGAAATAAATGAATGCGTAAACATGTTTACTTACGTTTGTCTTTCAATTTATTAATGGTGTAAACAAACCCACGGGATCTGGGATATAAGTGATGCTCGAGAATATCTAAGCCTTTATCTTTACAATATGTAACACTATTCTCGTATTTTTCTTTAGTATAACGAGTTCCTTCGGCAAATATTAGTAAAGTTACTACATCATCATATTCCATTAAACGTGTTACACTTGGTCCAAGATGCTGTGAATCTTTTTCCCATTGTCTTGAAACGAAAATCATCTCACAGAAGAACCATCCCCAGCCAATAACCGGAAGATATCTGATCTCTTTTTTAGCGAATCCTTTAGCACTCTGAAATAAAAAAAATGACAGCAAAGCAAACAGGGGAAGTTAACAACTAGTTGATGAATAGAGTGGTTCTACATAGAAGTTCATTATTGAAGAGTGAATCTCATGCCATCAGTTATTGCACAAAGATTAAGAGCTTCTCAAGAGTGTGAAATGTATATAACCGTAATCTGTTGGTAACTATGATCAGTTCAACAACTATTATAAGCACCTAGAGTGCTCAAAATATTTTGTAATACCTAAATATAGATGTAAGTTACTGGTTTAGATTAAGGTAATACATTTTGAGTCGGTGTGGCGTAATAATTACCCCTAAAATACGGAAATTGTCCGAAAGAATCCAAGAGAAGAGCCAATCAACTTCATATTTGTGGTTCATCAGGACGATACTATGCTCAGTACCAAGACAGTTTGCTGACTCCTTGTCAGCAAAATGCACGGTTAAAGTACATCCAGCCCAATATTCAGCAAGTGCGACCACTTGAGACCAGCTCGAATAAATCAAGTAATAATTTATTTTTCGGTAGACATAAGGACTTATTGGACGAACGGTAATATAAATTAAAAATTGGAATATATTCAAGATTAGACCACTGATGATCCAGATGACACCAAACAAGGAAGCAATTACCAAATTCAACTCAAAATATTTTGAAATTTCCATTGATTGTTAACAAAAAAGAGATAGTTAAATTTCTATGAAAGAAAGTCAAAAATAAAGAGTACAGTTATTAAAGTTCATACCAGAATGAAATAATTATCATCATTGTAATGCAAACAGATTAACATCATACAGTAATTTATAAAGTCTGTACTTCAGTAACTAGGTAACCAGTTTTAGGGGAAGTTACTATTTCTGGGTAACTGACATTTGGCGCTTACTTTGTTGCCCTTTTCAAAACAAATTCATTTTTTGCTTATCTTATTGACAAATTTTTGATTAACAATCAGAGAATTGCTTGGAATTTTAACTTTTGTAGAATTGCTTCTGAAGTTGAACTCTTTAAACACACTTTCTTCGTGTCATTTCTTAATCATTGAGAAAATATTGGCTATTGAATATGAATAATGTTGGAAAATGAGAAATTGGTGATGGAGGGATAATTTTATTGGTCGATCTAGATAAAGGAGGTCAAAATTATACATGATTGATGGTGATGCTTACAGTTTGCACGATGAATTGATTGCGTTCAATTAATATATTGATTTAAATTAGTTAAGTCTCTTTAAATATCTTCAACGGGTGGGTTCCAGCGTAAAATAGCATCATGTTTCTCAAGTTCAGTGTTGAGATTACAAACAAATTTTTCTTTTATGTAACTAAATTCCATAACATCTTTTGGTTTCTCTTCTATCCACAGTTTATCAAATGTATAAAATAAATAACCTGGTGAAAAGAAAAATAAAACAATGTAATTCAGTTGACAAATTTCACGAAAAATTATTTGAAATGAATCAAGAAAATTACAACTTACAGTAGACTCTGTGAAAGTCTTCCAAACACGTAGTACCGAAATGACTATTGTAAAAGTGAGTTTTAAGCCGGTTGTTATTTAGAAGAGTAAAAGCGATATAAGTTAAATTAATTCCAGTTATTGCGAACGGAAAACTAAAAATAGAAGAAAAATTGAGTTAGAGCAAGTTCTTGAACTGTATAATCACCTAAACATACCCGTGACTGGGATGATTTGAATGTAGTAATATACACCGAGCTGTTTTAGTAAAATTAGTTGCAAAATAAAGAAGGTTTTCTAGACCAAGAATACCCATTCCTCTGAAGTCGGTTTTAGGATCTTCGCCTTGGAAACCGATCTCGGTCCATTGTTTGGTAACTCTAGATTTTAACGGGTAATCAGGATTCAGAGTTTTCCAAAGTAGTAAAAGTTTCTCTTCATGTTCTTGGTTTGTGCTATCAAAAGGTATGCTGCGAAGGGAATCTATTTCATGTTGTAGATTTTTGTAGCCATAAATTTGTAAGAAACATATCCTCATTGCGGTAACAAATCTAAGAAAAGATAAAAAGGATTAGCTCAAAAGATGATACAAGAATGGGTTAAACTTACTCTGGATGAATTGAAGGTTTGATATCTTTTTCAACACAGATGGCTTCAACGGCATGTTCAACTAGGCGAACAACTTCACAAGTGTTATTAGAGTTGAATCGTCCATTTTTGGCCAAATCATCTAGCTTTTCGCAAATGCGACGGATCACTTTTCGTCGTGAAGAGTAAATACATTTTTCAACTTCTAAAGATCTTTGAGCTCCTTTCTCTGTTTTATAACAGATCCGTTGGAGTTCACAAAGACCCGTGCATTTACGGAGCAAAATTTTCAGGATTAATGTGAAATAATAGCTGAACAATGAAATCACAGAGTGAACAGCATAATTGAAAATGTCTTCGACTAGTTGAAAACGCATCCAGGATGGCAAAACACTTTTCGGTTTATTTGTACTCATACCTTATGATACTTTTTAATCCCGTGAATGGATTGGAGGAGTAAACTTTACGGATATGATAGTCTAAGCGATAATAAAAAACAACACGATATCAATTCAATTGATATCAACAGTGGATTTACCGATAAAAATAGGAGCCTTGTAGAGATAATTAACCAGTGTATAAATAAGGTTAATGTAGATTGTTTGTGGAATCCTATGGATGTTTGAGTTGAGATGGTTATAGCTGGTTAAATCATCAGATAAACAAAACAAACATCCCATAAATAAGAAAATAAATTAAAAATTGAACTGTCGAATAAATTTGTTCTGTTGCTGTAGCTCAACTATTAAGAATCATCATTAAATTAATAAAGACACTTTATCGAGGTTGCCTTGCATAACAGCTGATCAGATGAATTATAATAATATTGAAAAGCGCCAAATATGTTTATACTCCTTTGTCTGATATTTGACTGATAAGTTAATAAACCAAATGAACCAAATTGAGATAAAATTAGTAAAATTGATTAATTAATATCTTTCATCCTAAACCTTTATCAATAAAAATAAATCACCCGCTGAACAAAATGGAATGATTTCTGGTTAGCTCAATGAATTTCGAGAGAAACAATTTAAAATAGAGTTGATAGATTATTTTGATTTATCCTTTTTCCCTAACAATTAATTGAAATTGCATTATCATGATGTATTCAAAACTGTACCCTTTCATCAACAGAATCAATTTCATTCAGAATTAAACTAAACCATTTTATTAAATTTTGCGTTTTATCGATAAAGACGGATCAATTTAACTAAAAATCTTTTAATAGCTTCTTATGAGATTAGCTTCAATTAAGATCAGTTTTATTGAATTTCAAATTACAGTTTGAGATTTTTCTAGATGATTAAGATTATCATTTCAATTTTTACGCGTTCTTTAAAAGAGTAACCTTAGCAGCAGTAAGTTGACTTCAATATTATGTGAGATGAAGTTTGCTTATGGATTAGACTTTTATTGTGTTTGTTTACTTTTCTAGAAACCAATAAGTCAATTTTCAGTGTCTAGTAATTTTAATTATTCAAGTTAATTATTATCATCTATTTAAATATGTCTGTATAAGTTGAATAGTGAAAATCTGGTGTAATGAGAAACCATTTTACCACTGACTAGGCAAGTTTGCTCCAACAAAAGAGTCTGCAAGCAGGCTTTCTTTTACCATTACTGTATCTCTATGTGTCTAAGCTGTCCTATGACACTCATTTTTGTTTCCATTTAAACATTATCTGAATGTATCCAAGTGAATGTATCTTCATTTGATTCAATTTTCCCCTATTAGTTGACTATTTATAAATTATATGTGTTTACATTAAATTGGGATAACACCCATCACCTGTGACTACCTTTGTTTACAACACACTGTAACTTGTTACAACCAAGCCTTGCCTTATCATTATCATCACCATCATTTTTTATCTTCCAACAGGCAAGAATTTATCAGTTGTGTTATAGTGTTCCTTAAATACCGGACCATTTATCACCTTTAATCAGTCAATTTTCGATTTATTTATTAATCTAGGATCACGGTGAGTGGAATGACATTACTCTTATTTCTGTGAAAAGATACATAGAGATTATATAGATGTATTGTCTCGTGGCTAAGCTTTTTGTAAAAAGCTTGAGATTCTCAATATTTAAATTTTGAATTTTCTTCCATAGATTTTTATTCTTTCGCCTTCATTCGGCCGATATTTTCAGAGAAATGTACATCACGTTTCGGGACAAAAACAGAGCTATAGTGTCTATTGATTGACAATTTTGAACTTCCACCAATCTTGAACTTCATCTCATAATTATTAATAATCGAGCCAAGCTGTCAAGACAGTTTACAAAATGTGGCACGAAGCAAGGAAGCAAGAGAAAAAAGTCCGAGGAATGATTGTCGACTACAAGAGACGGGCTGAGCGTCGTAGAGAATTTTATGAAAAGATTCGAAGAGATCCAGCTCAGTTTCTTCAGATTCATGGCTCGTCTGCAAAGATACACATGGATTCTAGTATCTCTACTGCCGCTGAAAGCTGTCTTATGCCATGGAGAGGTGATGAAAAAAATATGATTGACAGATTTGACGTAAGAGCTCATCTGGGTGAGTAAACAATTCATCAGTTTTTTATTAAAGGATTTTCTTTTTCGATTAGAGTTATAGCAGAATGCCATTGCGAAATTTCGCGAATCTCTTTAATCTAATCGAATCATTCTATCTGAATCACTTGTTGTGAAAAAGTAGAACTTTAACTCTATTGAAACATGATGATAAATTACGTTTTTTAATTTCCTTGCAGATACAATTGTATCGGAAGATACTCCATCTGTATCAACACATAATAAAAGTGACATTGAAAAGGACTTAGCCTCAGAAAAGCAAATAAATTATGAAAGATGGAGGACTTTGATTCAAAATGAATTTTTGGGGATTCCAGAATCAAAAGCTCTACACCAAATTTGGTTGGAAGAAAGGTTTGGTATGAATCAACCTTCAATGACTGAGTCTCCTACACAACAAAATGTAAATTTGAAGAAAAAATTGGCCGAAAAGAAAGCAAAAATTGGCTACAATTATGACAAACCAGAAGACAATAAAAACATTATTGTGAAAGGGGAATCCAGCTCATCCGAGGAAGATTCAGACTCCGATGAAGAATTCGATACTACGATCAACATTGAGACATTAACCTTAGACCAAACTTCTCGGTTGAATTCAATTGGTACCAAATTTGGATTAGGAGCAGATGATTTTGTGAGTTTTGCTGAAGAAGATCTCGCTGAAGCTGAACGAATCAGGATTGCTAAAGAACTAGAGAATGAAAAGTCAATGTTTTCAGGAAGAAAATCACGCCGAGAGAGACGAGCTCTCAAGGAGAGAAGAATGCTTATTTTACGAGCCAATAATGCAGAAGAGAATGTTAAACCTATCGTTACGCAAGGAACATCTACTACTTCGAAAAACAAAACTGAATCTTCATCTGAATCATCAGAGTCTGAAGTAGATGAAGCTAAAATTGAATTCATTACATGTTTCGGAGGAAGCTCTGATGAAGGGGCGAATGACGAGGAACAAGTTAAGAAAGATAGTAAAAACAAATCAAACAAAAAGAAGGACCACAAAAATTCAAAAAGTACTGCTAATAAAAAACCAACATTAATTGAATTTGGACCAAGTCTTCCTCCTGAAATTGAACAAAAAATAATGTCAAAACCAAGTTTCAAGATCTCTCCTTCTAAAGGTTGGTTCTTTTGTTTTTATTTTCAATCAAATTCGTTCAATTTTAATCACTTCATTTGTTTTATTTCAGATATTACTCCTCCTCCAAGAAGAAGTCCTAGTGTTCGAAGAAGTGTATCTCGTTCTCCAGACTTCAGTTCTAGAAGAGAAAAATCTCGACCTAAGAGTTTCAGTCGTAGCCCTTCAATGGCGAGAAAATTCTCTCGAATGCGGGATAGAAGCAGGAATAGAAAACGAAGTCGAAGCAATAGCCATTCTCGAAGCCATAGTCGAAGTCGGAGTCGAATTTTCAACACAAGAATGCGATCATTTAGGCATAAAAGTAGAGAAAGGTAAGAATTATCATTTAAAACTAGTCATTTGTAAAAAATATGTCTAAATTATGCCAATGCTTCTCTATTAGAAGAAATTGCCGGAAAAAATCTCACTCTAAAAGTAGAAGTCAGAGCAGAAGTTGTAGTCGAAGTTTGAGCCGAAGTCGCAGTAAAAGTCGCAGTAAATCCAGACGTGATTATCATTCATCTCGGTGAGTTATGATTAAAAATCGATAATTTTGTACCTATTTTAATGTTTAATTTTCTATTATTCTAGGAGACGTTATCGTCACGGAAGATCTTTATCTAGATCCTGCAGTCGTTCCTTCAGTAGATCTCCTAGAAGGGATCATCGTAAAAGAGGAAGAAGTCGTGATAGATCTAGAAATCGAGGTCGAAATCGGGATGGAAGCAGAAACAGAAACAGAACTAGAAGTAGAAGTAGAAGCAGAAGACGAAATAGAGGCAGAAATCGAAGCAGAAGCTTAAGTCGAAGTTGCACCAGAAGTAGAAGCAGAAGTAGGAGTAGAAGAAGAAGTAGAACTAGAAGTAGGGATAGGAGAAATAAAGACAGACTTCGAAAGAAAAGTCGAAGTCGTAGTCGAAGTTCAATCAATAAACGTAGGAGAAGAAAGAGTACTAGTAGAAGTCATAGTCGCGTGCGAGGACGTAGTCGTAGCCCTAGCCAGGGAAATTCAAAAACAAAAATCGATGTTAAACCTAAATCAACTAAAATCGATTCTGTTAATTTAGAGAAAAATAATTCACAGAAAGAAACACTAAAAAGACTCAACCCCAATCAATCCACAGTGGTTCAACGTAATGAACCTGATAATGAATCAAATCTTGAGATAAAATTGCCAGATGAATCAGGATCTAGCCAGTTTCTTCCACTTGATATACCAATGCCGAGTCAACCAGTTGAACAAAATGAAAGTTTAGAACAAATCGAACCTCCTAAAGAAAAAATATCAAGTCCATCAGCAATGGATATTAGTCCACTTAAAGAGTCTGTAGATAATCAAGAATCAACTATATCTAAAGATAACTCTAATGCGCCTGGTGTAACTCATGACGATAACTCGGAAGCTTCAACTTCTTTAGCTCGACAAAACTTACCTTTGAAAAGATACTATAGGCACGATTTGGTCGACGAAAGTAGCGGTCCCGAACTAGACGAAGAGGTGGATGAAGAACCACCACCCACTGAAAAACTGTAAGTTATTGGTGTATTTTAATTGTTGCAATTTTAATCTAATATATTCTTATCTTTTGTCTTAGGAGCCCAAGAGTGGCAAACAGTGTGAATACTAGTACTTCCAAAGTCAGTAAGAATTTACTAATAAATAGAATAACCCATTGCAGTGTTTCGCGCAAAAGGATTCAAGAGTCTGGCCTTACTTCAATCATGGCCTATGGATAACCATGGATTTAAAGTTGAATTTTATGTTTATTGCAGGCAGGAAATAGTTTCAAGGCATTGACTGACAAAATGAAGAAAAAGACTCAGGCACTTATCGAACGCCAGTGTAAGTTTGATTAAATTCCCAACTTGATTATCAGACTGATAATTCTTTTTGCCATCTGATTTTCTTAGACAAACTGGATAAAGCTGCCGAGCGGGAAAAGAGAGAAAAGCATGGATCCGATAGAGAAAAAAGAGACTCTAGGCGTTATCGTCCAAGACGAAGGTAACTCTTTCTTAGATTGAATTGATAAGTTTTATCAAATGGTATTTGTATAAGTCAATTATTAAATATTTATTTTTATTTTAAATAGATCTCGCTCGCGTTCAAGAAGCAGCTCCCGCTCTGGAAAATATCATTCAAGATCACGTTCGTATTCCCGTTCATCAAGCTCGTCAAGTCGTGGATTTACTAAAAGTATTTCAAGATCCCGATCAAGGTCCTCGTCTTCCAGTTACCATTGAATATATCTTATTGGAAATGCAACAACGGCGAGCTGGATTATGGGTAATCATTTCCAAATTGTTGGAAATATTTGTGAACAATGTTCAATTATTTATATCAATCCACCAATCAATTTACTGATATTTAGAGTATTACATCTTTCATCTACATTTATACCTTGATTATAAGGACACTTTTATTAAGATCCAAATTGTCAGGAAATAAACCCTAAAACCATCTATTCAGTTCTTTATTACACGACTTTTTTCTCAAATTTTATGTTAACATTTTTGATTTGACTGGTTTTTAGAGCTCTTTTAGATTTCTTTCAATGTTCATGTAACTGATATCAAACCTCTAATCTTCCCAATATTCAACAGTCTGCAGTTTTCATAATATTTTTCCTCAGCTCAATGTAATATTTTGATGCTTAAAATTTAAAAATTTTAGGGTATCAATTTATTCAACCAATTTAGTTAATAATAGCACATGAATTAAAGTATAATTGAATAACGATCGCGAGGTGATATGGTAGTCAGATGTACGAAGGCGAAACCCGAGTTTAACCTTGATCAGTGACTAGCTAAAAATACCATTTCAATCGCATATCAAGATTGAATCAGTCAGAATCAAATGAAAGGACCACCGGATTTATGCTTTATAAATCATAATTGTATTGTATCTCAATTTGCTATTCCAAAACAAATTATAGATTTCGATATTAAGATAATAAATCAATGTTGATAATAACTTTTAATACAGATTACCACAAACCTCAAATCCTTTTAGATTGGACATGTAATTTCAACGTGATAGCTGCAAATATAAAATGACTCTTATGACGAAAGAATGGAAATAAGTAATTATTCAATTGTTTGCAAATTTAATAAGTCACCAAACCGTAGTTCGTCACCAGCAAGTGAAAATTTAGTCTTAATTACTGGAAAATTTCTGTATACAGGTAAAAACAGAAAGAACCAATTTAGTGAATTATTTCTGTGCTCCAAACAGAGACAGTAGTTCCTTTGGGCAGAGGAGGTAATTTAGGTGAACTCAATTCAGGGAAAGTTGGTTTAGGTGTAGTTACTACTGGTTCTGGTTTGGGTTTGGGTGTCGTTGAAGTTGATGTGGTTGGTGCATCTGTCGTAAATGGTTTCTTAGTCTGATGTCTGTGTCCATGGCGTGAGCTGGGAGGATTGAATAAGCCATCAACCAAGCTTTCAATGGGTTCAAGAAGATCATCCAAAAATGAATCTAGTCCAGAAATCATATTTGATTTTGAGTTGATATATGATTTCTTTATGATGGGTTCTGAGATTGAATTTGACTTTTTGGAAACCATTCCATCGTCTTTTATAAAGAACTGTCTTGATTTAGCTCCATTCAGAGTTAAAAATGTATCAACCAATTCTTCCGCATGATCTTCTAATGTTGGTTCAATTTTTCCAGAAATTATTCGACCAGATAGACTTAAAACTCCATTTGCATTTTTGTGTACCAAAACAGTACCACTGGTTTTAGTACCGCTGAATAAGTTACCATCATTTGATGGAATCGATTCACGGATCAGTGATTGATATTCAACAGTGTATAATGAGCCTGTGGTTGAAGGTAATAAGGAAATGAGTTTACCGTCGTTTTTCAACAAATTTTCATCCCATTCTGAGCCAAGTGAAGTGATTTTGATCTCTGCTGAAATGTAAACAGTTTTGAATAAAGTTAAATTGTGAGAGTCAGTTGAACCTCCTAAATTAATAGTAATAGAACCATCCAGATTAGTTATATCGTTATTTTGCGATTGTACACTTGTGACAACAAAATCACCAACAGATTGTTTACTTGAAGATGATTTAGTAGTAGTAAGAGTACCCATTTGAATATCTCTTGTTCCTTGTGAATCTGAAGTTAAAAATATCTTCAATGGAACAGATTCAGTTGTTGAATCAGAAACCAATGAATTTAAGCTGTTAAGTGTTTTTTCCGAGTTTACCTCCACTGATTGTTTTGGGTCAGAATAAACTGATTTGCCATAAGCAAATGTTGTCGCTTCCTCTTCGAGTCCAGTGAAAACAGCACTGCTCAACAAATCCTGAAGGTTTCGTTCGCTCAACTTGGCTCCATAAAGTATATCAGCCCTTCAAAAGTCACAAAAATGTAAAATCATAATTTATCAATTGACTGTCTTAGTCGTTAATAGTCGTAATGAACTTACCTATTCTTGATGTAATCAACAATCTCATTTTGGCGAATAGTTGTAAAGTCGATGGCAAATGACTCGACTGACAGTAAAACTATCAACAGGAATAATTTCACGGTTATTTTCATGACTCGAAAAATTGTATTAAAATTTGCAAATATTAGTTTTCAAACGTTTCAATACTTTTTTTATTATTCAATCCCCTTTTATACAAATACTTTTTTCATTGTCTTGTTAATCTTCAATTTTTTTATTAACCACGCGCTTTTTGTAACATCCATATACAGAAAATACCGTGATTATTGTATTTTCTGGTATCAAAAATCAGAGGATATCATAAATCATACATCATTGTTGTATTGGCCTTTGAATAATTGATATATTTCAGTACATATGCAGGTAAAATGAATAATGCAAATAAATTTTAATAAAGATTATTGCAAATGAATAGAAATTTGTAAATTAAGATTTCTTTATTAGCGAGTACAACACTGAAATCGAGTCTAATTAGTCTTCAGTAAATAAACAATGAAACTGAATTATCATGGTCAAGTAAAATTTTTGAATGCACAATTCTCAATACCTTTGACCTAAGCTTTATATTTGTTTTTCCCAGAATAAATTCCAAATAATAATTGTAACAATTTTTTATCAATTTCAATAGAGATTACCCCAAGCGTCGTACACAAATAGAAACCTAACTAACGAATTCACACCTTTTTAGATAGAAATGTAATTTCAACGTGATAGCTAAAAAATTACTCTTAGTTACAATTTTTTATCGACAAAATCGATTGTATAAGAATCAAATCATGAACTATTCTTTACGAATTTTTGTGTGTCCTTATCATTTTTATTCAAAAACTTTACATGTTTAGGCTCTATGATGCTCATATTAGATGAAATAGTTGCACCAGATATCAATTCAGTAGCCAAGAATATCATGATGATAATATTATACTCAATTCGGAACCAGAAACCTGAAAATATTTTCGATTTACTCATCTATTTAAGTGAAATTATTATAATCAACTACAATTTGCTAACTTGACTTGTTTATTGGTTTACTTGGAGATGGAATTCAATCGCTCCTCTTGAATCTTCATCCAATGTGTGAATGAATTCCTCAAGAAAAAAACTTTTCTTATGTTTAAAAAGCTGAACAAATTCGTATCCAATTGCCAAATGCGATATATTGTTATTATTATTATATATATTTTATTATTAAAAAGAATGGAAAAAGTAATTATTCAATTGTATGCAAATTTAATAAGCTATCAAAGCATAGTTGGTCAAGGAATGAGTAAAATTTAGTCTTAATTACTTGAAAATTACTGTATAGAGAAAAGAACAGAAAGAATCAATTTATTGAATTATTTCTGTACTCCAAACAGAGACAGTGGTTCCTTTGGGCAGAGGAGGTAATTTAGGTGAACTCAATTCAGGGAAAGCTGGTTTTGGTGTAGTTACTACTGGTTCTGGTTTGGGTTCGGGTGTCGTTGAAGTTGATGTGGTTGGTGCTTGTGTTGTTGTTGGTTTCCATCCATGTCTATGTCCATGTCTGTGTCCATGGCGTGAGCCAAATAAGCGATCAAAGAACCTAGAAAGGCCTCCAAAACAATTGAAATTTGATTTTGAAAGAGTTGATTTCTTCATGTTAGGGTCTGAGATTAAATTTGATTTTTTATAAACCATTCCATCATCTTTTATGAAAAACTGTCTTGATTTAGCTCCATTCAGAGTTAAAAATTTATCAACCAGTTCTTCCGATCGATCTTCCGATGTTGGTTCAATTTTTCCAGAAATTATTCGACCAGCTAAACTTAAAACTCCATTTGCATTTTTGTGAACCAAAACAGTACCACTGGTTTTAGTACCAGCAAATAAAGCACCGTCATTGGATGGAATCGACTCACGAATCAATGATTGATAGTCAACAGTGTATAATGAGCCTGTGGTTGATGGTAATAAAGAAATGAGTTTACTGTCGTTTTTCAGCAAATTTTCATCCCATTCTGAGCCAAGTGAAGTGATTTTAATTTCTGCTGAAATGTAAACAGTTTTGAATAAAGTTAAATTGTGAGAGTCAGTTGAACCTCCTAAATTAATAGTAATGGAACCATCCAGATTAGTTATATCGTTATTTTCCGATTGTACACTTGTGACAACAAAGTCACCAACAGATTGTTTACTTGAAGATGATTTAGCTATATTAAGAAAACCCTTTTTAATTTCTGTTGTTCCTTGTGAATCTGAAGTTAAAAATATCTTCAATGGAACAGATTCAGTTGTTGAATTGGAAACCAATGCAGTTAAACTGGTAAGTATATTTTCCGGATTAAACTCCATCGATTGTTCTTGGCCAGAGCTAACCGATTCGCCATATATAAATGTTGACGCTTCCTCTTCGAGCCCAGTGAAAACAGCACTGCTCAACAAATCCTGAAGGTTTCGTTCACTCAACTTGGCTCCATAAAGTACATCAGCCCTTCGAATGTCACAAAGTGTAAAATTATTATTTATCAATAGACTGACGTATAAAAGTCACAATGAACTTACCTATTCTTGATGTAATCAACAATCTCTTTTTGACCAATGGTTGTAAAGTCGATGGCAAATGTTTTGACTGCTAGCAAAACTATCAACAGTAGTAACTTCATAGCTCTAAAAATCGTAATATCACAATTTGTAAATAATAGTTTTCAGTTGTTCAATACAATAACTCTTGTTATTGTTCAGTCCTTTTTATACAAATACTCTTTTCATTGTCTTATTAATCTTCAAAATTCCTCATTAATCACGCGATTTTTTTGATTTCCTTATTTTCATATTTTCATTTCATATTTGTTTTTCCTAGAACAAAATATAGATCATAATTGTATAAATTTTGATTGAGATTACCACAAACGTCGTACACAAATAGAAACCTAACTAATGAATTCATAGCTTTTTAGATTGGACATGTAATTTCAACGTGAGAGCTAAAAATATAAAATGACTCTTAGTTACTATTTTTCGCTATCAAAAATCTATTATATAAGAATAAAATTATATCATGAAATTCCCATAGAAAGGATTTTCCAACATGCGAAAAAAATAATAAACGAATCATTCTTCACTTGTTTACAACATTGTAAGCCCAAAAATCATGACCAAATGTGCTAATGGAAAGTTTTTAAATTTAATTAGATTATAATTAGTAAAGAATTGAATTGGGGAAAAATGGTGAATGTTGTTGGTGCCATTCTCGTGATATCGAGGCTGAAAGTTTTAAGGCTAATGGCCAATATCAAGAGAACTGTTGTCAAATTGTTACAAGTTTTCGGTCTAATATGTGTACCAACAATTGCATTGGCAAATATTAAGTTCTCGCTCTTTAACTCTAATGGTCACAGAAAGCGATCGATGCAACTGCAAATTAAACTAATTTGTTTACAGAAAATAGAGAATTATATTTCGCAAAATAAATGCATTTTCTGGTTGGCCATCAAAAGTTACAAGAAATGAGTTTCATTTAAAAATCTGCTTCCATAATTGTACAAAAAGCGATACAAGTTTCAACTCGAAAACAGTCCATCAGAGAAATCTTTAAATCGCCCAAAACATTTCATTTTTCATGCCCCTACAAACTAACAGAGTATCTGAATTTGAAAGAAATCAATTTTTACCCGTTTTTGCCCATTTGTGTCAATTTGTGCATAAATGTGAAAATTTTGTCTTTTTAGTAACAACAAGCATTTCTCATATCAAATTTTCAGTATGAAGTGTGGCTTTAATTCGTCTATTTTAATGTTTTTCAGCAACAAAAACCCTTTTTTCAAGCATATGAATTGGACGGTAGATAAATGAACTGATAGTTACATAATTAAAAAAGTTAATAACAAATTATCTGAAATGTAACATTTTATCGATTCAGCAAAATTCAATTGTTACTCTTTTTTATCCATTCTGACATATTCCTTGTTTCAATGTAAGAAGAGATCAATCGGTAGATTTTTCGAGAGAAATGATAAAATCCAACTCTGAGAAAAGAGATGAGAGAATTGTGATCAGGGAATAATGAACAAACCCATCATTTAGATTGATTAAAGATAAATAAGAAGTGATCAATGCTATCTAACACTAGAATCTATTTGTATTAATAATAATGGTTCTTTACTTTAGGAAGATCAAAATTTATTTTATTTTGAAAGATAAATAAAATTCAATGTCAGATCACTTAACAATATTTGATTTTAACACCAATTTTAGAGTTTTTTCATAGAGTTTCAATTTTAGAGTTAAAAAATAATGCAAAAAGGTAATAATTTAATTGCTTGCAAATTTAATTAATTATTAATCCAAGTCTTGAGCGAGTAAAAATTTAGTCTTAATTACTGAAAGATTGCTGTATACAGAAAAGAACAGAAAGATTCAAATTATTGAATTATTTTTGTACTCCAAACAGAAACAGTGGTTCCTTTGGGCAGAGGAGGTAATTCAGGTTCAGTCAATTCAGAGAAGATTGGTTTTGAAGTAGTTGTCACCTGTTCTTGTTCAACAGGAGTTTCCGTTGTCGGTGCAATGGTTAATTTTTCTGGTTCAGGTGTCTGTGTAGTTACTTTTTCAGGTTGACGAGTTGTTATTACCAAAGGTGTTGGTGTTGATGGTGAAGTTGATGGTTTTGAAGTTGTACTAACAACCACTGGCTCTGGTTTAGGTTTTTGTGTTGATGGGCTTGGTGCTTGGGTCGTAGATCTAACTGGTTGTTTAGATGGCTCATCAAAATTTCTCCAATGCCATTCATATCTGTAGTCGTAATTATAATGGTAGTCATATCGCCATCCTGGCTGGTTTGACCATGCATCTGATTGCCATGAATATGGATCTTCTCTTTGGTTTTCGTGCCACCTTCTTGAATCATGATTCCGGCGATAACCATGATTTGATTGAGATCTACTATTTTCCTTATGGTGTGACTTATGGCCGCGATATAAATAACCCAAATAATCAAACAATGCACTTCCACCAGAAATCAAATTTGATTTTGACTTGATATCTGATTTCTTTATGTTGGGCTCTACGATTGAATTTGACTTTTTGGAAACCATTTCATCATCTTTAATAAAGAACTGTCTTGATTTAGCTCCATTCAGAGTTAAAAATGAATCAACCAGTTCTTCCGCCTGATCTTCTGATGTTGGTTCAATTTTTCCAGAAATTATTCGACCAGATAGACTTAAAACTCCATTTGGATTTTTGTGGACCAAAACAGTTCCACTGGTTTTAGTACCGGCAAATAAAGCACCGTCATTGGATGGAATCGATTCACGGATCAATGATTGATATTCAACAGTGTATAATGAGCCTGTGGTTGAAGGTAATAAGGAAATGAGTTTACCGTCGTTTTTCAACAAATTTTCATCCCATTCTGAGCCAAGTGAAGTGATTTTAATTTCTGCTGAAATGTAAACAGTTTTGAATAAAGTTAAATTGTGAGAGTCAGTTGAACCTCCTAAATTAATAGTAATAGAACCATCCAGATTAGTTTTATCATTATTTTGCGATTGTACACTTGTGACAACAAAATCACCAACAGATTGTTTACTTGACGATGATTTAGTAGTAGTAAGAGTACCCATTTGAATATCTGTTGTTCCTTGTGAATCTGAAGTTAAAAATATCTTCAATGGAACAGATTCAGTTGTTGATTCGGAAACCAATGCAGTTAGTCCCGTGAGTAAATCTTTTGGGTTAACCTCAACATCGGGTATAACTTCAGAGCCGACTGATTTGCCATAAGCAAATGTTAATGCTTCCTCTTCGAGTCCAGTGAAAACAGCACTGCTCAACAAATCCTGAAGGTTCCGTTCACTCAACTTGGCTCCATAAAGTACATCAGCCCTTCAAATGTCACAAAGTGTAAAATCATTATTTATCAATAGACTGACGTATAAAAGTCACAATGAACTTACCTATTCTTGATGTAATCAACAATCTCTTTTTGACCAATGGTTGTAAAGTCGATGGCAAATGTTTTGACTGACAACAAGACTATCAACAGGAATAATTTCACGGTCATTTTCATGACTCTAAAAACTGTTTTCAAATTCGCAAATAATAGTTTTCAATTGTCTTATACAATAACTGTTTGTATTGTCAATCCTTTTTATACTAATATATTTTTCATTGTCTTATTAATCTTCAAATTTTTCATTAATCACGCGCTTTTTATAACATCCTTATTCAGTGATTCATAAAATACCGTTATGATTGTATTTTCTAGAATAAAAATCATATAACATATCTAAATCATTGTTGTATTGTATCGTATTGGTCTTTGAAACAATTGATATATATCAATAAATATTGATAAAATGAATAATAATAAAAATTTAATAGAGATTGTTACAAAAAAGACAGTTAAATATAAAGATCAACTCAAATCATAAGTTGATTTGTTATGCTAATATGCAGTCAAATCAACGCACTTGATTCTTACCCAAGTCAACTTCAACCATCATGTGTTGGTTCGTAGAGATTAAAATCTTTGACAGCTACACAGCTTTAGCACTTAAAAAACGCAAAAAATTAAGTAGAATTTCCCCAACAATTAGTCTTAAATAATGTCCACCAGCAACAACAAAACTTTACCCAATTATGTAGGATGCATCATCCGAACACAAAAATGAATCGAATGAAGCAACTTCCTCAGGTTTGCGATTCTGGAGAAATGAAAAGATGAACCAAGAAGGACCGTTTAACTAACTTAATAAGCACCGATTAAAGGCAGTGGTTGAAATTGACTCCTATTGATGTAATGTAGATGATTGAGCCACCTCTAAAGTAAAAGATTGAGAGGCTAGAATATCGATCAGAAAATAATTCTGGAAACTTTTCGAAATTACCTCTTTTTCCATGTGTGGATTTACCGTTTTAGTTGATAGAAGTTCGGATTTGACATTAACTTCACATATCCAGAAGTTGAGAAGAGAGTTGATGGATTAGTTGAAAAATTACTGTATCTGATTTTTCGATTCGTCAACTACCTTGTTCATAGTTTACTTTCTCTGACAGCTAATGACCTCTGAAGCACCTTCCTGGACAAGTCTGCGACTTATTTCCAATCCAATTCTTGACATTCAAGTTACGATTGTTAGATAATAGTGATAAAAAAATAAATTTAACAAAAGATATGAAAGTGAGTACATATATTGAGTGCTTTTGAAACAAAGATTAAAAACTCACCCATCAGTTGAAGCAGTACCAATTGCTACTTTTCCTTTAAGTTCGTCACTTTTGATGGTAGACATCAGCATCCTGGAGTGTCCTAATAACATTGACTGTGAAATTAATTTTCATTCTTGAAATATCGAGGCTCAAAATTCTAAGGCAGTAGTAAGGTCTATGCCTAAGAAAAGAGGCGGTCATGACTCGAGCACGAAAAGTAGAAAATAAGGGGAAAAAGGAGAAAACAATAAAAACAGCCAATAAGCATAGAAATACTTTATTAAATATATTTTTTTGAAACAAAATCGTATTTTTTTACAAGTTTAAGTTGCTTCTTGTCAGCCAGCCATAATTTCAACAGCTTTTTTAATGCTGTTTTCGACACACTTGCGCTCGTGAGGTTTTTGTGTTCCACAAGCTATATTAGCATACTTAATGTTTAAATTTTTAGCGATAATTTACACTTAATTAACACTTCAAGGGCTGACTTCTGGGATGATGAAAGGATCGTATACGATCATTTTATATGATGTATCGCGGTATATAATGACCAAGCGACAATGCGCGCCTCCAACTTTGATTCCATTCCAACTAGAGGTTATTACCAATAATTTCTCTCCATTTTTTGTACACTTCCGGGCTACTTTCACCACAGTTGAAGGTGTACAATACACTGCCAATTCAGATCCACCAGATGCAGCACCATAGATTTTTGACATTTTCAAGTTCGTGCAACTACAGAATTTCGGAAGGAAAACTTTGAATCAGTTTTAATGATAGTATCACTGTATATAAAAATTTACATAAAAGAGATAACACTGATAAAAAGTAAAGGGCTTCGGAGTAAATATCTCTGCCTTCTTTCACTATGGAAGTGAACTTTTTGAAGGGAAGATGCTTTCTTGGGCACAACATTACAATTTAGGATAGCTAAGGAAGAAGTGATATCTCTAAGGATGGACATGATGACTAGATAAGTTCGAGGTATGTAAATCGAATACCTTAGTGACGCAAAGTACAACATATTTATACCCCAATATTAATCAGTTTATGGTTTAATCAGTTCAACTTTAAAGTGATTTGGTTCCCTGAACTCAAGGAGTATTTTCTTCTTCATGTCCTTTGAAAAGTGCGAGTTGAGTTTTGCGATCAACCAAAATTATCTGATAATCATTCAGTTTTTGTTGTATTAAATATAGAGTATTCATATTCATCGGATCGGAATTGAATTTAATTTATCTTTCTGAATTTTTCTGAAATTCAATTCAATGGCAGATGGTAAGTGATCTGTAAGTGTACAGATATTTGATTTAACCACAAATTTAAGAGTCTTTTCATTAATGTTTAAAAAATAACGCAAAATGCAGTTATTTAATTGCTTGCAAAAATTAATTACTTATTATTAATTCATGATTGGCCAAGGCGCGAGTTAAACTTTAGTCTTGATTACTGGAAGATTGCTGTATACAGAAAAGAACAGAAAGGTTCAATTTATTGAATTATTTTTGTACTCCAGACAGAGACAGTGGTTCCTTTGGGTAGAGGAGGTAATTCAGGTTCAGTCAATTCAGAGAAACTTGGTTTTGAAGTTGTTTCAGGTTGACTAGTTGTTATTACCAAAGGCGCTGTCGAGGGTTTTGAAGTTGTACTAACAACTACTGACTCTGGTTTGGGTTTTTGGGTTGATGGACTTGTTGCTTGGGTTGTAGATTTAACTGGTTGTTCAGATGGTTTATTCAAATTTTCCTGAGTCTTTTGATTTTCGTAGTCGTAATCATAATGGATACCATATCGCCCTCCTTGACGCCGACTTGAACCATAATCCGATTGAGATCTACTATTTTCATCATAGTCTGGCTTAGAACCACGATATGAGTAGCTCGAACTATAGCGCATTGATTTTGACTTGATATCTGATTTCTTTATGTTGTTGTCTGAGATTGAATTTGACTTTTTGCTAAAAATTTCATCATCTTTTAAAAAGAACTGTCTTGATTTATCTCCATTCAGAGTTAAAAATGAATCAACCAGTTCTTCCGCCTGATCTTCCAATGTTGGTTCAATTTTTCCAGAAATTATTCGACCAGCTAGACTTAAAACTCCATTTGGATTTTTGTCAACCAAAACAGTGCCACTGGTTTTAGTACCGCTGAACAAGTTACCATCATTGGATGAAATCGATTCACGGATCAATGATTGATAGTCAACAGTGTATAAGGAACCTGTGGTTGAAGGTAATAAGGAAACGAGTTTACCGTCATTTTTCAACAAATTTTCATCCCATTCTGAACCAAGTGAAGTGATTTTAATTTCTGCTGAAATGTAAACAGTTTTGAATAAAGTTAAATTGTGAGAGTCGGTTGAACCTCCTAAATTAATAGTAATAGAACCATCCAGATTCGTCACATCATTATTTTTAGATTGTACACTTGTGACAACAAAATCACCAACAGATTGTTTACTTGACGACGACTTAGTAGTAGTAAGAGTACCCATTTGAATGTCTGTTGTTCCTTGTGAATCTGAAGTCAAAAATATCTTCAATGGAACAGATTCAGTTGTTGAATCGGAAACCAATCGGTTGAGTAAATCTTTCGGGTTAACTTTGACATCGTGCATTTGTTCAGAGTCAACTGATTTGCCATAAGCAAATGTTGATGCTTCCTCTTCGAGTCCAATGAAAACAGCACTGCTCATCAAATCCTGAAGGTTTCGTTCACTCAACTTGGCTCCATAGTTTATATCAGCCCTTCAATGTCACAAAAATGTAAAAGTATTGTTTAACAATAAACTGTACAATAGTAATTGTAATAAACTTACCTATTCTTGATGTATTCAACAATCTCTTTTTGGCCAATAGTTGTAAAGTCAATGGCAAATGATTCGATTGACAACAAGACAATCAACAGGAATATTAATTTCACTGTCATTTTCAAGACTTTAAAAGTTGTATTAAAATTCGCAAACAATAGTTAGAGTTGTTCACTGCAATAACTGTTTTTACTGTCGATCCTTTTTATACTAACATTTTGCATTGTCTTAATAATCTTCAAATTTTTTATTAATCACGCGCTTTCGTAACATCCAAGTTCAGTGATTCAGAAAATATCGTTATAATTGTATCTTCTAGAATAAAATCAAAGGATATCATAAATCATATAACATTACCTGAATATTTGTTGTATTATATCGTATTGGCCTTTGAACAATTGATAAATCTCAGTACACATAGATAATAAAAATAAATTTCAATGAAGATAATGACAAAAAGACGTTTAAAAAGCAAGATCAACTCAAATTATGAATTTGGCATTATTCGATCCATTTCTTCATTGATTCCTTCATTTTCCCATAAAGCACGACTGAATTTTGTTTTTGTTATTCCAGAGCATATACAGTTTACTCTAATATTACTTGACGCCGTTTCATTAGCGATAGCTTTCGTTAAGCCAAGAAGAGCCGTTTTACTGACTGAATAAGCACCTATGCGGAGAAACTTTGAGACAAGTTATTTGTACAATTTTTTCTTTTTTCTCAGGAATTATATTCTCAATAGACTTGAAATTTTCGGGAAATGATAATAATAGACATTAGCAGCATTAGAGACGAAATAATCGATTGTTCCTTTCTCTTTGATTGTCTATTCAAAATGAAAATTTAATGTTACAAAGAATGTGAATGATTACCCATTTCTATGACTTATCAATCAAGATCAATTAAGTGCTTTCGATCTTTCTCTTTTAGAAACATGGTAAACAGTTCCAAATAAATTTAACGAAAGATAAGTACGAAAGCAAGTACACATGTTGAGTGCTTTTGTAACAAAGATTAAAAACTCACCCATCAGTTGAAGCAGTAACAATTGCTACTTTTCCTTTAAGTTTGTCACTTTGGATGGTAGACATTAGCCTTCTGCTGTGTCCTAAAAACAATGACTGTGAAATTAAATTTTGACAAAATTTTGATGGAAAGAAAAGAAAGTCAATCTAATTTAAATCGATCAGAGAAATCTATAAATCACACGATTGGATCATTTTCATGTCGCTGCAAACCAACAGAGTCTGAATTTGAAATAAACTAATTTTTACCCGTTTTTGCCCATTTGTGTCAATTAAATAAATGTGAAAATTGTGTCTTCTCAGTAACGTCCAGCATTTCTTCGACCAAACTTTCAGTATGGAGTGTGGCTTTACTTCGTCTATCACAGACGAAAATCCGTTATCCATTCTGGAATCTTCCTTGATTTACATGTAAGAAGAAATCAATTGGTAGATTTTTCGAAAGATACGATAAGATTCAGTTCTGGGAGAAGAGATGATCAGGAAATACTGAACAAATCCGTGATTGATTAAAGATGAATAAGAATTGATCTAACATAAGAATCTATTTGTAATAATGATTTTTAAAGATAAAAATTTATTTCATTGTGGAAGATGAATAAATTTAATGTCAAGTCACTTACAGATATTTGATTCAACCACCAATTTCAGAGTCTCATCATTAATGCTTAAAAAAGAATGCAAAAAGGTAAGTATTTAATTTCTTGCAAATTTAATTAATTATTAATCCATGCTTGATTAAGGAGCGACTAAAAATTTAACCTTAATTACTGGAAGATTGCTGTATACAGAAAAGAACAGAAAGATTCAATTTATTGAATTATTTTTGTACTCCAGACAGAGACAGTGGTTCCTTTGGGTTGTGGAGGTAATTCAGGTTCAGTCAATTCAGAGAAGGTTGATTTTGAAGTTGTTTCAGGTTGACTAGTTGTTATTACCAAAGGCGCTGTCGAGGGTTTTGAAGTTGTACTATCAACTAACAGGAATAATTTCACGGTCATTTTCATGACTCTGTAAGTTTTATTAAAATTACCAAACAATAGTTTTCAATATTTTGTCATTGTCTCAATAATCTTCAAATTTTTCTATTAATCACACGCTTTTTGTAACATCCAAGTTCAAAAAATATCGTTATGAATGTATTTTCTAGAATAAAAATTATTATTTACATTATTGTTGTCTTGTATCGTATTGGCCTTTGAACAATTGATAAATTTCAGTACATATAGATAAAAAGAATAATAAAAATAAATTTTAATAAAGATTATTACAAAAAAGACATTTAAATATAAAGATCAACTCAAATAATGAATTTCTATTGATTTAATAAGCTAAGTATGTAGTCAAATCAGCGCATTTGATTAGTACTTCAATCAAATTTGCATTTAACCATCATGTTTTGATTCGTAGACATTGGTTTAAATTTTTCTAACTTTTCCTATCTTTGACAGCTACCGCAATTAATAAAACGCAACAAATTAAGTAAATTTTAAAGTCTTGAATAATATCCACCAGCAACAACAAAACTTTCCCCAGTTATGTAGGATGCATCATCCGAACACAAGAATGAAACGAGTGAAGCAACTTCCTCAGGTTTTCCAATTCTGTAGAAATAGAAATATGGAATTATTTATTTGAAAAATAAGTTATTCGACAAAGTGGTTCACTAGATATTCACCTGTGCATTGGGATCATTCGATTCATTTCTTCATTGATTCCTTCATTTTCCCATAAAGCACGACTAAATTTTGTTTTTATTATACCAGGACATATACAGTTTACTCTGATATTACTTGCCGCCGTTTCATTAGCGACAGCTTTTGTTAAACCAAGAAGAGCCGTTTTACTGACTGAATAAGCACCGATTAAAGGTAGTGGTTGATAGCCTCCTATTGATGAAATGTAGATGATTGAGCCACCTCTAAAGTAAAAGATTATAATAGACATTATAATATTGATCAGGAAGAGATTCAAAGAATATTTCGAAATTACCCCCTTTTTTCCATGTGTGGAGCTACCGCTTTAGTTAATAAAAATGCAGATTTAACATTAACTTCAAATATCTAGAAGTTGAGAAGAGAGTTGAGAGTTGAGAGATTAGTTAAGAAAATTGCTGTCGATTTTTTCAAATTTAATCGTACCTTATCCCAAGCACCTTCGCCAGTCTGAAAAAAAAGATGAATCAATATTAAAAGTCTAAACGAAACATAACTAAATGGCTGAACTGTTCAATAGAAGGAAGATATTTCACCTCAAGAATCGGCATCATAACTGGATTAATAGCAGCATTAGAGACGAAATAATCGATTGCTCCTTTCTCTTTGATTGTCTATCCGAAATAAAAATTTAATGTTACAAAAATGTGAATGATTACCCCCTTCAATGACTTACAAAATCAATTAAGTGCTTTCGATCTTCCTCTTTAGAAACATGGCAAACAGTTCCAAGGACATCAAGTCCCTGATTTTTCAATTCGTCAACTGCCTTGTTCACATTTTCCTTTCTCCGGCTACTAATGATCACTGAAGCACCTTCCTGGCCAAGTCTACGACTTATTTCCAATCCAATTCTTGACATTCAAGTTACGATTGTTAGATAATAGTGATAAAAAAAGAAATAAATTTAACAAAAGATATCAAAACGAGTACATATATTGAGTGCTTTTGTAACAAAGATTAAAAACTCACCCATCAGTTGAAGCAGTAACAATTGCTACTTTTCCTTTAAGTTTGTCACTTTTGATGGTAGACATCAGCCTCCTGGAGTGTCCTAAAAACAATGACTGTGAAATTAACTTCTGCCACATTTTGATGAAAAGAGAAGAAAAAAGTCAATCTAATATAAATAATACTATAACAATATAAAATAAATACAGAGATGGACTATGCACCTGAAATTACCTTAAAACACTATTTCTGCAAATTGTTTACCTTAAAGTTAACAGATTAGTCGATAGAAGTCGCTTCAGTATTCCGAATTTTTCAGCTAACAAGTTTTGTAAGAAGCTGAATTAGAGTTCAAAAGATGAATAGTCGAAGTTGATTAACTTGTCAACGCCACTACATTTTCAACTCTAGCATCTATACAATACCCGAAATTATGGATTGATATCAAACACGAAAATAAGTTCAAAAGCCCGACTTCAAATGAACCCGAATTCAAAAAGTAAACAAGATTCTTAATTTAAATTCATTTTACTTTATATTAAGGCTCCAGTTACAATAGATTTGAAAAAATTTGAAGGTATTAACTTGTTGTAGCTAAAAGGATTGTCAAAATCATGAATATGAGCTTCAAAAAGCTGACCCAAAGTCATTGATTTGAATAACATAGACATTATCAACAGCCTCTCTTTGAAATGAGTGATTTGAAAAAAAATATTCGTTTGAACTTGTTGTGATCCAATCAACCAGAGAAGGATTCCATAGAAAGGAATGGATAGAGTAACACTGATTATCAGCTTAATTATGCCTTGAATAACGATGGTAATCAATCTAAGAAACAAAAAGACGGAATAATAGAGTAGAATTGTCGGCAGCAGGAATATTAATATGGTGAAGCAAACAGTACCAATAAATAGTTGATCATGACCATATGAATATGCATCGACTCGATGTTTTAAACTATTCCACTTTTTACCCCTGAAAAGTCTCCAAAGGGAAATCAAACCAGATAACTGGAAACAATAAAGTCTGGCAGCATATCCATAGAAGCAGTAAATATGAATGGATGCTAAAGAAATGAGATCCGATAGGAAGCTGAGAACAAATGTGATTCCAAAGAAACTTATAAATCCAAGAAAATCAAGAATCAAGCTTAAAAAAGGGCGAATCAAAGTAATATAAGCTTTCCAGATGTGAATATGATAAAGAAAAAAGTTCCCCAGTGCGGTATTCAGAGGACGATTGAGTTTTAGACCAGCAGGCATTCCAATAAGATTATAGATTAATTGTTCTACTTTTGAAACCACAGATTCCATGGCTTGAAGGCACACTTCTAATAGATATGATATGGATATAACTTGATTTAACATTAAAAAGAGGCAAAGGCTGAGAACCAGATCAAAAGTTATTAAACTTAAGGCATTGAAAATTCTGATTCTGAATCTTGATTCTTTGAAATTTTTCCAACAGAACAATATTTCTTCGAACCGATGATATATTAATCTGCCTGTGGTGAAATAATCCAAGAAACCATCCAATAGTGAGAAGTTAAATATTTTTTTGGTGTTGAGTCTTGTTGCTTTGGAATCGGATGACAATTTGGTTGCGAATGATGTTAACTGGAGGGATTCTGGAGCTTTCTGAGATGAGTATTTTTCAATACTACGGCAGCAAAATTCAAAGAGTGGATCTTTGGATTCAGTAAGCTCATTGTGACCATTAAATTGCAAAGTGTAAGCTAAATGGAGAGAGTTATAAACAATTATATTGACAGGAATATTGGCGTCTGGTTTTCCATTCAGGTGTATATTTTTTATAGACAAAGATCCATCATAGTTCAAGTTTACAAAAAACGTCTTCTTTGTTTCAATCAATCTTTGAATTGCTTGAATTTTAGAGGTTTCCAGGGTACCCAATGCTGACAATGAGTGACGATGTTTGATTAATTGCTGGATTGCTAGCTTGTCTCTACCACTCGGATCGTAAAAACTTTTGGTTGCCAGCAGGTTGACATTAAGAGAATCATGGCTAATTTCCTTGAAGCCAAATAAAACACAAAAAACTGGTTTGATGTCCTCCGTATCTAAAGAATTCAACAAATTTTGATCAATCAATAAATTAATAAAACTAAAAGTCATAATTTACACGAAAAACAACAACACAAAATAACAACACAAAAACAGATGAAAATAAACAGCTGGTAGCTTTGAAGCAAAACGCGGTAAGTTGGATAAATATAAACCACAGATTTGCTACAAAATCTGACTAGATTTAGTTGTAAGATAATTTTATGTGTTATTTAAAGATGATATTTGATTATAAACTTACCTAATTTCACTAGAATTCATTGATATATTCCTTAGAAATATCCTTCAATTGATTAAACCATTCTGTAAGATACCAGTTCAACATAAAAGAAGACATATTGTAGAGACAATCCAGCAAACTGTAGATTGCTTCAAAATTGTAAAACGTAAATGGAATCAACATTATCAGTGGATTTAATAGTCGTCAAGTTACGAGATAAAATTCAAACGGTGAAATGAAACTAAAATGGACATTCGTTACAGTCGTATATGAGTTACGCGTAATTAAAATAACCGCTCTAAAAATGGCAACAGTTTATGCATTGCTGCTCTTTTCACTGGCAAGTTGTCAGTTTAATTTGTTGAGAGCAAAGCAGCTAATTAAAAACATTGAATTATTATTAGCTTCAAACTGAAATCTAATTTTACTTTTCCCTAACCTCTTGATTTAAGCTGACCAATTTAATAAGCCAACCGTGCTAATAAAGTAAGGTAACTAAAATCAAATGATCTTCAATAATCATTGAAAAGTAAGATTCATTAAAAACCGTAGCGAAATAATCTTGACTGAATTGTAAATTGTAACAGGTTTATTTTGAATCCAAATTTTATTTATGGAAATAACAAACCAATTTTGTGAAAAACTTGAATCAATCAACCAATCAATCGATCTGAAAGTCATAAAGATTTATCTTTACTAATCATGCAAATAGATTGATCAACAAGCAAATATTCAAGTTGTTGTCATAGTCAATTTCATTTAACATAATTTTTGTGGAAAGAAAAAATATTCACAGGATAACAAAAGTTGTTTTTTTGGTGGTTTTGTGTGTTGTTGATTGTTACAGTTTGCTAACAACATTAAATTACTTTGGGTTTTCTAATTGACTCGTATTAAGAGCTGCAAAAGCTTCAAATTAAAATGATAAACAATTTGAAGAAATTGTTTGGTGAACATTTTAAGGATAATGTTTCTCTTAATGGTGTACTAATGGATAATTAAAATGAAAATTTTCAATTTCAGTGTTTTGGTTTACTATTTCTTTATGTGCTGCTGTGCGAAACTGTTTTTTGTTTGTTAAAACCATAACATAATCAAATTAAAATAATAATCAAATAATAATAGCAATAGCAGTAATAATAATAGTAATAATAATAATACATTGATTTTGATTTTCTATGCTATAACAACATATTAAACGGTATTTTGTATTATGTTCAACTTGATGGTCTGCACCGGGCAGTATTAACTTAAATTAAAGAAGATAAAAAGACAATTTTTAAATGGTTGAGATCTGCATTAATTGTGAATTTATCGTAATTTGTTGGGTTGTCCTTAAATTTTGAGATGATGACTAGATTTGCACTGTTGTCTCCAAATTGTTGGCTTTATAACAATTAATGATTGATGCTGTGTGGGTTTAGATTTGCTTCATTTTCATTTATCCGGCTCTAAAACATTAATGGTAATCAGAAATTAAAAATTAAATCAAGAAGAGAAAAAAGGCGAAATTCCAAAAACGGTAATCCTACGATTGAATCTTTAAACAAGGGTGATGTTCTGATGTAATTGTTTTTTTGTGTTTCAGAAATAATTAGTTCATTTTTTGCGTGTCCATTTGCTCAGTCTAAGTCCATGATTCCCTTTCAACTGCACATTCGATAGTTAATCTCACCAAATTAATTTAAAGTGAAGCTAAAGATGAGTTATCATGGGTGTTGTCCTTCGCTTTTAAGATACGCTTTCTGGTTCTTGTATCAAGATTATATTTACAGGTAAATTATTATTTATATTATAATTTTGGTTTCTTTTCTGTTCTTTAGTTTTAATATATGATTTGCTTTCTTCTTTGTCTTGAAGTGAGTTGAGTCCAATTCAGAGGAAAATCAACAATCAGGATCGGCTCCATGAGAGAAATGTGGAAAACGGCAATATCGTGCGTTATTTTCAAGGCTCAACTTACAACTGTATTTGTTTTCCTAAAACAAAAAAATTTAATTCTCTTAGGTCAATATTAACAGGTCAGCATTATTAATACATATTGTTCTTGATGTTGCTCGAATAAAAATGAATCTCTTGATCGTTTGATGCAATTGATGTAGTTTTGAATAATTTTGTGATTGCAAGGCAGGGAGGATAATTGTAAATAGGCTGATGAATTGTTAAAAAGATAACAGTTGTCCATGATAATGTCTTTTGTTTTGTTGCGATACAATTTAGTAATATTGTGATTCTTTTTATCTTGTGTAAAATGACTCCATACAGAACTATTCATCTTTTATGTTTGTCGGTTGGTTGTGAAGTGAGCTCATAAATTGTTGCCTCCTCGTGAATTGATGGTTTTGGATGATGGTAATGACGATGAAGATGATTATGATTATGTGTTGATGAAGATGGTTGTGATGATCAGATGACAATAAATTGCATTTTGATAATATAAATATCTTTATATGTGTTGGGTCTTCTTTCTGTGTATATATGAATGTGCTTTTCCAATGAAAGATGATTTGAAATGTGAAATTGTTGTGAGTATGTAAATTTCAATGTTGAAATGCAACGAGAATCTTTCTTTTCCTAGTTAAATGTTCGTTATGATGGAAAATGGCCTTCCATTTCGATAAAACGGTGTGGATTAAAATCATCATTGACAAACGAGAATCCTTTAAATTCCTCCTGATTAATATTTCTCAAAACTTCAGGATTAACAGGAGTTAAAACAGGCTCTTCTTTGGTGAAATCTTGATCAAAATTGTTTACATCTCGCTTTGTTTTCTGTAAGCAAAGAAAAAAGTATACAAAAAGAGACATGAATTAAATAAAAGAAATATGTATTTGTACGATAAAAAGGGTAAAATTGATTATATTAAGGAAATTTTATACAAGTTGAAGGCAAATAAACAGAAAACATGAATTCAAAATTTAGGGTTAAGAGAAGGTAAAAATGTATAGCTTTTTGTAACATAACAATCTACAGTTTATTTTTATTAGCTTGTTAATTATAAAGATAATTTAAAGATCTGAGCTGTTAACTAGAGGAAAAATAATCCAGATTCATGTTCAAGAATCACGAGAAAGATAGCAGAACACTTTTTTTCCACTTTTCAAATGTAATTCATAAAAAGAGATTATATAAAATGAAAGTTTACCCCAACTTGAAACACTATCAATACAACAAGTTGGTTGATGAACATGAATGTTACTGAAAATAATTGAATGTTCTGTTTTCATTAAAGTAGGATCAAAATTTGGTACCAACACAGATACACAGTGGTTGGTCATTCGGGTGAATACTTACAATTTTGGGTTTAAATGGAGGTTTAATCCTTCTAGCTCCTAAATCAATCCAATCTATATCTTTAAAAAATGGATGAATCAAAATGGCATTTTCATCTCCTTTCATTGCTACACAACCTAGTCTCTTTGCAGGTTCTTTGGTCATAAACTATAAAAAATGGAAACAATTTATTATATCATGTGTTGATAAATTGGTACAAATTAATTAGTCAAAAATGCTTACTCCTTTTAAAACTGAGACGGCATCTTTGCTCAGCCAAACTGGATATAAAACTTCATCTCTTAAAATTGAATCAAAAAGATCTTCTTCATTGTCAGCTTCAAATGGTGGTTGTCCAGCCATCATTTCATACATTAAAACACCCAAAGCCCACCAATCAACAGACGGTCCATAATCAAGTTCTTGTAAAATTTCTGGAGCAATGTAGTCCGGTGTACCACAAAAAGTAGTCGTTGTAGAACCATCTCTGATATTTTCCTTGCACATACCAAAATCGGCAATTTTACAATGTCCTTCACTATCTAGCAGGATATTATCTAATTTCAAATCTCTACATGAATGAAAAACAAAATTAGTTTAGTTACAACAGAATTAATCAAAAGAGTTTCAACAATGTACCTGTAAATAACTCCTTGATTGTGAAGAAACATAAGAGCTAAAACAACCTCAGCTGCATAGAATTTCGCTCTTGCTTCGTCAAATTTTCTTGCTCTTTGAATTTGGAACATAAGGTCACCACCGTTAACGTATTCCATTACAAAAAATAATCGATCCTTTGAAAAGAAATGGAGAGAGAAATGTTAGTTAATGTATAATTCAATTTGATGATTGTCAAGTTACCTCAGTTTGGAAGCAAGAGTGAAGGGCAGTTAGGAAAGGGTGTTTTGCGGAAAGAGTCAGGATTCGTTTCTCTGTCATTGTACAATCGACATCGTCATCTTGTAAAATTACATCTTTTTTCAGCACTTTGACAGCATAAACCTCTTCAGTGTGTTTAAACTCAGCGAGCATAACCTGAATAGATTGGAAGAGTAAAAGAAACAAGAAAAGATGAAAGATTATTGCAACATAAATTTCCAGATACAAACAAATGGAAGCCAAAAACAACAACAATTTACATTAACACAGTTTCAAGTGATAAACAAAATCACATTGAAATGGTCCACCTTGAAAATTGTGAATATTGATTACAATTTTTTTACAGATTGGCTTCAGAAATAGTCTCGAAACAAAAATTATATTGGATCTAAAATTTGTAAATAAACAAAGAGTCTGCGATTTTAATGAACGATTTTCATGGATAGTTAGTTCAATATGTTTTAGCGATGAAATACGATAAAATTTATAAAATAGATTCATCCATCATTAAGGTTAAACAATTCATGAGTGAATACATTCGTGTTTTCGCTCATTCTGTCAACACTTTGAGCAACTTTATCCTCTCTGGTGAAGTGTTTTGTATCCAAAAATTTTTCCATTATCACTTGAATTTCCAATTTCACAGTCACATTTGTAAACAGACCGCACAGATATTTCAGATTTTATCACAAAATAAGAACCAATTTCCAAAAGCTGAAATTGTCTATTTCACTAACTAACTTTGATATGACTTTTAATTATTTTGAAAGCAAGAAACTTAAAGATAAACATTAGATATGTTCACCCTCTTTGCTTGAAAAGAGTCTCTACTCTCTTAAAGGTCATTAATTGAAAATCGTTCATAAAAACCGTGAATCCCAGATGTATATTTTGTTATGATTTGAGTTATTCTTATTAATATAAGATAACCTCGAAATAACATAATTTTCAAGGCTGTAAAGTGTTGCTTTTTTGGATGTTTATCTGTGTAATAATATGTTAATTGTACCTTGCCAAAACTTCCTTTTCCCAGAACTTTTATGAACCTAAAATCATCTACACCATATTTTCTGGCTGGCTTTTCCGTTTCTCCCATGTCCGATGGTACTCTATCGATAATTTGCTGAAGATTTATTTCCTGTTGCTCTCTATGAGCATCTTTGTTATCGCTACTACTACTAGCACTACTACTGGACGGCATATCCGTAAATGATAGACGACCCACCATCATATCAGAAGATGATAAGTCGCCTAGTAAAAGATTTTTTGACTCAGATTCTAGATTAAAATCAGTAGCACAAGGTAATGGTGAGGTGTTGGAACGTTCAGCCGCTGCGCAAAATTTAGATGATTCACCAACAACAGGCTTCTTCCTGCGACGATTCAACTTATCTCCTGATATTCCCATATCACGCAATGTCTCAGCCAATTGCTTTGGATTGATTCCGCAATTGTTTGCTACATTCTTGTGACACCGTTTGTGAACATTCATATTACAAGCTGAAAGAGAAATGAAAAAAAAGTGAAATTAGATTTAAAATCATTCAAAAGCTACAAACAAATTTACCTTCACATTGAAGTCCTTGGCGGAAAAAACCGTATAACATTGAGCCACAATGATCACAGAAAGTTGGTCTTTTATAATTGTGAATAACAAATCGATGAGGTACATTTATATTGAAACGACTTTCGACCACCTGTAATAAAAGACACAAAATATTATAATCTTTAATAATCTTAATCTGGTTAAATTGGGTTGACTTGATACAAACCTCGAAAGCAGTTTTATCCTTTGAACCAGGACATTTTGTAACGACAAATTCATGGCATCTTTTATGGACTACACAAGTACAAACTGTAATGGAAAGGTTTATGAAAATTATTATTTGATTTGAACAAAGATTGGGTTTTTGGTCATTTTTTGGGTAGAGTTTGGTTTGCAGATATTTACCTTGACATTGATAACCCTGTTTACCTATTATGCCCCAAATGAATTCACGGCAATGGGAGCAAAATGTTGGCTGTGGATGATAGGTGGCCATAAATTTATGTTCATTGATTTGATGGACTCGACGCCGAACTGCACCTCGACGTCTATTGAGTCCAGCTCTTTCTCTGAACTCCTTTGGTTTCTTTTCAACATCGCTAAGATCAACAATAAGATTAATCTTTCCTTCAGGTTCCAAGTCAACCTGTCCAAAAGGGAAACCAAAAATGAGAAACAAAATTAAATATTTCATTGATTAAAGACAAGATTTTGATCCGATATCATGAGCTTTATTTCAAATAAACATTAATCTACATTTTGTTCATTTCAAAGTTATACATAAAAATTGTATTTCAACGATAAATTCATTCTATTGACTTTAATTGATCGTAAATAATGATGAAAGTAAATTTAGGAGAAAGGTTTACAATATTATACTTGAATATGGTTCATTTAATGGTAATTAAACTTCCGGTCATCATTATTATTTAAATTAGTTTCAAGCTCAATGGACAATATGTTAAGGCAGTAAAAAGCAAACCTCACATATCAACATTATTATAGCTAATAAATCTGAAGAAGATGAAAGGAAAAAATCTAATGACTTGTAACATCATTTATATTGTTCAATATATTTTTTACCAATAATTTAATCTTGATTAAGCAGAAATACAAATTGGAACACTTGAAATCTCAAAATTAGAATGATTTGATTTTCATTTGAAACAATTGAAGATGAGATTCTTGGTTTTTTGTTTTTCTTCATTGCTGTAAAATTTATGATTCTATGTCTGTCAATTGATCATCGGAAACAATTAAGAAATGATTATCAAGATATGATAGGGTTAGTCTCCATGGTGATCAATGAGACTGTTGATTGTTCAGTTGAAATGAACGTAAAACAAAACAAAACAGTTTACCGATAGTTTCATTATATTTTCATCTTCGTTTTTTTTGTTTACTTGTTGGTTTCACATGCAAACCAGAAATTGTTATATTTAAGTTTGCCTGTAAGTTAAATTTAATAGCAATTCATAATTGAGTTTGTTTTTGGTAAATTTTTCAACTTTTGCAAAATGATCAATAAAACAATGTTTCATCATTGGTAAGTCAAGAAATCATTGAAATTGAAGAGCAACATTTAAAGGTATTATTACAATTAGATTCATTGTCAATTGTGGTTGGAAATTTCAATGGAACCAGAAAATAAAGAAGAAGCTGAAATAATCGAAGGATCGGGTGAAATTTGGAACGATCAAGATGATTTTGAGAATCGCATTTTAAAAGATTCAGCTTACTTTATGAGCCAAAGGTACGTTTAACCCAAAAAATTTAAATTATTTGTTTGTGTTTATAAGGATATTTAATGAGATAAATTGGAATCACAATTGAGTTTCAATTGAAGTTGATATTGACTTAATACATTAACTTGGTAAACGGTTTGGTGAATGTTTATACTTGAAACAAATGGGAATGATTAGATAAAGATTATTGAGATGATCAAGTTGATCAGGTTAATCGAATTAATCGAGTTGAGATGTGTTACGATGGTTCGACAGGACTTGAATCGAATGCCTTTTTACGTCGATTGCGAAGACAGAGAAATGATATTGCAAAGGAAGTTATCAGAATAATCAATAAAATGATTAAAATGATGGTTGCAAATGTCCATTTTGATATTGAACATTCACTGATATGATAATAATTTGGACATTTATCGCTTAACCAATGCTCTCTCATGTTGCCAAAAGTTCCACTCTCCTTATTCAGATCATCAGATGAACACGAACTTGTAAGACAATCAAGATAATTGAGAAGGAAACAACAATGATACTTTTCATTCAACTCTGTTGACCAATCTTCTCGAATTGACTGATAACATTCGTGTGAACTTGAATTAGCAGCATGAATACAGGGATATTCCTTAGGATTCCCATGAGGAAATGTAAAATGTAATTCATTGAAACCTGGAAGACGATAATCTTCAATTTGAGATGAAAAATTAACTTGACCACAAAACAATAAGAAAACCAATGAAAACTTAACACTTGCAAGAAACATTTTAAGACTAAACAAACTGACTTGTAATGTTGTTCAATAATAACTGACTTTCAGATTTGATGTTGATTCGCAAATATGCAAACTAAAATTAAGTTTAATTTGATACTTGATTCAGTGTTTAATTAGCTAAATCAATTTTAAGCGTAACAGTAAAATGACTTACAATGATTAATACTTGCAATATTGGTTTACAGAGATTAAAATGATTGCAATTAAACAAGGAATCATGGTTATTTATTATGATATTTAATACCCAAAGATTGAAATTTCAATTTGCGATGTAAAAAGGGTTAAATTAATGGTTAGTTTACAACATCAATGTGCAATTTTAGAGTAAAAATGTTAAAGTCTTGCAATTGTAAAGGAAAAGAGTAGAAGATGAAATAAGATGATTTTGTGAGTAAATTGAGTTTCACTTTTTTTCTGGTGAATTTTACTCTTTAATTAATGGTGACAATATGGTCAAGTTGTTTTATCACTTATTGTTGACAAAAGTGGACAAAGTCTCGTCAATTTGAATTATGCATTCTGCCTCATCTTAAGTGGATTGACTTGATACAAAAAAGGCATCAAAATACAAAAGTATATGTTGATCAGGATAAGTTAAGAAGAGGGCAAAGAGGGAATGATAAAGGGAAGATAAAAAATAGAAAGATGAGGATGAGGATGAGAAGAGCCAAGGTGTATGTGAGCATTCAAATAGGAGTGAGTCTGTTTAAGTTGCAAAATGATTTTTACCCGGATTTTATCGATCAGCCTACATCATCTGACCTACTTGCTTTACCCTAAAATAGGTCAAGTCTCAGGCCAAACCTTCCCAGGCTCTTTGACTCCCTTTCACATTGAAACACTGAACACAACCTTTCTTATCACTCTCTCACTCTCTCTCTTCATCCTCATCTTCATCTCTCCTCTTTCATCTTGCTATTCTTCTTTCTTTTCTCTTCCTTTATTTGTCTCATTTCCTCCTACAATAGTTCACCTTGAAAGAGCGAATCAAGGCTTCAACTTTTTCCTTTCCAACCTCAAAATGTTTCTAACCCAGAAAATATAATTTTTCATCATCATTGCAATTATCATCTTCATTGTCATCCTAAAGATGGTCTAACACTTTTAATTTCACTTGCAGTTTAAAGGCACAAAAAGCGACCCTCTTGGTTGGTTGGGCTGTACTCATAGGCATTATGCTGTTGGTTGCACTGGTTTGCTTGAACTATTTCATCTGGAAATCGAGGCGACCTCAACACCGTAAGTTCATCTTCAGTTTGCATTCACCTGATTTTGTGGTAATCTAAAGGATAAGTTTAGCTTGATATTGCACTTTAAACTGAACATTAATCTAGTTCAACTTGGGCCTTGCTTAATATTGCATATTTTGAGTCTATTTAAAATTAGAATCATCAAGTTACTAAGTGGATTTCATTCAGCTAATCCACTTAACTTTAGCTGGTTACAAAATTTTCATCCTCATCACCAGTTAGAGATCAGTTATTTCCAGGAAAGTTAACAATCTTTTTGATAAACAATTTCATACATTGATGTTTTAACACATTAAACAGTAAATGTTGCTACAATTGAAATATCAAAATTGAGGGAAAACATGGATTAAGTGAATACGATTAATCCTAATCAGGTAGATGCAAGTGCAGTTTAATCTGTGAATATGCCAAACGTTTAAACAGAAAATTTTATTCCTAGAATCCGTTTTCAGAGGTTAATCTATGATTTTTGGTGCAACAGTCGATTTACTGGAAACAGTTAACAGTCTAAATGTTGTCAGCAATTGTTGACAAAATTTGATTAAATTTATGGAAAAAACTGAAATGTAAAATGTCAGTTTGAGTTATTTGTTGATCGATGAAAATGATGAGATAAATTAAAGACTAAAGTAATTAGGTTAAGGTTTCAATAAAGCAATTAAATAATCAACTGTTTTCTTTTCTTCATATTCTTCTGTTTTTCAGAATCAGATAATCTATTACAATCAAAAACACTCGACTTTGATCAACTATTGAAAACACAAACAAAAACTGTTAGACAACAATCAATATCTTTACCATCGATTCCGCTTCAAATTGCAACCTAAAACACCTTCATTTGGATAATCAAAATCGACTAACAAGATGATTAAAGATTAAAGGCATGAAAGGATTCAAATCAAATGGCAAAGGAGTGTTAATTACAACTCTATTAAACATCAATGATAATGTCAAGTCAACATAAGTGTTAAACTGTCCGATTTCAAAGGATATGGATGTCAACTATCATTGCAAGAACCCAAACAATTGGCTATGATTTTGTCTTTTTTTTACAATTTTTAACTTCAAATGATTCTTCTCTTCCCTGAAATGGTTCTTAAATAAATGTTTCAAATTCATTCTTAACCATCTATGCAAATCTTATCAAAATTAACTATTGTATTAGACCAACAATGCTCTTTCACCCGATTTCACCAGTTTTCATAAAAATGTAAATGTAGATTCATTGTAAAGTATTGACAATCAATCGATAAAATGAATGTTTTAAGCTTCACTTTGTTAGATTATTTCTGGTCATCATATGATTTAATGATGATATTTCTGGTAAAAACTGATTTTAAATGTACAACTGAATTGTTAACTGTGTGTGATGTGAACTCATCTGGTCTGTATTTTGAATGTTATTGTGAAAAGTTAAGAAAAGGTTGAAATTAATTGCCAAGTATATTTTTAAATCTACATTTTTAAAATTGTAGTTGCAAATTGTGTATTTCATCAATAAAACCAACTTATCATGTTACTATTACTGGAATCATATGAATTGGAAGAAAGGAAGAGTTAATTGTTTTGATATCTTTCACCATGGATCAATTTTTGGATCAATATTGTAATATTTACAATTTGGATTGTCTTGTGTGTTTGGGAAAAGCAGATTTAAATAAATAATTTTAAATTTAAAAGTAAATTTGGCTAATTTTATGATCAAACCAATGGTTAAATCAATGATCAATTCAACCACTTTGGAGCTTCTAAAGGTGAGATTCAGGTTGATTGGAGATTCCTTTGAATAGTTGAAGGTTTTCACATTATGTAATTGTAGCTAGTGTGTGATTTAAATGAGACAATTACTAATTGACGTAAGTGATTTAAAAATGGATTGTACTTGGAGTGTTATCTGGATGATTAACACGTAAAGAATCAACATGTAAATATTACAAGTGCATCTTCAATTGTGTTTTAGGCAAAACATGTAAATTGTATGATTAGTGTTATTATATCAACTATTAGCTTTGATGGCGATTTCAATGAAATTTATTCAATAGACTGCAGCTTTGTAGGATAAAATCAGACTGTTCAGAGTTGGTGATTTAGTTTAACATTCAATTTTTTGTTGTCCTCTTGGTTAGATAATGTAATGAGATATTTCAGGGTAAAGAATGAAAATGTTAATGTGAATGATTTAGAGAATTGAATCTTGAGAGAAAAACATTGAATATGAAATTGTTATCTTGTACAATAGGATGTATGGATAGACTTGAATTGACTTTTGTTAATCAACTCTCTTTTTCCAGATTAAACATGGAAAGATGAACAAGATGAAAATGATGACGAGGATCATGATGATAATGATAATGAACATGATTCCTGGCGGGAAATCAGATGGAGTTAAATGATGTCAACAAAAGAAGAGAGTAATCAATATGTTGCCTTGAGATTTCATCTAAATCTATTTGTAAATCTAAATCGGTACAAACTTGATGACATTGGGAAAAAATAAAATCAAAATGTCAACCAAGTAAACTCTGCTTTCTTTATATTTGCCTGTTTTAATCACAGTTAAATTAGCATAAACAAATTAACAGATATTTAATAACTGTTTAAAATAATCCATTGTAAATATGATTGTATAAATTATGAGCTACCTTTAATAAAACCATTAAAATGTAACAATTTTTTTGCGTGAAATAATCAACAAGCTAATCTTACTATTGACATTTGATCAAAGTATGACTATATTGGGTTCACAACAATTAGATACAAGTAGCTCAATAATTACCCAAACATTGGGGTCAACATGAGGAAAAGCTTTTGGAAAGATGAGTTTGAGGTAATGAAGATGAAAAGGTTTGATGAGAGATGCAATGAGAAGGAGTTAGAGGAAGATAAAGATGAAGATTAACAGGTTATGAATAGGGAATGAAAAGAGCCACTTTAACCCCTAAGAACAAGTCAGACCAGGTCAGTCTGGTTTTGGACTGGGTTACCAGGCCAGGGTTAACTGTTGTTACGTGGTAATATTGATCAACTATTCAGTATAACTTCATCTTTCATTTCATTCATCAGTTGACCAAAAATTAAATCATGATCAATACAATTGGTTATTATCTTGCTTTAGTGTTTACCATATTTTCAGTGTTATTCTTGTTTACCTGGTTAACCATTTATCAATCGCTAACATGGCTACTGTTTCTTGGGTTAATTTTGTACATTTCAGTTTGCCTGGCAAATATTGTTTGGCCTAAAATTGAGGCTATTCCGAAGGAATTGATTGAACCTAAAAACAAAGCTGTGCTCATTACTGGATGTGATACTGGGTTTGGTAATAAATTGGCTCAACGGTTGGCTCACTATGGATTCTATGTGTTTGCTGGTTGCTTACAACCTGAAGGACCTGGGGCCAATCAACTTCGCAAAAGTTGCCGTAATGCTGTCAAGATTATCAAGTTGGATGTAACAAGTGAAGATGATGTTAAGGCTGCTATTAAAGTGGTCGAAGAGCAATTGAAAGGACGGCAACTATGGGCTATTGTTAATAATGCTGGAATATTGATTTCAACCGAGGTTGAAATGGGTGATATGACGAGTTTCAACCGTCAAATGGAGATCAATTGTTTGGGTACAATTAGGGTTACCAAAGGATTTGTACCTTTGATAAGACAAAGTGGCTCAATTGGTGGTCGAGTTATCAATGTGGGTTCAATTGCGGGGAGACATTGTATTCCTGGAATGGTTGCTTATTCAGTTTCTAAGGCGGCTGTCATTTCATTTAGTGAAGGATTGAGACGAGAGCTTAAAAAGTGGTCCATTGATGTTATAACTATTGAACCTCATCTTTTTAAAACCAATTTAACCAATGATGAAGTTCAGAAGAAGTGTCTAGAGGAAGCTTGGAAAGTAACACCAGAATCGGTGAAATCAGATTATGGTGAAGCTTATCTACAAGGTTATCAAAAGTTTTTAAATGCTGTCTTGGATTCAGCTAGACCTCAGGTTGATTCAGTTGTTGATACAATGGTTATTGCGGTAACCCATGCATTTGTTTCACCATCATACAGAGTTATGGGACATTTGGAGCGGATTCGGGTTGCTGCCTACGATTACCTGCCTATTCGTCTCTTGGATCTCATATCTCACCATTTAGCAACCCTTTACACAGGTAAACCAGCTTTGGGTAAACCAGAAAAGGAAAAGTCACCATAAAATAGGTTGTCTCTCTTGTTGCCTGGTTCACAACCAAATCGTGTTATTTATAACATCTTTGAAACTGTGTGAGCTAATAACTGTAACCTTGATTAACACAATCTAATAGATTTACAATTTATTCATTATTGTCATTATTGACCATAAAAAAGCTGGTCAGTCTATATAACTCAGTTTTTCATTCTGCATTCTCTATGAATAACATATCACTGGTTTAATTTTGACGTTAACCCGATTTTATTATTTGTTTAATGCTTCAGATAAAAGGATCTGATTGCGTAAACTCATTGAGCTTTTTAAGAATTCATGAATCGTCAAGAATTGAAACAAATTAGCTCAATTACATATAAAACAGAATAAATGTATCAAGATGATAACATGTTAAACATTGAATTGACAGCGGAAATGTACAGCATACTTTGATTCAATATTTAATCACCTATTATTGGATGCATAAGATAGAAATATATTTTTATCGAACCTAATCAATATATAAATATATTAATAAAAAAAATGTAAAAATTAACCAACTGGAAATTGCATAGACTTTGAAATTGATTGTATACCTTGAAATGAACAAGAATGTAAACGAAATGAGGTGATTGGATATAATTGCAGGATAACCAGAATATTACGGAAAACATGGACTTACCCAGATATCATGTACATCGTTAACTCGTCCATTATTATTATTAACTAAATCATCCAAAACAACTATACAATTGGCAACAAAATCATCTGGAGGTATAGAAGCATCGTGAAAAACAGTTAACGATAAACACTGAGCATTCGCAACCTCAACACAAAAATCTTCATTCCATATTGGGTGAAAGGTCTTTTGTGCAGTTGATGTACGGTCAATGTGAATATCATCAATATCAACTGACACGTACGGATCTAATTGTCTCAGGATAACACCTCCATGTCTGGTTGAAAATTCAGTTGGCTTTAGATCGGCTGCTTGTACAATGGTCACTCTAAGGTTGCCCACAAAACATGACGGCATTCTTAGAATGACTTTCTAAAATATTTCTGGTCAACGCTTTTCCTTTCTGGTCCTATTCCTCTGGCCTTTGGCAATTTCCTACTTTTTGCCTCTTTTTGTTTCTTTGGTTTTCGGGTTAAGTAGCACTGGCTATGAAGTGTGTAAAATTAAGTATCTTGGTTATGGAAACCTTGACTTGTATATGACTTTCTTCGGTTTGTTTACTTGTTTTTTCCCCTGTTATGGTATAATATATATATGTATTTATATATAAACAGCTTCGTTTCAGCCTTCAGTCTCGTCTTGGGTTAAATTTTCCTTCCTTGCTATCTTTCCAATCTTTCTTGGAATATTTCTCCTTCTTCTTCTATTTTTCCTCGTCTCTTTGCAAATGTTAAAACCGGAAGCAATGGTGATGGCGATGAGAATTAAAGATGATATTATTGATGATGGAAATGTTGATATTATTGAGGTTGATATAAAATGATAACGATGGTGTTGCTAGTTGCTTTTCACACGTTTTGTAAAGCATCCAAAAATAATCGCAGTTGAAGAGAAAAAAAGTTAGAGGTGATGTGATGTATTTGTTGATGAGATGTGAGATGATTTAAAATCAACAGTAATAGAATAATAAATTAAATCAAAATTAGGTAAATAAAAATAGAATAGGCAAAGTGGGGAAACAAGAAAACAGTTAAGGTAAAAGGTTAAAAACAAGTTGAGATAACAATTTTTGAACAGTTCTTTGGCACCAAGCTGACACAATCAATAACCATGAAACGGCATCAGATATGGTGGATGATTGGTTAGTCGAAGAACCAGGTAAATTCACTAATAACCATATTTAAAGTGGGAAATAAATGCAGTTCCAAAAACAAAAAGACAATAATCACAACAACCGGTGAGCAATAGAGAGAAGGAAAAAGATATACACAGAGGAAAAAAAAGAGAAGAGAAAAATAGAGTAGAGATTATACAGAGTAGAGAAGATAAAAGAGAAACTGAAAGAGTTACGAAGACTTTGGTGATGGTTGAATGATGATAGGATGATTAAAAGGTTTACTTGAATTAAATAGAATGAAAAGCAAAGGAAAATTGAAATAATTGAGTTGAAAAATGGTTATTAAAACGAAACATTGCGAACAGCATTTAGTGCAAACATAAAGATAAAGAAGACAGATATCTACAGAGAGAGATAGAGAGAGAAGGAGAGAAAGAGAAGTAAAATAAAAGATGATGTTGATGATGACTAGAGACAGAGAAGAGATGAATAAGAAAGTGAAAGTCAGGAAAATGGCGAGCAAATTGAATGATGATCAACATGAGAGAATAAGATTTGGAGTCTGGTGCATTGAATCACTTGGTTTCTTCTGCCTGAGCACAACCAGAAACCAGAGAGTCTGTCAGAAAAGTATTTCTTGGTAAAAAAAAATATCCAACAAGGTGTTTACTGTAGACTGCTGGTGGACAATAACGTTATTACATGTAAAGTAAATCAAGAAAAATATTTATTATAATGTAATAAAATATTTACAACACTGACAATTAGTTGATGATCAGCCTGAGAAAAAATTGAGTCTAAGAAACAAAAAAACTTATCACATCTACTTGGGTGTCTAAGTGTTGTAAATTGATTGATAGTGTAAGGATTTGTTGGATTCAGAAATGTAATGATACGTTTACATAACGAGTTAACGGTGTATTATGAAGCAAATTAAAGATTTATAATTTAAACTTGGATAAATCATAAACAGTGAAACTGGTTTTATTGTTATTGTTACTGTTAATCTGATAATCCAGAAATTGAGATCATAAAGTTGCGAGTATATCCAGAGTTTAGGTTTCCATTCAAATCTAAAATTAAGCGAGCTAACGACTTCTGTTGACTTTAGATTTTGTATTTAGCCGTTTACCATTTAAATTAGCTCTTGCCTTGAGTCTTTGGCCATTCTTTAATAAATTATTACCAATTCGTCCAAGCACAAATTAAATATTAATTTTTGGTTGGAAAAAAGTCGAAAAATTAAACAAATTAATAAAGTCGATCAATAAAGGATCAGCTTCAAAATTTTAAGCTAGTTAAATCAGGAAATTTAAGATGGCGTCACTTGATGTAAGACAAATGTTTTGAATTAAATTGATTTTTTATCTGATTCTGTGTTTGATTTACGACTTGATTTGGTCGGAGATTTAATAAGTAGTAATATGCATGATAATATCAATACAATGTTACAAGGTTATCATCATTGATCAATTGCTTGCATTGATAACAGAGGAAAATAACTGATCTAATGAGTAGATTTATCTTACTTTTTCAACTGATCAATCTTTTCAGTTATAATTTAGAGATAACTTGAACTTGGATTCAATTAAGCTAATCCAAGCATTTAAATAGATAAAGTGAACGAGTTGAAACAAGAAAAAGTAGATTTTTAATTTACGAAAACACAAAATCAACATTATTATCCCAATACAAATAATACACAAAATTACAAAACAGTTTTTTGTCTCCATTTAAAAGCATAGGAAAATAACACAAATTTTCAATGAGTGTTTAATTTGTGCATTTTTATAATCTTTCATTGAAAGTTGAGGAATAAATTTAATCGAAGACAAAAATGAAAAAATATAGCTCCCAATCACATGAAAGGAATAGTTGGAATGATTATGAATACGTTTATTTCATATCCAAAAGCATTTTCATCGGATCTTGAAGTAATGCTTTCCAGGTGGATGAAAATCGACAGAGAGTTGCTCCATCGATAGTCCGATGATCCGCTGACCACAAAATATTAATTATATGTCCCTTGACTATTTCGTCCTTTTCGTTAAAAATTGGCACAGTTTTAATTTGTCCAATGGCACCAATTACTACTTCTGTAGGTGGGATAACAGGAATACCGAAAAGACCACCAATCTAAGGAAACAAAAAACTTGATTGAGCTGAAATAATTCATGGAATGGAAGTTGATACTAACCGAACCGATATTTGATAGAGTGATAGTTCCACCAGTTAAATCATCTCGGCGTAACTTATTATTGGCTCCATCTTGTTGAAGTCTTTTCATTTCCTCAGCTATTTCTAAAATAGATAAATTTTGAACATTTTTGATATTTGGGACAATTAATCCATCTTTAGTGTCCATGGCAAATCCAATATTATGTGATGCTTTGATAATTATTTTTTCATTCTTTTCGTCGATTGATGAGTTCAACATTGGAAAATCATTGAGAGCTAATGACAAAGCTTTCATGAATAGAGGCATGAAAGTTAATTTTATGCCCCTGGATAAAGCTCGCTCTTTCAAGTTTGGCAAAATGTTGAGAAGATTGGATAAATTTATTTCGTCACTTAATCCAAAATGAGGTATTTTAAGAGATTGTGTCATTGATTTAAACATTGCACGTTGAATTGCGGTGAATGGAACACTTTTGTCAGATGCTTGACTAGTCAATCTATCAACAGATGGTTTTTCGTTCAAGTTAATTGGTAATGTCTTGGGCTCAGGTGAAATATTGAGAACTGGAGTTTCCTTCTGCGATGCCATAGAATTTTTCGCCTCTTCAAGATATCTGAGTAAATCTTCTTTCAAAATACGACCATCTCTACCAGTACCTTTAACATTACTCAACTTGATATTATTTTCAGCGGCTATTCTTCGCACAGCTGGAGTAGTTAAAACTTTACCACCTTTCCAATCGAGAAAATTGGTTGGCTGGGAGTCACAAATTTGATTAGCTTCTAAATCAGCAACTTGATCAACTTGATCTGCTTGGACTAACCCTTGTTTACTTTCATCTCTGAGTCTAATTTCTACTAAAGGTTTTCCAACTTTAGCTATTTCATCGATGTTGTAATAAATTTTTTCAATAACTCCATCGTAACGACTTGTAATTGTAACACTTGCTTTGTCAGATTGAACTTCACAGATTGAATCAAATTGATTGACCTCATCACCAACCTTGATAAACCATTCCTTGACGACAACCTCGGAAATACCTTCACCGATATCAGAAAGATTGAAAGGAACCACTTTCCCTGAACTTAGGCCTGTCGGAGAAAAAAGAACATAATGAGTAAAACAAGTTGTGAAAAAAAACAAACATTTATTACATACCATGACTAATATGAAGTTTCCTTGATTGTTGATCGCGTAAATGTTTGTTCAATGTCACGATAGGTTGCACACAAGAAAATGATGATGAAGAATTGCCACTGTTAATGGAAGAAGTTGAAAAACTAAGCCTAAAAAATTTAGACTTATTCAAAAACTTATGAGCAAATGTACATCTAGTAGACAAATTGCAAACGATCCGATTGGTAAGAAACATATTAAAACTATTTATTTACAACTTGAGAATCAGTTAGTTACACTAGGAATACTAATTAGTCAACACTATTAAATCAACACTAATAAAAGTCAGCTTGTTTATTAAAGTTTGACGAAACAGGCTATGGTAACTGGAATCCAGTAGCCATTTTGAGTCCATCTAGGATCTATTCAATATAAAGTTCAGCTTTTCATAGTTAAAACACTGAAACTTTATCAACAAGGGTAACAGCTTTGCTTAATTAGATGAAATAGAGAACAATCATCATTAATTTGAGATAATATCAATAAAAATTGACATATGAATATTGATTTAACCAAAATGAATCTAAAATATCAAGATTTTTAAGTCCGAATATCCATCTTTATTTTAAAAATGAATCAATAGATGACTCTACTAGTGATTCTTTAACCCAAATACCAAGTGCCTCCATCTAGCCAATAACTTGAAATATTCATTTTTCTTACAAAATAATCAATCAATATTAATTGTCAGGGCGTTTTGATTTAAACAATTTTCTTCGTCATTTGATATGAAGTTAAAGTTTAATGATACTTTAGTGGTAAACATAGAATTGTATTTTAAAGTACAGTTGAATGAAGTTTGATCCTGAAATGTCAATTTTTGTAAATCGTCTTCAACTAGCCAAATCTCGTAAATATTTGTTAATTCACTATCAAATGTTGACCGATTCAATGGACAGTTTAGAATTGTATCTTTCAGCTATTAAGAGTTGAAGAAATATAATGCAGTTGAAATAAAAGTAAAAATGAAGACAATATAAAAACGGTAAATTTCAAGTCTACTTGATAAGCACCAATAATCAACATTTTTGTCTCCATCACCTGCATTCTTTGTAGATCAAGTAAATACATATTGTAAATAAATACACATAAAGTCTTTCATATTAAATTACAATTAGATTGAACAATATTTATTGTATTTACATAATCACAAATGGATTATTTTTAGGTTGATTAAAATAAATCTCAGCCGAGTATAAGATGGTCAAGAGGTCAAGAAAGACATCATTATCTGTATCATTAAAAAAGCAACCTTCCAAGGTACATTTGATTATTGAGGTATCTTCAAGTTGTAATCTGAACACTCTATAGATCAATCCAAATTATCATCTTGAACCATCAAAAACATTATATAATGCATGCAGCGTCATTATAACAGCAATTTAAATGTATTTCAATCCATCTTTGGCATCTTTGATACACAAAAAAGTGTCAAATTAGGATAAATCTTGTTCCATCCAAAGTGTTAATAACAATGTTGACTGTTAATCCAAGCTGCACCAAAAATCCGTTTAAAATAATCTTGTCCATGGGATAAAACAATGTGGATTTGGGTTAGCGAGGGTTATCTTCATTCTCGACTTAAAATTGGACAGGTCATTGAATCCACAGAAGATTAGGTCAACTCTTTGCATTGAAGACAAAAATTGATCCTTCAATTGCCATTTCTTTCATCCTTACCAGGTCTGTAAACTGTAAATTACAATCAAGAAACGTTGAAATTAATAATTTAATATTCATTTGAGTTATTAATATTATTTATCCTTAGAGATAAAAACTAAATATTTTATAAAAATTGATTCCTATCCAATTAGACTAATTTTTCAGCAATTAACACGCAATAATTGTTGCCATGCAAATCTAATCAGTTAACTTGAAATGTTTAAACAGCCTAAATCAATTAAATCTCCAAAATCAACATTAATCACAAGTTTATCAAAGGATCAAAAAAACAAAATCAAAATTCAAATGTTGAATCACTCAACAGGCCAATATAATGAAACTATCCAATGTAGCCATAAAATTTACATCAGATTGATTGCGATGAAGAAATTTACAATTCGCAAAAGTTAACACCAAAAATTTAATCGAACCTACAAATAATTAGAATAAAAGTACGGAATCACGGCAAAAATTATAGGACCAGTAATTGAGTAAAAGAGGAAGCTAATAGAAGTGGCAACAGGCGAAACAAGAAACTGAAGAAAGATGAAGTGGAGCAAGAGTGAGAGAGAAAGAAGTAGGAATGAAGTAGGAAAAAAGAAGGAAACGCTAAGTTTTCTCAAGAACCAATAAAAAGTCCTCTGGCTTGGTTTGACCAGGTCGAGCCAGTAGCATTAAAGTGACCAATCAATTTTAAGGGAGCCAAACTGACCAATAAGTTTTCACTAGATAGCCGCAACCCAAAAGTGAGCCACAAAAGACGAGTGGTCAATTTTGAGGTAACCCATTCAGAAGGACTTTACAGTGTTACCAATAACAGAAGAGTGATAAAGCGATAATACACAAAACAGACTGAAAAAAAGGGATGAAAGAATTGTCAAAATAAGTTTAACTGATTTAAAGTTTGAAACAGTTAGTCTTACCCTAAAGAGATAATATAATACTAAAAGAGGACCTAAAGGAAAAAGGATTTCAGTTTTATCAAAATTTTTTAAATAAAAAATGGGACAAGAAGCTAAACTATTAACCGAGAATCGACAAATCGACAGATGGAGGCCACTTTGCTTACCATTTCCCTCTGTTCCTTATGTATACATAAGTCTTTTTATGCAACAGTAAAAGACAAGGGTTGGGTGCTCCTCAATTTCTTAACAAAAGATATGTAATTCACTTCCTATTTCTCTCCTTTTGCTCTATTTTTTACTCCTTTAGCAGCTGGAGTTGTGCTTAAATCTTTAAAAATTCAACTGAAATGAAGAGAGAGAGAGAGAAAAAAAGAGAGTTAGTGAGAAGCAAAAATTATAGATATGAGGAAAAAAGAGGTTAAGGGTAAGAAAAATTACGAGAACTTACCTAGTTGAGTTGAATATTATACGGACATGGTTTATCATCATCAGGATTAATTATAAATCACAAGGAGAAGCACTAGGAGCATGTAGAGAGGATCGAGGAAAGCTAGCAAGTTGTATAGTTATGTCCGCCAATTGGGGTGTAATATTTCAACAATACAACCTACTACCTCACACCGAATCTCTCTAAACACATCAGTCAGAACAGGATGAGTTGAACAAATGACGAACAAAAGGTAAACTTTTTTTCTCCAAAACAGAAGACAGACTGAAATAAACGATAAGAGGAAATAAAGAACGAGAGGAAATAAAGGTGTAAAAGGAGAGATTGATTAAAATAGAGAAATATTCTTACCTGGTAATAATTTGAGAAGAAACAACGTTTTCCTTTGTATTGGATGGTTGGTAGCAATCATTTTTCGTTGTTTTGAGACATGAGATTGAAATTTTGTATTTTTGTGAGTAAATGAAAGTGATAACGTAGCAAGTTGGATGAGAGGCAACACACACTCCAAGAATAAGGAAGAAAAGGATTTAGGGAATGATAGGGGAAGAGAGAAAGGGTAAATGAAAAAAAAAGTGAGACTAAAAAGGGGGCAGACAGATAAAGAGACAGCAATGTAGACAGTGAAAGAGAAAGGGTAAGTGAGACGGAAAGATAAGAGAAAAAAGCATTAAAAAAAGGAAAGAAAGGAAGGGTTGTGAGATAGAGGGAGAGAGAGAGAGAGAGATGATTAGGAGAGAGGGGGGAAAGTAAAGAGTACAAAGTGGATGGTGTTGCTGTTGATGTTGTTTTTGATGATGATGATGCGGTTAACATTAACCTGGACCCGTAGAAACAAACTTGTGATGTTCAATTTAGTTTCAATTTTTCAAGTAAAAATGAGTAAGTGAAAACTCTTTATACACAAATTCGGATCTACGGGTGAAGGTTAATGAACTTTGTTACTAGAGATAACCAGAAAATCTGCTTTGCTAGTTACATTCTTCTTGTGTTTTTTTAGTTACGTTATTCTTCTTCTTCTTTTCCATCTTCTTTACATTTTCTTTTCTTCTCCTTCTTCTTCTTCTTCATTTTTATCTTCATCTTCTTTCCTTTATCTTCTTCAATAGGTTTGCCCTTGGTGGGTTGATGGTCTTTTGGCCTGTAGATGCTTTTAAATACGGCCAACAAGTCCATTCAACCCTATCAACTTTTCCGTCTCTTTTTGCTCTTCTCTTTCTATCTTCTCTCTCACTCTTTCTTCTCTCTATCTATCTCTCTCTCTCTCGATCCTCCTTTTGCTTGTTAAGACACTTTTGTTTCCATTTTACATTTCGCTTTCAATCATCATTTCGTAATGAACATTGATAGATGGCGCTCCAAGTTTCTCTCAACCTCAACCCTTTCTCCTGAATGTTACCAGTAATTCCAATTATCTTTCATGTGATGATATCAGTTCAATTCATCATCAGTAAAAGTCAAATTTCATTTCCGCATTTTCATTATTTCTCATTCTAATAGCACCAGCAGTGTTTAAAATAATCTTTATCCAATCTGAGTAGAAGGGTTAAGATAAAAATTTTGCTTTTTATCACAACATGCCATTGAATGTTAACAGTTTGACTTTTATTTTTTTATTTGTTATTTACACACTCCATTATTATTATTCATCAACCAAATTCAACACTTTACATGTTAACATTTTTGTTGTTTTTTTAACACAATTGGTAAGATTTAACTGATGATAAAAAGTTGATGAAAGCTGAAAAATATTAAACCCATTGTATACAATTAAATTTTTAATCAAGAGAACAAGAGCAAACAAAAGTAAACTCATTCACCTTCATTATTATTATTAGCATTCTTAGTGATATTAACCAATAATAATTCTGATTGTACAGCATCAGAAAGTGAAGAGCTTTTCAATCAAAGTTGATAAAATTGAAAAATGATTAAAGATGCTGTGTGGTTGGTTAATTTTTCAAGATTATATATAAATTAGGAATACATTTGAGAAAAGGTTACCTTTCTTCTTCCCATTTCATGAAACGTTTCGCACAAAATGGTTAACTCAAATCACATGGTACTTTTGACCAACATTAATCAAACATTTTTCCTTGATGGAAAAGCCCTTGAAAACAACATTTTACTCGGTTTACTGCGCAGATTGAGCCTTTATCATTCATCGTGCCTGTTTTTTTGTGTTCATTATAATGCGATGCATTTTACCTGTAATCAGGTAACATGATGATTGGATAAAAAGCAAGTTAATTTCCACCTTAAATAAAATTCATTAACTCCTTGTGACCCTTACAGGTTTCATCAAAAAATGTCAAACCCAATATTAACCTTATTAGCACATATTTTCCTCTAATTTTCAACTATCAATTGCTAGTAAAATTATCAAGTATAGTTTGATTTGAATCATATAGTTACAGAAAGACAGCAAATTTTTGTTAAGTCGCCATCTCCCCATAAGGAGGGGCTAATTAAGTGCGACAGAGGGCAATTCTCTGTCTACATTAAAATAAGATTGTAACCACTTCATCTTAATTTTTTCCTATGTTTAACTTGTTTTACGCTTCATTTTCCTATCTTAATTAATATTCAAAAGGAATGTTGAGCAATTAGTAAATGTTAAATTATTAATAGACAATATTTTCCTAAAACGTAAAACATTCTGATTGGTTAAAAAAAAGAAAAACGAAATTTTCCTTTTCTCTATTCTTCTTTCTTCTAACTTTTGTTTTCTCTCTGTTCTCTACTCTTTTGTCTCATAGTTCAAGTTTAACTTACCAAATGTGTGGTAATATCTCAGATTTGGAGTCTCTTAAATATGGTTAAAGATGATGACCAAGGATGTAAAAGTGATGAATGGAAAACGATGGTGTAAAAAAACTATGGTCAAAGATGGTCAAGAGAAAAGCAAGAGTTGGAATAAATCAGACGATTGGAGTAAAATGTTTGAGTTGCAGTTAAAAGTGATTACACAATTTTTGGAGAACAAATTTGATGGTGTTCAATGTTGAATATTTCACATGTAAACAATGATGATAAGGATGATGATGGATAAAGTGCGTACAAAGAGAAAGAAAAAACTGGATTAGTGATTAACAAAAAGGAGATGACGATTAATGGTGGACACTTGGATCAAGAGAAAAATTGAACCCTGCCAACAACACCATTGCTATACACACCAACCTAGACACACACAGAGTTGAAACTAAAAGGAAAGCGATGATCGTGAGGCAAAAAAAGGTTTGTTACGAGTCTACAACCACAAGCGTCGCTAGTAGTAATTGTCTTTTTACAGTTACCCTTTTTTCAAGTAAAAGTGTTTGCTTTGTAGGATAATTATTAATCGTTTGAAGGTAACCAGGTCACCAGACAGTGTGACCTGTTTTTTTACTGTCTGGGTCATTTATTGATGTTGCATTCCCATTAATTCAGTTTACCCCTTTCCTTTTACTTTTTTGTTTTTCTCTTTCTTTTTGTTTAACTCTTCTCTCTCCTTGTCTCTCCTTTTCTCATTCAATCTCACTTTATCTCTCTTCCTCAGTTGCTGTTTCATTTCTCCCTCATTCTCTCCTTCATCATCTCTTCCATCATCATTCCCTTTCATCATTTTCATCATGAAGATAGAGATGATCAGGATGATGAACAACCGTAGTAGTGATAGTTGTGGTAACTGGTGATACCCAAACTTAACAATGAAGCAGTTTAAAGGTTTGTTACCTGATTTTGTTTTTCCAGTTCATCTTGATGTACAATTCAATTGTCAAATCTAATCGGTTAATTGTCATATTTAATTGTCATCTATTGATCATTTATTTTGCTAAATTGATCAAATTACCAACGCAATTTAATCTGAAGGTTTCAGGCTTAACTGGCAGAGCTTTTTATTTACTCACTTTGCTTATTTACACCCGAACTTTATTCTAATTATTTGTAGGTTCGAGTAATTGTTGCTGTTAACTTTTCCTAATTGTAATTATCATTGAACCTGTCAAGGTCTGTTCTTTATCACAATCATTTCTGATTTTTGATGTAAATTTATTTTTGCATTGGATAGTTTCATTATATTGACCTGTTAAGTGATTTACCTTTTGAAATTTGATTTTTGATTCTTTGATAAACTGGTGATTAATGTTGATTTTGGAGATTTAATTGATTTTGGCTGTTTAAATATTTCAAGTTAACTGATTAGATTAACATGGCAACAATTATTGCGTGTTAAATGGTGAAAAATTAGTCTAATTGGATGGGAATCAATGTTTATAAAATATTTAATATCAAAGGATGAATAATATTAATAACTCAAATGCATTATAAATTATTAATTTCAATAATATTTCTTAATTGTAATTTACAGTTTGAAATTTGAAAGGTTACTTGAGATCAAAGGTTTGCTTATTTTCACCGTTTTTTCATGTTTAATAGACATTTGTTTACAACATTAACTGACTCCTTTTATTTATGTATTTAATTAGATCTGGTCACAGTATTTAATTGAACTGATTCCTGGATATTACAATTAACATCGACAACTGGTATAACCAAAAAAGCTGGACCTGGTAATGATGAAAGCAATGGAAGGATCAATTTTTGTCTTCAATGGAAGGAGTTGACCTAATCTTCTGTGGATTCAATGACCTGTCCAATTTTATGTCGAGAATGAAGATAGCCATTTGTAATATATTAAGGACCATTGGTAACCCAAATCCACATTGTTTTATCCTATGGACAAGATTATTTTAGACGGATTTTTGGCACAATTTGGATTAACAGTCAACATTGTTATCAACACTTTGGATGGAACAAGATTTATCCTAATTTAACACTTTTTTGTATACCAAAGATGCCAAGGATGGATTGAAATACATTTCAATTGCTGTTATAATGACGCTGCATGCATTATATAATGTTTTTGATGGTTCAAGATGATAATTTGGATTGATCTATAGAGTGTTCAGATTACAACTTGAAGATACCTCAATAATCAAATGTACCTTGGAAGGTTGCTTTTTTAATGATACAGATAATGATGTCTTTCTGACCTCTTGACCATCTTATACTCGGCTGTGATTTATTTTAATCAACCTAAAAATAATCCATTTGTGATTATGTAAATACAATAAATATTGTTCAATCCAATTGTAACTCAATATGTAATGACAAAATTTAACCTAATATTAGATCCAGTATTACCAATAGTTGAGTAGTCAAATGTCAAGTGTGACCAACAGTGTAGGCATAAGAAGTAGGCCAAAGTTAATTTGTTAAAACAAAAATATTGTCATGTATTAAATTTACTTGATCCACAAAAGTGCAGGTGATGGAGACAAAATGTTGATTATTGGTGCTTATCAAGTAGACTTGACATTCGCCGTTTTTTATATTGTCTTCATTTTCACTTTTATTTTCAACTGCATTATATTCATTCAACACTTAATAACTGTAAGATTTAATTCTAAATTGTCCATTAAATCGGTTATCCATGAATCTATTAAAACAGTTGATAGTGAAATGAAAAATATTTACGAGATTCGGCTAATTGAAGACGATTTACAAAATTGATCTGATAAACATTTCAGGACCAACTTCATTCAACTGTACTTTAAAATTTAATTTTTTTACCATTAATTATCAATTAACTTGAACTTCATATCAAATGACGAAGAAAATTGTTTCAATCAAAACGCCCTGACAATTAATATTGATTGATTATTTTGGAAGAAGAAAAATTAATATTTCTAAGTTCTTTGCTAGATGGAGGCACTTGATATGAAAAATTTGTTTTGAAAAGTCGTGTTTAAATTTGCTCCTGTGAATTAATTAATTATCTCCCTAATTAGCCTTTTTCCACACCTAATTTTATTAAAATCGTGATCCCCACCATCGATTGTTCCAAATAAACCCCGCTCCTCTTAAAATCATCTTCCCAGATCAAAAATACAATCCAAAATGGCGAACCCATCCTCCACCAACAATGACAATGCCTTTGACTATGCCACACTCAAAGCATGCAAGGACACTGCTACCATCATACCAGCCCTGAAAAAGATGGAAACATCATCAACCCTTTATCACATTCGTGACAATTTGGTCAAATTTACAGAGGACATGTTGAACCATATGAGCCAAACCAATAGAAATAAAATCAGCAATCAAACCCAGAACTTCGTAAACTGCATGCTCACCATGATTGATTATGCTGCCAAAGATCATAACATTGGTACCCTTAAAGAGACGGATATTTCAAAAATTGCTGAGAACTTGGCTGAGAAGATGCAATCATCCTCGAAATCATCAAGCTCAAACAAAAAACCCAAAACAACCAAACCACACAAATTCATCATTAAACCAAAAGACCCATCAATAAATCCTGACAACATCTACAATGAAGTAACCAGCATGGCCAAACAAGATGCTACTCTCCAAATTGATGAGATTAGGAAAGGTCTTACGGCAGTAAAGATCTCATCTCAACAGACTAACACCAAGACAAAGATACAGGCCCATCTAAACAACTCTGAAATTGGATCGAAAATAGAAATGAAAGATATTGCGCTGCTTCAACCTCAAATCTCCGTGATAATTCAACAACATTCCTTAGAGGACATTGATACAATCAAAAAACGCAACAACATCCCTGAGCAAGAGGACCTTAAAATAGTGGCCTCATATGACATACAACAGCGAAACAGACCAAACAAGAAAAAACTAATTATCCGGCTGAATCGAAATGCAAGAAACATTATTGAATCGAGAGGACGTCTCTACATTGGGAGTGAAAGTGTAAAAATAAAAGATAACTTCTACATTAAAACATGTTCAAACTGTATGACCATTGGCCATACAGCGAAGTATTGTACAAACAGCGCATGCTGTAAAAATTGTGAACAAGAACACGCTCCTTCCACATGTAAAGCTGAGCCTTTAAATCAATGTTTATACTGCAAAAAAGCAGGGGAACAAAACATCGAACACGTGCCAAAATCGCAAAACTGTAGTGCTTACAAGATTGCCATCCAAAACCTAAAAAACATTACAGACTGGTGCTATGAAGATTAATATCCTTAATTTAAACTGTGGAAAAAGTCTCCATGTAACATCTCTCGCTATTGATGAAGTGCCAAACAAATATGATGTTGCTCTTTTACAAGAACAAAACGACTTACCTGTTTCCTCAATCAACAACCATCACATCCAAGCCATCCAATGCAACCGATCGACGATAATCACTCTTCGTAAAGCGGTCAATAAAACGTTCAAAATTCTTCCAGACTCCGTAGCAGCAATCATTAGCCACAAGGGACACAAACTCCTGATTTTCTCAGTTTATTTCTCTCCTCAAACAACGTTCTGTGAATTAGAAAAATCAACCACCTCCATCCAGAAAATTATCGCCAGCAACAACAACTTACCAATTATCATTGGAGGCGATGTAAACAATGTTCATCCGACTTGGTCTTATAACACCTATGAAAGAAGCCTTGGCGGCGGCAAACTCATTTATAACATGCTTAAAGACCACAACATCAACATCCTCAACTCACCATCCCCATTAAACTGGACCTTTAAGAGAGGCAACACAAATCCTCAATGGATCGATCTACTGGCAACAAACCTTCAACAACACTATGCTGCTTTTAACCACTCCACGGAAGTAAATGCCCTCAACAACAACGACCATAATTCAATAACCACCACAATCACCTTCGAAAATAGAATTAAACAACATGACCACACAACTATCTTCCAGCACTCCAAATACTTAAATCTGATTCATCACAAACTACTCACAACAAACATAAAAAACATTCAAGACATCAACGATCTTTTCTGGGATATCTTGAAAACAAAAGTTCAGACCTACCAAAACCCTGATTTCTGGAAAATCAAACACAAATCCAGCTGGAAAAATAAAGTAATTGACCCAAAGATATCATCCACCTTAAAGAACATGACAAAACTTCACCAAAAAGATTCATCACAAGAAGATGAATATCTAGCTGTCAAACGCATTCTTGTTAAAAAAATGTACAAAAATATCAAAGATTTCTTTGATGAAACCAAAGAAACCAAAGAACTCTGGAAAAAGATAAACTACTTCATCTCAGACCACGACCAACAACTTGAAACCATCTACTTTGAAAATCTGGCAAATGTATCCAAAGATTTCAATTTAGATCTCGAAAACTTACCGATGACAACAACTTTCCCACAACAACAAAACAACAAAACCATCGATATTGACACATTAAAAAGACATATTTTAAAACTCAACAAATCTGCTGCTCCTGGTCTTGATGGCGTCCCTCTACACCTCATCAACAAACTCACAGAAGAGATACCGGACAAGCTGACCACAATTTACTCCATTCTCCTACAACATAACTTTCTTCCTGATTCATGGAAAATATCATCAACCATTTTCATCCCCAAAAGCGATGGGAAAAGACCCAGACCTATCTCTCTTCAATCGAACTTCTCCAAGATATTAGAATCCATCATCTTGGATGACTTAAACACTCATATTCCTCCAACCTTCTTCAAAAACCAACATGCTTTCCAGAAAAACAAAAGCATAAACTCAGCATTAACTGAAATGCACGACAACATCTCAATTTTCAAACCCGATTCACCATCAATTTTCCTAGTTGACATAGAGTCAGCTTTCGATAAAATATCCCATGAAGCCATCTTGAAGGAATTACACAAAATTAGAATCCCCAAAGACACCGAACAACTTATACAAAACTACCTATCTCCTCGATTTATGGCAATCCTAGATAAAAACCAAATAAAAATCAAGCAAACAAACGATGGCGTTCCACAGGGCTCCATTCTTGGCCCATACCTCTTTACAGTAGGAATCCAACGCATAATTAATCACCTCAACAACGAAACTCTCCAACAACCCCCAATCTTTAAAAACAAACGCGCGATTCATGACCCGTCAGCCTTAACGCTTAGAGTCACTGCATATGCAGATGATCTCGTTATCATACCGACCCCCAGACTTGGTGATAAATCTGACCATGCAGCAATGTGCACCTCTGTTATCATGAGAAAATTACTCGAACTACTAAAACAATCAACTCTCAATCTACCACAAAAATCCAACTAATAGTGTCTAGAAAATTACTCCCAAAATTAAATCAATTGGCTCCTTTAAAATTAATACGAGTGATAGGGGAAAGATCCTAGGTATCACCTACCTTCTCGGTATCAATCACCCTTTCAACATTGATTCCTTGATCGACAAAATTAACATCACTACCAACAAAATACTAACAAGTAACCCCAAAATTATTCACATTCCTTTCAAAACACTAACACTCATAACCACATCCAAAGTTGAATCCATCCCTCTAACATACAGCGAAGTCTTACTACAAGTGCTACTAGACTCAATCCACGAAAGAAACAAACTGGAATATGCCATCATCATATCATCCGTAAATATATCGGAATATATCCGTAAATATATCCGAATATATCATCCGTAAAGCCACAAACTATGACTGGAAAATCAATTCCCTTACAACATGTTCAATAATAGGCAGATTACCTATTTGGGCTCGTATAATCAAAGTCAACCTCACCAACAGGTACGCCAAGTACATCCAAAATCTTGACTTTCAAGAAAACACAAACTTCTTCAACCAATATCCAAACCTGGCACCTAGCATAACCAACAACCAAATCTGGTGGGGATGCAAACAAATTATCAACAATAATATTCTCAACCTCATTGATCAACAATGGCAAAAAGAAGATCCAGCAAATAGATTACTTCTTGGAAAATGGAAACCTCTCAAAATCCGAGAAAAGATCGATAAACATACTGCCCTACTACTTGGTAAATTTAACTTCATGCTGACCTCATCATCTTGTATATGTGGAGCTAAAATAAACGACCCAATACACTGGATCGTCCAATGCCCAACAGTCGACATGGAACGATACATTACACTAGATAACCTTAGCATAGATATCACTGACATTATCCCAACTTTCCTTAAACCCAATTCATCTCACCTATTTTATGACCTTTTTGAGGCTACATTTGAAACACACATCCTTCCCCATCTCAAGATATACAAGCAAACAAAACTATCCAAAACAAAACCTCAAAGCAACATCACAACACAAGAATAAGACAACAAACCCTTTCTTTACACAATAACCACTCGACCAGACTTTCACGTACATAAACTTTCATATCTATAACTTTGTATTTCATCAACGGGAATGCGAAAATTAAGCATCCCTTCTTGTACCAATGTAACATGCGCATTAAACTGTTTACAATTTTTCAAAAAGATCCAAAACATGTGTTAGGTTGAGTTTCTTTGAATATTTTGTGTTAATTTGTTTTCTTCTTAATTATATTGTTAAATTATTTTCTTTTTGTCATGGATGCCACTGGTAGAAAGGACGTTATGTTGCCACAACAAATATCGTTGATTGGTATGATCCAGTCCAGATGTTCTGAGATAAATCAACTCATAAATGATATCACTAGTCGCTCACCTAAACTTGCTTCGCAAAGGCTTCCGATTCATATGAGGCGACGAGCTGCATCTCATAATATCAATCGTTTACCCTCAAAGGCTCGTAAATTAATGAGTAAAAGGAATCAGGGACAAAAATCTGGAGAAGTGCCAGAGAAGAAGAAAAAGAAGCAGCGTAAAAGTAAGAAAGCTGTTGTTATTTCTCAAACGAAAAGAGAAGCTAAACCTGATCGAACATTGCTTCATTTGTGGTTCGTGAAACGATTTAAAATGCTGAAAGTGTTCAATTCTACTTTACCATCTCATAACAACACTAAAAATCAACGTAAAATTCATAAAAATTCAAAAGACGACTGCATTCATTTTTATCTAGCTCAATTCAAGTGTATAATTATCAAGTAAGTGTTACTCATCTTTCGTAATTTTATGTGACTAAAAATGCAAAAACTAACTTTTGATTTTTTTCGTAAACAGGATCGAGGATCTTAATTCACTTAGCCTGAAGTTAAATACAATGACTGGTGGGGATCTGCATCAGTTTTTCACAGAAACTTCGGAAGTTGGGTCCAGAAATGTCCATTTTTACGAAAACAACGATCATAATACCGAAATTATTGGACCTGTGAAATTGATTTATATCAAATCTGTTAATTTGTTACTCATCTGGAGCCATATTCTTATTCATGATAAAATTTTGTCAGTTTCACTCGAAATTTTCAAGGATTCCTCGAATGTTCCTATGAATGGAGAAAAGACGTATCAAAATTTCTGTCTGTTTGGAGCTAAATCTTTGATTCATTTAAAAAACGTTTTAGGACAAAGCAGCTCCTTTTTACCAGATCACTTTGTGGAAGGAATCTTTTGGAATCCAAATTGGAGCTTTCCTAGTAAAGCAAATACCGTTCGTGAATCTACCATGAGCTTAAATGATTTTAATGGTCAAAAAATTTTCTTGGCTCAGCTGAAAAAGTATAAAAATAGGGAAGCAATAATTTTAACAGTGCCATTTTGTGACTCGAAAAATTTCTGGAACGAATTGGTCAGGAATCGATCTCATTTAGTAGGTGGGCTACGAGATTTACAGACTTTATTCTGTGAAACAAGCTATTTGAATTTTCCATCAACCGGATACCTTGACTTATCGTTAGAATCTAATCCGGATCGTCAATCTTGGTCCAAAATAATGATGATTAATGCTCAAACGGACGATTATTTTTTACTGCGAGATATTCCTACAATTAACATTATTAAAAACAGTCTTTCTCAAGAAAAGGTTGACCATTTACTCCAATCTATTCCAAAGCTGAAACAAAGTTATTTATATGTTGAAATTGTCTGTCTTAACCGAGGTGTGCCTTCAAAAGGTGATATCATTTGTCTTCCTTCAGAAGATGATGTAAATAAATATTTCGGACGTGAGAAGATTGATATAAAATTATCTCAAATTGGATATGGACCTGAAGAGTCAATCAAAACATTTAAGTGTTCAGCATTAGAGAAATCAAGCCGCAAAGTAATTGGACTTGTTGAATATGGACATTTCTCATACGATGACGGTGTTGGAAAAGGACTGGCAGCAATAACTATATCTTCTTTACCTGACCTGATAAAGCTCAGAAAAACTGAACTTCTGGCTTTAACCCGTTCACAAAAATCTCCAACTTTTAGATTTGTTAAAATATTGATTGATATTTTTTTAGATTTTTAAATGACGGTATGAAGTCTTGCAATGATAATATTTTGACCAAAGAACATTCTTCCATTTACAAAACGTGTGAATAAAAATTTGTTGCACAAAAAACAATTTTGATTACACTTTGATTATCTAAATTCAACACAGAAATAGCGAAAGATTGAAACACGAAATGTTAATCCAAGAAACCAAAGTCTAACCAAAAATTTGAGTTTTACTGCAAAGCTGTTTCAAGCTGAAATATCTTATCAGCTCGCCGATGATATTTTACGGCTGACTGGCTGAGATAGACTTTCTGACTCAGAGACACTGACAACATTTTGCAAAATTTATATCATCGTTTATCTGTTCATCAATTTATCTTTATTATAATTAAGTGTTTTATTTGGATCATTTCTAACCAATTGTTTGTTTGACATTCTTATCTCAACTTCCCAGCTTCATTTAAAATCTGATGGTATAAGTTATATTTTGTTAACTTGATTATTTGTTTCCAGGTTTGTCATCTTTTTTTATCCTTAAATATGGTTATCACCTTCTTTTCCATCAATTTATTTGGATACATTCATTCAATTTCTACCTAGATAATTTTAATCTTCCATGGGTGACATCGTTTGGTTAAGATTAACGTTATTTACTGTCTAGATTATTTAATTTAATCTTTTATGATTCTCAGTTCATCCAGCAGTTTTGGCGCTCATCTACTGCATCAAACTACAGCCTTCAATGTACAGAATTTAGATTTAGGCGGTAACACAATTTGAGCCCATTTAAATACCAAGCAATTTTGATCTTTTAGCTTATTATTTAATAGAAATCACAACAGCTTTTCCTTTTAAGCGTCTTTTTCTGCATTTTTCCTGTAATTGACGCGTAATTACTAGATTATTGTGCTGTTTTAAGCGCCTATTTAACACTGGATTTCCTTAGTTACAGTAATGATGTTCATATTGTGCTATTATATCATATATTGATACATGTATTCTAGATATTGTTAATATTATCTACTTAAGTGTAAATCTGTTGCTAACCAGACTTGATGAGCAAAAGTTGGAGAATTTTCTTGTTATTGGTAGCTTATCTTCTAACAATGATTGTTTCTTTCTTTTAGTGTTTCATATGGCAACTCAACCCGAAACACCTTTGGATTTAACAAACGAACCTCTCATCATTCGTCGCACAAGCAAGAAAAGTAAGACCTTTTCTCTATTTACCTTTTAACTCTACTCCTTGTTCACTATTAACATCTCTAATTATTAACTATCCTCTCTTACTAATCAAAAAACCCCTGTCCGTCTCACACAACAACCCTATCTCGACATCTTACTAGAATATAATTTGTTCAAAGCTTCAGCTTCAGTAGATTCTAAGCCAAATGGTAATCATGAAGAGGAGATGAGCGCAAAAGATAAAGTAAATGATTCTGTGGATAATCATGAGCCGCCGCAGCAGGAACCATCTGATATAAACAAGCAGCCAATCAAACAAGAACGAGATGGAGAGAAGCAACAAACCTCTACTGAAGAGCCTGAAAAAGTCATTGAAAATAATGTGAAAACAATCGATGAAACCGCAATTAATAAAGATGAGAAAATTGGGAAAAAAGGTCGAAAAAGAAAATCTGAAGTTGCTCAATTGGTTGAAAATGAGGCTGCATCACCAAATCCCTTACAAAGAACTAGACATGGTCTCAGACCTTTACCTCAACAAGTTGACTATTATCAGGTTTGTTATGGTAATTTATTCATTTTGTTTTGCTAATGTGTCAATTTATTTTCCAACAGTCTGTCCTGGAGGAACGAAAAGCCAAAAGTGTCAAAGACAAGAAAACAAGTGAACCTGAACCTGAAGAAACTACTGTAGACGAAGAAGTTATCCCAGTCAAAACACGTAGATCTAGCGTACAAACTCGTAACAAAACTTCCAAAGACGATAAAACTGACGATATATTATCTAAAGAAGTAAGACACAGTTAAAATAAACTAGCTTTTATTTCATATTTTATTTAATTCAAACATTTTTTTCTTTTTTAGCATTTTTCGATCGGAGATATTGTCTGGGGTACTCTTCCTACTTTCAGGACATGGTTTCCTGCTCTACTCGTTTCACATTTGCACTGTGGACAAAAACCTCCAAAAAGTGGCCATGTTTGGGTATATTGGTTTGGAGATCACCAAGTCTCTGAAATTCCTCGATCCAAGATCAAATCATTTTTACCTCATTTTGATGAATTGAGCAAAGGTACATCTTCTTTGACAAGCCCACGGATGAAAGAGGCATTACAAGTCTTATCTTCTCGTGCTGGTCTAACCTTTGCTGTTGATATGAGCAGTGATGATGATCCTATGGCTGAATGGGCTAGAAATGGATTCAAAATACCTGCAGAAAAACAGAAACCAGACGTTAATCCGTTCGCAGCTGATCCAGCCAACCCAATACCTCCTCTAGTAGCCTGCTATTTACCTGTAGAGGCTTTACAAGAAGCACTTAAAACCGACGATCGTTTACAGCAAATCGCTTTCTATGAAGTTGAAAGTGCTGAAACTGTCGTTGAAAAAGATGAACCATTACAAATTCCAGAATTCAAATCATCTCAAGTATCGAGAATCAAGAAGAAAGAAATTACCATAAATGATATTTGTATTGCCTGCTGCTGTGATCATAATTCAGCAGCTGATACAATTAATGGACAGAAAATATTTCATCCATTATTTGAAGGACTTCTATGTAAACAATGCCGAGAAACGATAAAAACTACCATGTATGCCCCTGGAGCGGACAACAAAAATGTAAGTAGTCTATTGCCAAAACTGATTCCTAAACTAATTCTGATTTTGTTTTTCATAGTCTTTCTGTGCAATCTGTGGACAAGTTGGCAAATTAGCAGTTTGTGAAGGGGTCAAGTGCCATCGGTATGAATTTCAGCCATCCAAATTTATTCTAAACAATTGATTTCCATCAAATCATTTTTGATAATTCCTTTTATACATTTTATTTTTGATTAACGCTAATATTCAACTTCTTAATTTTTTTATTCAGGGTTTTTTGTTTTGTTTGTATTAACCTTTTCGTTGGACCTGAAGCTGAAACTGAGGTAAATTAGTTTGATCATTTCTTTTTCATTTCAAATTTACTAATTTTAAGCTTTCACTTTAGATTCTAAATGCCAAAAGCTGGGAATGTTTCTTGTGCAAAGAATATAATTTTCCACCTGAAAGCTTGCTTAAGCCTCGTTCTAATTGGCGAGAACTTGTCAAAAACATGTTCGATCCTCTTCTCTTTTATTTACAAAGAGAAATTACAACCACCAATAAAACACCTCTCAGAATTTTATCACTATGTGATGGTTTGAGTGCTGGTAAGTCTAAAAATTTATAATTAATTATTAATGTTTTATTAAAATCTTTTGCTTTATTCATCTTTCAGTAAAAAACGCTTTGAATAAATTGAATTTGAATATATCAGCATATTATGCTGTTGAACAAGATAAAGATGCAATATCCGTCGTGAAGCACAACCACTCAGACTCAATCGTCTTTTTGGACAATATAGAGTCCTTAACACCAGAAAAAGTAAGTTAAATTTTGCTAAATTGTTTTCAAAATTTTAAAATAAATGTCACTAATCAATAATTTTGTGCCTTCAACAGATAGCGACAATTGCACCCATCGATCTGATTATCGGAGGTACTCCATGTGTCGATATACCCACATCTAGTTATAATCGAAAAGGTTTATTCGGTAAGTGTACCAATGAATTTGTGTCTCATTTCAGCTCATTAATCATCTTGACTTGTTCAGTTCTTGACCTGTTGCGTCCTCTTCGTACTCTATATGCAAGCTTCAGTGTGTCCAATCACTCACCACTTTCTACCTCCAATAGCATTAGATTTTTAAACATTTACAGTATTTCAATATTTTCTCATGAAAATCGTGTTTCCTCTTTCAATATTCTGATCCATATCTGACAAGAGTGAATTTAGTGAAAAGCAAGTTCACCGATTAACTATTATCAAAGTAACTTTTTAGCTTTACAAACCTTCTTTAACCAATTTATCAACTTTAATAAAGAAGCTTACATATTATATTATTAACCTGAAATTATGTTTTAATAATATTTATTTGAGCATTATCTTATTCTTAAAAATACCTTCGGCTCATTACATCTGTTTTTCACTCTCCTGTGTTGTTGGTCTGGTAACTAAAATTGCAGTATTATCTGTTTTCTGGGTCAATCGTGTTAATTCAATTCTCTTTCTTCGGTCTTAATTTTGTTTTTCATGATAGTTCATTATTCAATGAACCTTTTGACCAGTTTCACTAAAAGTAGATAGTTTTAATCTAATTTAGGCCAATCATATCATTACCAATTTTTGAGGTTATCAAAGTTGGTTTTCTTCTTTTTCTTCTTACTTTTGATTATAACAAAATTCACAATCAAAGGTATTCAGTGCCCAATTTTGTTAGATTATATTCATTAGTTTGAAGAAAACTAAAATTAAATTCTTTTATGTTCAATGAAGTGAAAACTAAACACAGTGAGGCACTGGAATCATCAAACAGTGAAATATTGGGCTATTCAATATTAATCCTGAGTTGAAGGAAAATTAATTTACTAAATTGCTGGTTAAACCAATTAACTATCTCTCAATATTTTCAGACTTTTTATTATCGCTTACCTGTTAAAGTTTGCTTATATTTCTAACTATCCCTGGTCATTCATCAACATGATGATTACAATGAATGTCTGTCAGTAGTTTGCCTTATCAATTAGCTTCCTTGTCTCATTAATTGGGCTTTCCTCAGTCCGTCCTATGACCTTTACTATGAATAGCCTTGGGTCTTGTTAAAGGCCAATCCTTTGTCAAACTACCCAAACTTTGGAAATTAATTTTAATATAAATTTTAGTAAATTTAGTTAATTATTTACCTGTTTTCATCTTCATATCTTCATCACTTGTACATCAATTTCCTTCAAGTAGAAGGATTTCAATAATATCATCTTTCAAGTTTGAGATTCAATCTAAAGCATAATTAATTGACTATAAATCACACGACTCATGAAATTTTTATTTTGTATTTTCTTCTCATGTAGATTTGAAACTTGGTGGACAACACTTTTTGCTTTTTAATCATATTCTTGATCTGATTCGCCATTTCAACAAAGGCAGACATGTATTTTTCCTCTTTGATAGCGTCGCTTCTTTACCGAACACAAACAGAGATATAATTTCTGATCTTCTCATGGTAAGTTAAATTTTCAGTTTCTCTATTTCAATTGATTAACCCACATTTTCAATTGTTATTACAGTGCAAGCCTGTTACATTGAGTGCAAAAAATGTATCAACGCCATCGAGAAGCCGTTATTTGTGGTCAAACATTCCAGGAATCAACAGGTAAAACTTGACAGTTATATGAAATTTTTAATACATTTTATTAATTCCTTTTCTTATTCATTTCAACTTTCATATCCGTTTTCAGGCCACTACATTCAGACATACATGATAATTATCTTAAACTTTCTGACTTAATTGCGTATCGTAAAACACATCATGATTTGCAAAGTGCTGGAAAAGGTAAAGATGAAATTCCAGCTGAATTGGATGATCCAGTTGAACTAGAGAAACTCCTTGGCTTTTCAGAGGGCTACTCTGATGTTCCAAATTTAACGATAACAAAACGGATTTCTGTGTTATCTAAAACTTGGTCAGTTCCTATCGTAAGCCATCAACTTTGGGCTTTGGTTGATTTTTTCGAGACAAAGTGAAATTACTCACTTTAACCAATTTTTCGACCCCATTACATGTTTGCGGGTAAACAACAATCCAAACTTGATATTCCTCTTCATTCACATAATTCTGATCTTTGATCGTGAACTTTCTTGTCATCATATTATGGCTCACTTTGCATGGTTCATCACCTGATTACTCTTAAAACGATTGAAACAGAAATTTATACGCATCCATCCTTTAACGACTCCAGTAGATGATTGTTATGGCGCATTTGCATTTTCAAACTCAACTTCTCAACTTTCAACAAATACAAGTGGAAAAATACGAAATCAAATTGTATTCTATTCGATGCTCTTAACCAATTTAATATTCTTTATTATAAAGGGTGTATTGTTTAAGAGTGAAATTATGTGAGCAAAAGAGTAAAATTTACTTATCTGACTGTGGTGATTATGACGATAAATATGTTGATAAGATGAAGATAAACGTGAAAATGGACAATGATGAAAAATGCATCATATTTATCAACATCTTTATCATCATAATCACCACAATCAGGTAAATAAATGTTGCTCTGTTTGCTCCCATAATTTCACTCTTAAACAATACACCCTTTAATACCATCATCATCACAACCATCATCATCCTTATTTACCCGATGTGACAAAATCAGACGATAAAAGTAGACAAAGTGAATGGATATTTGCACAACAATTTAGACCAACTTTAGATTTAGAAAATGAAAGGATAAACTCTTGTAATATTAATGTTAATTCAACATTCAAATCATCTTAAATTTTCTTCTTTTAATCCTGTATCTTTTACCTTTAGTTTGAATTTTCAAACTTGAAAAAAACAAATTGTTCCTCCTTGTTTTATATTGTACTCAGCATTGATCGCCTCTTTTACGCATGAGTTTTTTGAGAAAAAAAAACTTGTTGATAAATAGTTCAGGATAAACTGATTGGAAAAGTAAATTTTTTGAATTTAGCTTTTCCTCTTTACCCTTCTTTCATATTGCCAGCCATCAAATCATAATCAATTTTACTCATTATTGTTCATTGATATTCATCTTCAATCCTATCTTTAACAAAACCATTTCAAGTCAATACGAGCTGAAAGTGAAAATTATCAACAATTATGAAATGATAAAAGGTAACATCAGTCATCTTGTTTCCTTTGGCAAAAACAGCACCAACTTTGCTCTTCCCATAAGTAATGGACATGCAATGAAGCAATTATCAAATTGAAAATTCTTAATGTATGACTTTTAAATGGTTAAATCATCATCTTTATCCACAAATAAATTAAAGACAAACATTTTATGTATAAATTAATATTGTGTACTTTTAATTGTACCTTTACAACAAAGTGAATCTCTTCACCTCTCAAGATTTCTCAAAGTCAACAGATTCAGTGCAGAAATTGTTGATAAAAGTTCTTTGCACTTCGTATTTATCAGCATCTGATTAATTTCATCAAGAAATTAGTTGGCCAAAATCAAGAAATAACCCAGTCAAAATAAATTTGCAGCACAAACAAAATAGAGTGAGCGTTTCGCCAGCGTAAGAAATTGAACCGCAAAATCTTTGTCTCTTTGCGTTTTTTCGCGTAAAACGCAATAATCAGCATCTGCGCAAGAGTATCGATATTTGCCTCAACGTTATGTTTTAAAAATTATCAATTAATTTTATCATTGACCATCAGCTCAGTGGTTAGAGAGTAGGGTGTGAAAGATTGGTGGATGAGGATCAAGACCGTTAAGGTATTATTATTTTTGTCATTTACATAGCCTGCATTTTTATACGAAAGTGTACAATTATTCACAGAATGCTCATGTTGGCGCCTTATTTGTCACTTTCGTTAAATGTGCGTTGGTCTGGCATGGTTGCCAACATTGACTGGGAAATCACAAATACTGGTTGAAAACATTTCCCACAAAAATTTGTGCGCATTCAAATTGGTACAATTTTAAATCAATAATCACATTAATTTTCACCTCCTCCGAGTTGACTTAGAGAGATGAAAGTTAAGGAGAAAGTAAAATGTCAATTTGTTGAATTTGCTGATAATAATTATAAAGTTAAGTGGATAATGATGAAAATATCAGAGAGTAGTGAAAATGGTGGTTACAATGGCGGAGGGACAGAAAAATATGAACAAATCATTTTACCCATTAATTTAATTGTAAACATGATCCGTATTTTTTCTCAGTCTATTCAATCTTCTCATGAGAATACAAGAAGAGAAAAGTGAGAAGATAATTATTGCCGTGATTGATGATAAAGCAACAACTAAACCATTGAATGGCATACAAACACCATAAACAACCTCTTCTCGTCGGCCTTCATAAATTTCTGGTAAATCAGTTGAATTGGGCATAAATGCTAGGTCAATCGAGGTGACAACTTGGAAACCTTTTTTAACACTAACATGTGGCTCTTTTGAAGGAGACCTTTTTGAACGGAAGGATCGAGGTCCTTGAGGAAATGGTACAGAAGATGATATTGGTGTGGCAGTTGGTAATGGCGAGTGTGGATGAGATGGACGAGGATTGTTGTCCTGCCTCTGAATAGTGGCTAAAAAGGGTAAATTAAAAGATGGTAAATTGCCGAGGTTGGCTAAAAGTGATGTAGCTCTATGAAGTGGATGATTTGGTACATTAGGTTGACGGTAATTATTTTTATGAGGATTGTGAGGTCTTGGTGGTGGCGGTGGGATTCTGTCATGAGCTAGTATTGGTCGTTGTTGATGATGAATTATCGGATGTTGAGATCCCGGAGGTTGAGGTATCAAATTATTGAAAGAGGGTGGACCATTCATTGGACCACCAATTGGACCGATCCCTAATTGTAACGGGACAATTTGAGCAACCGGATTCTCAAGGTTAAGTCCTGGTGATGCTCCAGGCTGTGGATTTCTGTAAGCATGATTAATACCTTGTGAATCAAATTCAAACTGATTTGGATGATGATTAATTCGTTGGAAGTGTTGTTGTTTTTGATATTGATGTTGCTGTTGATTTTGTTGATGTTGTTGCTGATGATGATGATGCTGCTGCTGAGAATTTTGTTGATGCAGTTGATGAGGATGAGGATGATTCTTCACATTCTGGTTATTTTGATTCTGCTGTTGTCTGATGCCGGACATAGCAGGTTGCGATGAGTTACTAACTGAACCAGTATGACTTTGAATAATGTTGTTACTGATATTACCTGATGACTGACCTTTTTCCCGATCATTTTTAGTAACTTGAGATCCTGCTGAGACTTGTTTGTGTTGATGTTGCTTCTGTTGTTGATTTTGGTGTTGCTGGTGGCCTGTTTCTTTATTTAACGATAATGAGTATGGATAAGATGTCGGGGCAGGGGATGTCAAGTGCTCTGAACTTGCTACCGGAGTTAACTGTTCATTATTCAAAGGCTCATCTTCCTCATCACCATTATCACTATCCGGAGAAATGTTATCGATTCCAACTGACTTATCCTCATTATTATTAACATTATTATTACCGTTATTATTATTATTATTATTATTGGCTTCACTCACCAATGGTTGAACTTCAGGAGCAAAGTGATCTTGATCTTTTAATTTTATGCCTGAAGCTTCAGCAAGTTCACGAACTTTCTCATTCTCTAATAATGATGCGAAATTTTTATTTGTATTAACCCCATCAATTAATCCAGAAGCAATTTTTGCCATTTCCATATTCACGCCGAGATCTTTGAAAAGAGCTGATGCTTTATCATACGCTTCACCTCCGAGGTTTGATAAATACTCTGTTTGATCACTTTCATGATTAAAAACTGGCTTCTCATCATTCGGTGTTGCCTGAGGAGGAGGATGATGAGGCGTTTGAGGGACAACAATTTGTTTATTTGTTGAGTGGGAATTTTGTGATGATGAACTGTCAACTCCTTTGGAAGAAAAGTCATCTTCATTAGATGCTGAGTCTTCTGAATTTGACACTTTATCACTAGATGATGAGTCAAGATTGTCATTTACGGAAACTGATGAATTTTTTAAACTTTGAGGTTCTTGATTTCGATAAACGGGTAATCTTTTTAAATCAAAATTTTGTGCTAGTAAATGATGAGGTATATTGGTATCGATAGCTGAAACTGGCGGTGATTGTGATGGTGCTTGTACTTTACTAGTGGGAATTGAATGGGAAGCTGAATCTTGTAAGTCCTGTTGATCATGTTGCTCTTCATCTTTAGCCTTTGAAACTGATGGACCAACTGAGTTTTGATTGCCATTAGGTCCATATGAAAATGATATTTGTTGCTTAAACTGTCTATCTGGTTGATGTTTGTAAGGTGTTTTCTGACAAGCATCTGGACAACCATGACGACAAACTTCAACCGTACATTGTATTTGAACGTTCATTGAGTCTGGGAACTTGAAAGCATAGAAATGAGAATATGAAATAACAGTTGCTTTACCATTTGGATCTTTCACTTTCTCAAATTTAGTTAACATTTTTGGTCTCAAGACACAACCATGTTCATCGGTCAAGTGAATTGGTGGTTTTACACCATCATGAGCAAAGCATGATTTAACTCTCATGTCAAATTCACCTCCATAATCATTAATTGCAATCACAATGGTCATGGGTTGTCCAACAGGAACAATTCGTGAGACTTCACGTCCCCATGGTCCTTTACCTTCTTGAATTTCCATCCAACAATCTATATCGTCTCCTTGGAAGTTCATTTCAACCACATCAAGATCAGCAACAGGAATGGCTGGACGAAAAGTTGCTGGTTTCTCATAAGCTTCAAACCATTCACAGCGAAGTCTTTTTGCTTCATCCCAAGCTTCGATAATATCCGTTCCATATTGAATAACAACGGTATTTTCATAGTATTTACCCTGAAGATCGGGTTTAGTTCCACACTGGTCATAATAAACTTTAAATGTGGCATGAGTCACTCCCGAATAGGGTTTAATATAAACACAATTATCTTGTCCATAAGTTCCTTTGGAAAAAACAATTCCATGGAATGGACCAGCAAACTCGGCTCTAACGGTCATATGATCTTTACCACAAATAACGTCAAGAGCTGATAATTTACCAAGTCCATTTCCAGTTGGACCATCATCACTCCAATGGGCTAAAACACTATTAAAATTAATGATTCCGAGCTAAAATAAAAGAGCAATAAAAAAGCACAATAAAGAGAAAGAGAGAGAGAGAGAAAACAGAATTGGGTTATTATCATCATGAAACTTTTCTTTCCATTGAACAAGCTTACCATCATTATCATCATAGCCATCATGTTATTCATCTTTACTGAGGGCCAAGAAAGCCCAACAATGGCTTGGGTTAACTTTTACTAGAAAACTTGAATGGTGAATATAATAGAGTTTTGTCTGTCATTTGCAATAAACTTGTATATTCATGTGAATGTGAGTAAATAAATAAAGCGGGCAAAAACAGATTGAAGAGTCCTTCTTGTTTTCTTGATCAAGGTTAACTTTGGAGGAATATATCAAGTTTATCGGCTGAATGATGAGTTACTTTTGGTTCCAACTTTGTTTTGTGTGTCAAAATTGAAACTGGCGATTGAAGGAGAGGGATGTGAGAGGTATTTTAAAACATCTTCAAAAGGTATCTGTAAAAAGGGATTGAAAAGGTATGTGGGAAAGAGAAGGAGGTCTTAAATAAAGATGAGCACTTTGAACCGCCTTTTACGCCGGTTAAATAATAGTATTGGTAAGATGATCATTTAAGCAATGGGAAATAGAGATGAAGCTGATGATGATGGAGTAACGGTTAACAAGACAAGTTTATCATCTACATGTTTACATCTCATGACCTCTTAAAATAGAAGGTAAAGTTGCATGTTAAATCAGGTAAACTAAACCAAATAACGATAGGAATATATCCGACCAAGCTTAATCTTTACCATCGACAGTTATAATCTTTCCAAACCAATCATAATTTAATGAAACATTTTCTCCTTCCATTTTATTAAGTTGTCGGGAAAAAAGAACAGTTGATTAATAAGTGAACAAATTAACACAATAATCTAAATCTGGTGGAAATTGAGGTTTTACTTTTTAGGATTCAGTAGTCAGACAAGAACGTGATAAAGCTAAAAAGAGTCTTTTACTAACAAATCGAAGCAATCTTCTACATTTAATGTAAGCTTAATAATTTTGAAATATAAATTTTAAATATTATCATTGCTATTCAATATTCACTGAAATTTAAGTTGATATTTCAAAATTATTAAGCATTTGTCACACGAAGAATCTTATTGTCGATAATTTTCACCTCTTATGATTCAACTTTTTGCTCATCGCTTTTTACTTATTCCCGTATTTAAATATTTGGTATCCGATATTTCGATTCTTTAGAGTCTCATTGTTTTTGTTTGTGTCAAATGATTAACTGTTGATTCTAATTCAGTTTGCAAACAATTAACCTTTCAGTCTTAATTCAATAGTTTAACCTTATTTTGGTAAATTTGCCTTGTAACAATAAAAATCCAGTGAATTCACAGTTTATTGGTAAATTCATTAAACAACAGTGATATGTCAAAATGTAAATTATTCAATCTTGACTAAACTCTGTCTTGATCGTTTGCTTGTATCCTACATTTTGGGCTTTTACAATTGTTAATTCTTTGATTATTGGATTCTGTTTAATAGACGTTCAAGATGCAACCCTAATTTGTTTAAATCAAAGTTTATATGAAAGAGATTATCTTTCTAAATTGGATTCAACAATGAAATGATCTGAAAATAAACATGAAACGAGTGGTTACAAAACATGATGCAAATTGTGCTGGTCAACTCCTAAGGGGCAATAATATGAGTGAAAACTTGTTGTTACCAGTATGGGATACCATAAATTAGCCGTTAATAGTATTTAAATCAAATTGATTTGCTCAAGTTGAGATGGTTAAAGTAAGTCAAGTATTGTTGATTCATTTTTTTCTGACATTCTAAATTGAAATGGAAATGTAGAATCTGAGTTTAATTGAAACAATTCTAATAATTTTGATGAAATGGGATCAAACAATTGATTCTATTTTTAACTGGTAACAGGTTTAACTTGGTGAAAATTGATTACTAATCAATTGATGATCATCAATTGAGGATCAAAAGCTTTAATAGCTTAAAATTGAAGAGAGAAATACATTTCATGAGAAAGTTTTTCTCAACACTCAAATTGTGTTATCTATTATTGAATTGTCAATAAAAAGTTGAACAAAAAAAAAGGGCAACTATTACACGTTTTTGCTCCAATCAATTTTAATTTACACTATTAGCCCATTTCTTGGCTAATTAATTTACCCGCTCATTTTGACTTTCAATCATTGGACAAAATATCTCTTGCAATAACCTTACCCAGCTATTGTCTAGAGTTGACATTGGCGCAACAATGGTTTCTGTCTGATGTTTTGTTTTGTGATTATTTAATTACATTTGTTTATCTACTAATTTCCTCAACCAAAAGTAAGTCTTAAATTTAATTATCGCTCTAATCTGAAAGTTTTAGCTTTGATGAACCACTTTAAAGACAGTAAGAGGTATTTGTAGTTCCAACGTAGTCATCTCACTTCTATTAATAGGTTATGGTCATTTTCATTCTCAACTTTCTTTTCTATTGTTATTCTGATTATTTTTATCATTACCTTTATACTGACAATGCTTAATTTGTTTTCTTAGGTCAACCTGTTAAACGTGGTGACAATCAACTTGCTGCTGTTGATGATAATGATGTTATTACGGTTATTAAGGCCTTTGAATAAGACATAAGGATGATGGAAATGCAAGGAAAACTCGTTTCACCGATTCAATGTTTACATTTGTGCTCCGTGTTGGAATCCATTTTTAACAATTCAAATTGTAAATTTATAACTAATCAGGAGAAGCTGATAATGATGTGGCTGATAAAGATGAAGATGATACCTTTTTTGGGCTCTTACCCTGTACTAAGGCTAGTAATACCAGGAATAGCCGCAGGGGAAAGTAATAAGTTAATCGTGCGTTTAAACGGCGCAACCAATCGATGCACAACCATTTATCTGATCATTTTTCTTAATCATCTTCCTATCTTCTTCTTGCCTTGAAGCTTACTTTTTGTTTATTCAAGTATAATTATTACAAGTTCATCACTACCATGATCATGATCATTATTTTTCCAGATCTTCGAAGGAGACAATTTTTCTTTTCCTTCCTATTGGAGTTTCTCCTTTACCACCTAACCCTTGTTACGATGTTTTTTTTCTTCATTTATCATGTTATTCAAGATATTTGGCTTTTTTGGAACCTTGCAAAATTGTAATTCAACTTACTGTTATCGTTGTTGGTGCTGAATCTTCCTCTTTTTGGTTGTTCTTTCAATTTTGATCTAGTTTTACTGTTGCTATTGATACAAAGTAAAAAGGTAAGTTGCTCTGGATCTTTTACTCAACAGGTAAATTGAGTCTTTTGAATTTTGGTGAAAAAGAGAAGAGCCAAACGGGAAGAATGGTGAAAATGAAAGAGTAATCTTCTCTTTAGATGATCTTTTTGTTGTAAACTTGACATTAAATTACAATATATATATATTGCTGTTGAATGCAACTCAGCTGAAGCATGATAAGGATCTTGATTAAAGTGTATGTGACAGGAAAAATCAATCAACCGATTATGCATTTTAAATAATTGAAAGCTAAAATTTTTACTTCCATTATCTGGAATCGTAGACATGGTAAACAAATAAAGGACAGTTTTAAGAGTTGTAAATGAAAACAAACTTGAGTCACATTTAGATGATGTGTTGTCACAAACTGTTAATAATAAAGATACAATCAAGGTTGGTTAATTGAAAGACAATGATAAATTGTAAAATTCAAGTAAAAGTAAAATTATTTCCAAGTTGTTATCGATAGTCAAATCATGACAATTAATGAGTAGTGAAAGGGTAAATATGGCAAAAGCATTACAAGTTTTCGATTTATAAATTTGATTGAAAAAATATGAATAAAATATTTTTAGGTTCCATGTTGAGATATGAAATATGGAATTGAAAATTGTCTAAAAGTTTAAAAATTCAATTACAATTGTAATCGACTAATTAGAGTCCATCTAAATTACTTGATCAAACGTTCTCTTACTTCCTTGGCTGCTTCAACCATATTTTTGAGAGCTGCAATGGTTTGGTCCTCGGTCCGAGTTTTGAGTCCACAATCTGGATTGACCCAGAACAACTTGGTGTCAACTACTTTCAATCCTCGAGTTAAAACGTCCGACATTTCCTCCTTTGATGGGATTCTTGGACTATGGATATCGTAAACTCCTAAACCAATTCCTTTAGAGTATTTAAACTTCTCGAAAGCTGAGATCATTTCTCCGTGACTACGCGAGGTTTCAATAGAGATTACATCAGCATCAAGATCAAGGATACTTTGAATTATATCTTGAAATTCACAATAACACATATGAGTATGAATTTGAGTTTCTGGCTTTACTTTACATGTAGCCAAACGGAATGATTTGACTGCCCAGTCAAGGTAATCAGACCAATCAATCTTTTTTAGAGGTAAACCTTCTCGAACTGCAGGTTCATCAACTTGAACCAGATTAATGCCAGCTGCTTCAAGAGCTAAAACTTCATCTCTCAACGCCAGTGCAATTTGGTAAGACACTTCATTACGGGGAACATCATCTCGTACAAATGACCAGTTAAGAATAGTAACCGGGCCAGTTAAAATACCTAAAAAAGTACAACAAGAAAAGTTCAATAGATTGATAAATAGGCAAAACAAAACGTTTAAAATGATCACGTATATCTAATTAGAGGGTTTATCATTGAATAATCATAAACATTTACCTTTAACTGGCTTGGAAGTCAATGATTGACAATAAACAGTTTCTTTAACCGTCATGGGCTCTTTGAAGCTAACATCACCATAAATGATAGGAGGCTTAACACATCGTGATCCATATGATTGTACCCATCCATTTGATGTGAAAGCAAATCCAACCAGCTTTTCACCGAAATACTCTACCATATCATTTCTTTCAAATTCACCATGAACCAAAACATCAATTCCAATTTCTTCTTGAATGCGAACCCATTTCTCTATTTGCTCTTTTATGAATTTTTCATATTCTTCGCTAGATAATGCACCTCGTTTGAATTTATTTCTAGCCGAACGAACTTGAGTGGTTTGAGGGAAGCTACCAATTGTGGTTGTTGGCAAAAGAGGTAACTTGAGGCTAGCTCGTTGTTTTTCAAATCGCGATTCAAAAGATTCGCTTCTTTCAATTCCGATTGATTTTAAATTTTCCAAACTAAAGTTTATTTTGATCTTAAGACGTTCATCTTCCAAATCTTTCAGAGCAGCTGCGGCTTCATTGAAAAATTCGGTAACAGAGTCAAGTCCTTTATTGCAAGCGTCAGCTAAATGTTTAAGCTCAACCAACTTTTCATCACTGTAAGCAATAGAATTTCGAAGGAACGGCGCAAGTTTTTTCTCACCGGTTGCTGAAACCTGAAAAGATGGTGAAAAAGGTAATGTTTCAATGAAAAACGAGACTAAGCAAATCATAAGAAAATTGAAAGCTAACAAGAACTTTTCCTAACTACATATTGTATATTTTCAATAGCTAATTATTTTTTATTGAACAGTCTGATAGCATGAGTTAGCTTGATGAGTGTGTTAAAAAAGCTAACAGATCTAACAGATGTATTGGTAATTAATTAACACCTGAGTCTTGGTAGTATTACTCCATAGTTTGGATTAAGGACTATAGTAGACACTTGTCTTGACTCTGTTCTTTTATCATCATGATTTTCATCAAGATTTTGTTTTATAATTTTCTCGAAAAGTGCAGACAGCAAAGTATTAAATCTAATTTTGACAATTAATACTTAAGTTTGTGATGTAACTCGAATAAAAATTATAAAAACATGACTGAGTGAATCTACTTCTCATGTTAGTTAATTTTGGTCAACTAAACGCCTAAAATTTATGACCAAATCTTCAAGAATATAAAGGCACAGTAGTGTATTACATATGATGGGGGATACTAAATGTAACAATAACTTACAGGTGTTGTTAGAAGTGAGCATGATGGTTGAATCCAAATTCGTTCTGCAGGTACGAATTGGAAAATCTTCTGAATTAGCTTGTATTTTTCCATGAGATCACATCTCCAAATATTACGACCGTTGATCAAACCAAGTCCTAGAATCTTGTCTTCTGGGAATTTGAATGTTTCGAGGCTTTTCAAATTTTCTTTGTAACCATGAACGAAATCCAAACCGATTCCAGCAACTGGAAGTTGAATGATTTGCTCGTAGTTTTCCAAAGAATCAAAGTATGTCTGTAAAATTATTTTCAATTTAGGAACAGCAGTTTTAAACTCTTGGTAGACATGTTTGAGTAATTCCATGTCTTCATTTGTGATATTGACAACCAAGAAAGGTTCATCCATTTGAACCCAATCACAACCTGCAGCTGATAGCTCTTGTAACGTTTGGATATAAAGAGGTAACAATTTATGAACATATTTCGACAAAGTTCCATAATTTCCCTTCGAAAATTTGGCAAAGGAAAGTGGCCCAATGATAACTGGTTTACCATTGATGCCTAATTGTTGCTTGGCTTCGAGAAAGGCTTCAAGGGGCTTGTTGTGAGTAAGTGTTAGCTCAACACCTTGTTCATATTCAGGAACAATATAATGATAGTTAGTGTTGAACCATTTAGTCATTTCACAAGCTACATTCTCTTGAGTTCCTAAACAATATAAAATATAGTTACGAATTAAATATTGCCAATTGTACAGATAAATTACAAGTTACAATCAAGAAATAAATTTATAAATTTTGTCACTTACCTCGAGCCATAGCAAAATAGGTTGTCAAACTGACTGGAGCCGTACTAAGATTTTGGTATCTTTTAGGAACGACATTAAACATAGCTGCCATGTCGAGAACATGATCATAGAAGGTAAAATCATTGACAGGAATCCAATCAACACCTAGATCCTTTTGCTTTTGTAAATTGGCTATTCTAAGATCTTTCATGTCTTTAAAAAATTGCTCTTGATCCAAAGAGCCTTGCCAAAAAGATTCAAGACATTTTTTCCATTGACGGTCAAAACCAATTCGTGGATATCCTAAATTGCTTACCAACAATTTACCCATGATGACAATTAGAAAGTGTTGTAAAATATACACCAAATAAGAGTAACTAAATTAAAAGAACACAAAGAAAGACAAAGAAATAAAAAGAAACGTTAAAACCAATGGCTAAAGAGAAAGAGTCAAAGTAAAGTGAACTCTGATGTATGCTGATGTAGCTGGTTGCTAACAGAGAGAAGAGATTTTGTTATTTCGTCTTTACTCACTTGGTTAAAAGGTAACTTGTCCGACGGCCTTTTCTTTGGTTATGATGATAACCAATAAATGGTTGAGCTTTTTAACAAGTAATCATTCATCAGACAACATGATCAACGCCTTCAATTTTTCACATCTATTTACAATTTACAATTAACAGGGAATCTATTTCTTTTGCACTCAGCTCTCTTCTTTCAGCTAATTGTCAAATGGTCGTCAAATGTTGAGGTTAACTTGACCGCGTTTGAGGTCCAGTTCATCAACCTAAAACTAATTAAATTTGATATTCTTTTAGTTTACTTTAATATTTAATCTTTATGCAACAGTCTCTAGTTAATTGGATTTCATTGAACATCACTAAACAGCATCATTTTTCAAGTTAAACTTTGCCTTTAATGATTGCTGAACACCCTAACCAAGTAGGTTGAACTGAAGACCAAAAAGCCCAACTACTAGCCATTTCCTAATAATCCATTCTAAATTAGTAATATAAATCTGAGCCACCTTTTTTTATCTAGATTATTGCCATTTAACTATCCATTTGTATGGTAACAGTGAGTAGGACGTTAACATTTCACCGTAGGTTAGGTGATTGAAATTGATCAGCTTGCGGTTGAAATAAATTGTGTTAAATTGTGCAACTACTGGATAACTAATCATCTAAAATTCCTGGATATCTGGAAATCAAGGTGGAAAGACCAACCATAAAAGACCCAATGTTTTCTGGTTGTCTAGTTGATTTAGGAAAACCTTGAAATTTTAAATTATAATCAATCTGAGACCAGATTCCAATCAAACAGACTCTTGTATCTTAATATTTCACGTGAACAAATCAAATTTAAGTCATGATAAAGCAATAAAAACAGAAAAAGTTACAGACGGATCAGATTCCAGCTGATTTCAGGCAATATCTTCATAACTGGTTATAGAAACAATGTACCACTATTTTGATTGCTGTATCTGCTCGATTGACATTTAATTATTGATTATAATTACCCATAACATGAGACATCCATGTGAATTCCGTTCGATCTTAGCTCATCCCAGATTGACTTGTCTAATCTTTACTTGTTGCAATTTTTTGATAAATGAGCTGAAAGAGTAAAATTTTTTGATATGATTAATGTCATTTAAATCAGATGCTCATTAGGGTTAATAGTAATGTATCGATTGATGACCCGGTCTCAATTTTAAATAATGTACAATCAATTTCTTGTGGTAAGCTTTGATGAACCAGGTAAATCTGATTATAACGGACATGATATCTTTTCTGTTGTTATTAATAATGGCAAATTGTGTGTCAGTTACGTTTGATTAGAGTTTTAAATTATACTGATTGGTTTATTAAAGATTCATATTTCTAATAATGGTAACAGTAATAGTGATCAACATCATCTTGACATTGAATAAATGTAATTGGAACTTGATAAATCAAACTCGTGAGAGCAACCGACTCTAATTTGTCTTTTCAGGTTTTTCACTTCATTTGCTATGCAACATGATTTATAAAGAATATAATATCATCAGTAATTTTATAGAAATATTTCTATAGATATTATAATAATATGGATTGAGTTCGTTTCCAGCCAGCGTTTTAAGCACAGATTATAATCAATACACTATTGTGTATACAAAGTACAATTATGGCTTGAATGTAAAAATATTATGTATTTAATGTACAGTAAATTCACAATTCACACTTGGGCAAAGATATTCTTAGGGAAGTAATTCAGTTGGACCTTTGATTCCTTTCCATTGATCAATGTTTTCACTTTTAGCTTGATAATAAACAATAGTTGAAATTGCTATTCCACAGCAAAAACAGTTTTTATAATCACTTTAATACAATGTAACAACAGCAGCAATGTCAACACATGTTGATAACACATTCTGAACATTATGTACAAAATTAGATGTAATGAGATTATTTTGCTGATAAAAACGATTGAAATTAGATGTTTTAGATCGTAATATTAAACCAATTTATTTGATGAACGGAAATTTAAGATTTAAAATGAAATTAGGTTCTGCTTTTAATTTTCGCGCTCCATTGAAAGCTTTTGTTAAAGAAAAATGAAAGCCAAGCCGGAATTGAGAAGCCGAATGAGCTTCTAACAGCTGAGGCTGTAAACATCATAAGCTGAAAAATGGAAATAAATTCACGTTGAGTTTATTGTTGACGTAATTTAGACTATTTTCAAATTGTTTTAATAACTTAGTTATTGCTTGATCTAACCGATTTGCCATCAATATGGGTATTTTAGAGAGAATTTCAGAAATTGAAAAGGAAATTGCTAGGACCCAAAAAAATAAAGGTAAATAAGAGTTGATTGTGATTTTGATTTTGTTTTAACGTGGTTTTGTATTTTTCTGATTTCAGCTACTGAATACCACTTGGGTCTCTTGAAAGCTAAATTAGCAAAATATAGATCACAACTATTGGAACCTCAAGGGAAAGGTAAAGATAAAGGAGATGGTTTCGATGTCATGAAATCTGGTGATGCCAGAGTTGCACTAATTGGGTTCCCCTCTGTTGGAAAGGTAATTTATTAGTGGTGACGATAGCTTAATACACCTTCTAAACTATTGCCTTTCAATTTCTTGTCCAGTCAACATTGTTGAATACTGTAACCGAAACTAAAAGTGAATGTGCGGCTTATGAGTTTACAACTTTGACATGCATTCCTGGCGTTATTCAATACAATGGGGCTAACATTCAGCTTCTTGATTTACCTGGTATCATTGAAGGAGCTGCTCAAGGTTCGTACCCGTTTATTAATAACTAAGTATATTGACTAAAATGATTTCTTATCATATCACAGGAAAGGGTAGAGGTAGACAAGTTATCGCTGTTGCAAGAACTGCTGACTTAGTTATCATTATGTTGGATGCAACTAAAAGTGAAGTTCAACGACAATTACTTGAAAAAGAATTAGAATCTGTTGGAATTAGGTTGAATAAAAGGCGTCCAAATATCTATTTTAAGGTGAGTTCTTTCCTTAACTTGTATTCTGACACTTTTAATAATATACCAATTTTTTAGGAAAAAAAATCTGGAGGAATCTCATTCAACGCTACCTGTAATTTAACAAAACTTGACGAAAAATTGGTCTATGGAATTCTTCATGAATATAGTTAGTTTCCAATTTCAAATTTCCATAAAATCCTTGCTAACTTGTTTTGACTTCAACTTTACAGAAATGTTTCACGCGGAAGTCTTGTTACGTGAAGATTCATCGACTGATGATTTAATTGATGTTATAAGCAAAAATAGGGTGTACCTTCCTTGCTTGTACGTTTACAACAAGATAGATCAAATCTCAATCGAAGAAGTAAATAAATTGGCCCATCGACCTGATAGTGTGGTCGTTAGTTGCAACATGAAACTTAATTTAGACTACTTTTTGGTAAGACTTTGGGCTTATCTTGCTTTGATTCGAGTTTACACCAAAAAACCTGGCAGTAAGTCTGTTTTTTTTTCATTTATGTCGACTTTGATTTACATTCTACATTATCAGTTAATATCCTCTTATTTGTTACTTTATTCTAGACCCTCCCGATTTCAATGATGCATTAATTCTTAGAAGAGGAGCTTCTATTGAACATGTCTGTCATGCTATTCACCGTTCTATTGCCGAAACGTTTAGATATGCTCTTGTCTGGGTAAATATGATTTATAATTTTCTATAGTTTTGGTTTCTTACAAAACTTTCAATCTTTCCAAGAAAAGTTAAAAACTAAATCATTTTTTATACTCTTTACATTAATTACAGGGAACTAGCACTAAATACAGTCCACAAAGGGTTGGCCTTTCACATATTGTCCATCATGAGGATGTTGTTCAGATAATCAAAAAAGCTTGAAGCTTTGAAGCTCTGATATATGCATATGCCTTCCAAGAATGAACCGGAAAAGTTAATTATTTAAACTCCAAAGAGAGGAAAATATTGTTACTCAAATTGCTAATATTTTACATAAATGATCAATCTCTTTCATTTGTGCATTAAGTTTTAATGATTATTTTTTACGAAAATATTCAAATGAATGTTTTTTGGCTAATCAAGATTTAATTTATAGAAAACTTGATAAGTTTTTGCTGTTTCAATTTAAAAAGTTCACATAAGAAAATGGACCACAAAAGGGAATGAACAATGAATCAAAATTAATGTCAGACAATGTTAATATCCTTAAATGACTTGATAGTTTTAAATTCGGTCTTCTCGTTTTCAGTCAAAGGTTTGTTCCCTGGTCGTACTACTAATAAGGCTTTACATCCAGCTTGCAATGCCGCTTTTGCTTCTAGACTCGGACAAACAAATTGATTAAAAAATCAGTAATGATTTCCTACAAATTGAAAATAATATTTCATTTAATTTCTTCCTTGAACTCACCTTTGACGTTGTCCGTTAAAAAAAGAATGGAATCTTCTGCCTCTTCTATTTTGGTGGAAATTTTCTTAAAGCTTTTAAAATCCCGTTTAGAACCAAGTAAAACATCAAAAAAATCATCTATCAGCTGTAGAAAAATAAGATTTATGTTAAAAAATGAATTTGAATCATCAACAATCAAACTAAAAAGTAGGGAAACAAATCAGCATTGAAAAAATATCTGTGTCTCCCTCTCTTAGTTAGATTAAGCACCAAGTGACTCAAAGACGAAAACAAATTTAATCAAAACAATGAAAAATAATGTAATCGAATCGTAACCAAATATGTAATTGGTGTAATTGTTAATTTTAAGTCTGACCCAAAATTAATGTCTAAATTTCTTACCGGTAAAAGATTACCATGTGTTGAACAAGAAAAAAGAAGCTGTTGAACCACAATCATTCCAGTTGAATATAAATACAGTTTAATGTTGAGTTCTCGTTTCCATGAGTGTAAAGCTGGAGGTACATCATCAAATACGCTGGTAAGTATGTTAAATAGATACGATAATACAATAAAAAAATACGATAATATTTAATATTAATCAACTTACTGTCCTTTAATATGTTGCTTTTCATAGCCATAAACCCAGACAAGTATTTGGAGTTGTTTAAGTGCAGCATTGTTTTTCTTCTCGTCCATTTGCCATAAAATGTTGGCAATGACTGATCGACGAATCTCTTCCTCTTCACCTTCACCAGTATTTAGTATTCTTGGTACACGAGAACCACCATCTTGTTCAATTTTAATTTGTTCTCGAAGACGATCAATTGTGATCATCAATGGCCGTTGGCCCCAACATTCGTTTAAATATTTTTTCAGGTGAGTTCGTATGTAAGGAAATAAAACTCTTGAGACAAACTCAACCGATGTTGTGGTTCCTTCAATATCTAATATTATTGCGCTCGGACGTTTCACTTTGATTGACATATGGAACCAAACAAGAGCTTAAATCAAGTATCAAATGGAATGCTAATTGTCTTGATTGGGCGACAACCAAGTAAAAGTGGATTGCCATTAATAACAGTTGATTAGAATCCATATTCATTTTTACAAAAGCAATCATTGTTGCTCAAAACAATAGACCTTCAATAATTTATCTGCTTGTTAGGTAATTAGTGAAATTAACTAATGAAGCAGTAGACATAATCCTGGTCAAGGGTTCAACCAATAAAACTGACCGACCATTGTAAATAGAAAATTTTTGAGTAAAAAAATTGATTGAATATAATTTTATATTCACAATATTGCATTATTATCATTATTTACGAAATGGTTGAAAAAATCTTCCGTCAAACCCACTCTTGATGCTTTAACTACTACTGTTATTTTGGCCCCTTTGAGAGACCCTCTTTTACGGGGAGTTTCAAGAAAATGTAGTCTTCCATTCAGCTTCACCTGAAGATGCTGCAAGACCTTTTTCAAAAGGTAAACCTTGAAACCTTTTTTTAACGCTTCTCTCCTTCAAGTGACAATATAAAGAAGCGTACAGAAAATGATGTTTATGTTAGTCTGTTTGGTTCACCATTGAATCAAGTTAATCATTTTGTCAAACTATTTATTTACCACTGTTAACCATCACCAACATTATCAAGATCATCACTTTTCTCATTGCGTTTATACCATTTCATTCATTTACCTACAAACTGTGTATATTGGACATTAACATTTACGTTTTGTTGACATTGTGTAAACTTTCATCCACTCATAATCTTTCTCATTTAATTGTCTATTTGATGAACGTAATAAAATCCCAATCCTCATGTTCCATTAACTTCAAGTCTGCTCAATTTCAATATCTCGTCTTTTGTTTAATCTCAAATCCCATTGACTGTTTTACTTTAATTTCAACTTAAACTATGGAAGGTTCATTAAATCTACTTTTGTTTCTCGTTCTTTCATCATTTACAACTGGAATCAACTGTTATACCCAATGTAAGTTAATCAATAATGTACATCAAACACACTAAATTATCTTTTTAACCTGAAAATTGACATTCACTTTGATTATACTTTCAAAACTAAATACAATTTATATAAAATCGTCCGTATTGTCACGAAAAGGCTACTTGGAAAATTACTGTTAAATTACTAGTTAACTATCAAACATAAGGTGTAAAGTGTGAAGTTTAAGGTCAATTAGTGGACAACTTTTCTCTGATTGTCAGTGACTATTTGATGGGCCGATGAAAAACCTAAAAATCAATGTTACAAGCTAAACAGATTGCTCATGCCGGAGTAATCAAATCTATTATGCTACTATCATTATTCAGCACATTATATTGTATTATATGGTGTATTTGTTGAGATTGGACAGGAAGATTTGAGGCAAAATGATTCGATTAATGGGAAAAATCTGTTTCCTAATCGAAATCATCTTCTCATAACAAAATATGTATTCCACTACAATGTTACCTATTTTGGTTCATTTCCTAATGCCAATTGTCAACTTGACTGTTCAATAAAAAGGATAGCAATTTCTCACAAGCTTCCTGATAGTCTCAGACAACAGTAAACACCTAAACATTCACACAAACATTAATACAATTAAGTGTTGATACATCAGACACACAGAAAAAGATATTTTGCTCTTGTTTTCTTCCTTTTTTTTCGAGGTTCCTGCTAATATTCAGGTCAAATTGAATCTTATGTAAGTCTGAAGAGTAAGTCTTCAATTGCCAGGGTTACCATTCTGTAGTCAGTTCCAAATGTCAATTCTTGAAAGATTTCCCTTTCTATGACAATGTTGTATAAGGTTTCGTTGTATTTGATGGTCAAAAATGATTCAAGAAGACCAATGCTATGAAAAAGAAGAATAAAAATGAAATATTAGAAAGTCAATAACCGAATGATGTTATTATTATTGATATTAATACCAATAATCATAAAGATTGCTTTAGAACTGTTTTCTCGCCTTTTGCCTTTCATCATGGACAACCAGATAAAAAATGAAAGTTTCAGGGAAGATGAATCGTTGATTGTTGTTGCTGCTGAATTATGGCTGAATAAAGATGAATGTTGATATATTTTGAATCATTAACATGCTGGCTAAGATGAAGGTTCAAAAAAAGCCAGGTGAATTAAACAGTAAGTGACTTGTCCAATGGATGGTAAGAATGGTCAGCCTTCTTTGTCCAACCAAGCGGATGGTTTGATGCAGATCATTTTGTGGATGAAAGGCTTCATTGATGATGGAAATGATGAGGATGAAGAGGACGACAGGACCAAGAGAAGCTATAGAGAGAAAGAAAGAGAAGATCATCAGTTATTTGGACAATGATGATGAGGAAGACACATTTTTTTTCTTGTTGTTTTGTTGTGTTTTTTGTTCAACATTTTTTGCTCTTCTTTTTCTTCTTCCTTTTCTTAGTTATTTCACTTTTCCAAGGTCATTAGTTTTGCAGCAATCAGTTTGTTTATTATTGTTGAAACATGATGTAAAAAGTAGATGATGAGTAGGATGAATCTCCTTCTGGTCTGTTAATACGATGCTGGAACATGATGAAAGCGAGAAGTGATGGCAATGCTGAAGGAAAGAAACAAAAGCAAAAAAAAAACTTTGATCAAGTTATGTTATAATAATGATAATATTATATCGTATAATATATATAAAAAGTGAAATGAGGAAGAGTTGAGTTGATTTGATACACTATGTTGAACTTAATTAAAGGTGTACAAGTGCACTTCTTTTGTTCAATTCATCTTTTCTTACATACATTTTTCATATAATCTCACCTTGACTCTTGCCAATTCAATTCATTGGACTCTCAACACTTGTCAGGCCTTTTGTTAATACAACAATTCAACTTTTCCATGAATAATCATTGAATTATCAGCTTCTTGAATTACTTTCATTAACAGAAATAGCAAACCAATTTTACCAAATAAACATAAACATTCACTTACATCGTTTTTAGCCACCAGTATGTTGACCATCTATTATGTATTGGATACTATTCACGGTACTGTCCAAAGTTTAAAGAAACAATTTAAATAATTTTGAACGAATTAGGAATAAATTAATTAAAACTAATCAAGTTACTATAGCAAGCGCGATTTATAAAAACATATGTACACAGGTTTATTAATCTCAAAATTGGGTTGACTGTTTTTAATGTAAGGTTCGTCCCTCACTTTGGCGCTATAAACATGGGATTTGTTATTGTTTACCGTTAAGATGTTCAACCAGATTTATTGGATGAAAATTAATGAATAGTAATTTTCTGATTATTCATCTTTACTTAGTGAACCATATTAATTATACTAATAAGAAGTGACAAAATATATGCAAGTGTTTTCCAGGAAACTTTTCCTTCTTTTACTCCTTTTTTTCCATTATTACAATTTTGTCACTCGGAAGTTTTCATCATATAATTTAACATTTCTCACCAAATGTTTTCTCTTGTCTTCTCATGAAGAGTTAGTGTTTGATGGTTGATGATTATTACCCATCATCGTCATCTTCCTTGTCATCATTATCATCAACAGCAATGGAAACATCATCGCTGGGCACTTTGCAAATGCTTTTAATGTATGCCTTAAGAATAAATTTACATTAATGTGTGGTAGGCTCGTATTGTGAGATCTTGGTTAATTTGAATTAAGAAACCAAAGACAATTAACCGTTTAGGGGTTAATTAAAGTTATCAACTAGCCTGAAACACAAAGTAAATTACCAAAAAGATTAATTTTATATTGTTAACCAGTTATTAGTGTCGCTATTATTTAGTTGAGAGTAAAAATGTTTACATTGTTCAATGGTTCAACAAAATGGTCACAACGTTTTTTCAAAAAAAGGGAAACAAATTGCTTTAATTTTACAAGTTACATTTATTATAAATATTTCCTGTAAATTAGTGGTTGGTCCCTTTCATTAATCATTTAAGCTGATTAACAGGGGTTAATCAAACTCATTGGTTATCAAGTGAAAATGGAGGAATGGTTTAATCTGCAATAATTGATAATCTTGATCTTTATTTGATCATTAAATTGGTATTAAATATCCTTAAATAAAGATGAAATTGTAAAAAGATATGAAAAATGACAGAAAGCTGGATTGTATCGCCATTAAAATATTGTACAATGAAAAGTAACAAATGTAAGTGTTTGAATTTAAGCTTAATGAATTGAATCTTTCAGGCTGATTGTCTCAGTGTAATAATTATCTTAAATAGTAAGCTTAAAGTTATAAAGCAATACAAGGAAATTAAAAATTATCAAAGAATAAGAAGGAAAAAAGTGAATTCCAATGAACGGAATTCTGTTCTCTTGTTCATATCATCTTCCTACATGATGTTGTGGTTCACTTTATTCGGATCAATGATGATCAACAAATGTTTTACTTTTTTGATATCTTCAGTTGAATAGTTGATTGCATCTGGTATGTTACTGTTAGTGGTTTAATCAGTTAACATCAGCAATATTAACAGCAACAAAAAAACTGCTTCATCAAGATTACATTTGAATTGACCAAATTGTATTCCTTGGTTAACCTCAACTTGTCCAAGCATTTGTAGAAAAGCTCTAATTAACTCGAACCCTTCCGGCAGATAGTTTCAAGTCAATGCAAGCAAACAGATGAAATGAAGAGAAGAGCAAAAAACATGATAAAAAAAACATTGATCCCCAATCTCAATGAAGATGCTCTGTATTTGACTTTTTTTGCGTTTGTTTATGCTGATCAACAATCACCTTCTTATGTATAAATGAACTGCTTCAACGAACTTTAAGTGCTTTGATCCAAACAACACTTTGATCAAGTATTTTGCTCGATAAATCCCATGAAATCAATCAACAGTTTAGGGTTGACCCATT